TAGAAGTATCTTGTTATGTATCCGTAACTGCAAAAAAGAAACCCAAGCAAATTTTCCATTTGGACACCACGATCATAAACTTATGCTCGGGCGTCTTCAAGCAACAATCCCAAAAGAAAATAGACCTTTTTTTTCACGAGAATTCAGTTCGATACAACCTTGACTAGAAGTGAAAAAGGATATCCAAGAATGATATCTCTGCAACTTATAAATCTTGTCCATAAGTGAACATTGTCAAATAAAGTTAAAAGGTAAAGTAACCAAAAAAACTAATAGAAAATTCACAAAAAGAATCAAGATAAGCACTGGAAGTGAATTAGAAATAAAGTATAAGGCATTTGACCAGTCCAGCCTAAACAAAACACCTAGGTAAATAGTGCCAGAATCCTCTAAAAGAAACTTCTACAGCTAAAACTGTGAAACTATTGACACCCCTTACAGAGGTTTCCTCATTTCCGTAATAGTAGGATAGCCACATAAACAAACTCACCAGGAGCACTCACTATATCCTTAGCACTGTTGATATGCACACACTTCAAACAGCAAGCACAGCACCACAACTACTATACACATTGAGGATATAAATCTGACATTCGCAACCCAATAATAAAAAGAAACAAGGAATTAATTGACTGCTAAGCATGCCTTATCTCTTCCAGCGGCAAGCAGGGTTGAGCCATCCTCAGAAAAAGCCAGAGAAGTGACTGTTGAATCATGTCCTCTCAGTGTTGAGACACACTTCTTTGCCAAGAGATCCCAAACCCGTATAGTTCCATCATCACTTCCAGAGAATAGCTGTTGATGCCCCCAAAAAACAAAATCAGAGAATGAAACAAATGAACCAATATATAATACTTACTGCTCATAAGTTCAGTGTAGATATATCTTCTTCACGACAAAGATTCTCTTAACGTAGTGACATCTTATAATCAGTGTTGTCAAAATCGCCAAAGGTCCTTACCCAGGCTCAATCAAGCTCTGGACACATTACCACAGAGCCAACTGCAATATCCCCCAACTAACAAAAATCCAAAACCAATTCATACAAGTTTCAACAGGGGTCAATGGTTTCATGAGTTCATCAACTGAACTGAAGGTCAAATCGATGCAATTACATCGTGCTGGTTCAATGGACAGGATACATGGCAAATTCTTGCCCCGCTAGTTGAAGCTAACAGTTCACTTAGGCTTTGAAACCATTGCCGGTGTCCGTTTCAGATCAACTCCAAGAATAAGACTAAGACTAAGACTAGTGAAAAGCTTCGGAGGTAAGACCACATTTTTTAGTCGGATTCATTACGGTTTAGCTACCCCAGATTTGGACACCTTGAGTCTTCTCAAACTCACGACTCCTAGGAGGACCTACACGAGACACTTGCTACAGGACGATGAAAGCTTAGAAGCATTCTCCTTAAGGAAGAATTCTCCTTGTTCCAGCAATCACAGACCTATACCAGTGAAAAACTATAGAGCTATCATTGTCCTAGAGCATCAGTAGAAGTGCAGATAGTGCACTTGTCATGAGCTTCCATCATATAAAGCTAACAATGCAGCAAAATGATATGAATTCCACGTGCCAAGACGAAAAGAGGGGAGATGACGAAATTACACAGCATCGAGGCCTACTCACAAGAGAGCGATTTGAGTCAGGATGGAAGAGGATAGTGCTAACAACGCCGTCGTGACCTTTGAAGAAATGGGTGCAGAAACCGCCGTCGACGTCCCACACCATGACTTTCCTATCGGCTCCTCCCGTCGACAGCAGGCCCCCGGAAGCGTGGCAAGCCATGCTCATCATCGGGCCATCATGCCCCTACCCCCAAATATTCACACCATTAACAGACAGAAATCCAAAAACCCCAACTTGAAACCCCCTCCCAACTCAATCGCAGGGAAGCGAAGAGGAAGACAGTACAGCAAGGAGAGTTATGTTACCTTCCAGGAGCGGAGGCAGTTGGAGGTGGACAAGTCCCAAACCCTAATCTGCCTGCTGTGGCCGGCGGAGAAGAGCAGCTTGCCGTCGGGGCTGAGGGAGAGAGCGGTGATGGTGTCAGAGCCGCAGTCGATGGAGGACCTGATGGAGGCGTTGGAAGAATCGACGATCTTGATGGAGTCGCCGCAATTGCAGGCGATGAAGGAGCCGTCGGAGGAGACGGCGAAAGGGCCGCCGGCGTAGAACTGCTGCAGCGCTGGGGAGCACCTGTAGTTCTTCTTAAACGGCAGAGACGCCATAGCCATCGATCGAGAGATGGAGAGAGAGAGAGAGAGAGAGAGGCGCACCAGCACCAGCACCAGCACCAGAACAAGGGTTTAAGGGGGATGGAGGAACGATGGGAGGGTTTAGAGTCTCTTAGACCCCTTGCATGTCGCACTGTGTAAAATCATGATTCAATTTATGCAATTACTAATTAATTATTAATTAAGTGATTTGATTAGTTCCTATGTTGACACCTACAAAATATTAGGGTCGATAATTCTCCTAATTAAGGATATCTTTTGTAAGTCACTTGACCCATGAATGATGCAAAAATTTCATTGCGTGACTCCGTGTATTAACATTATTAGTAGGCTCAAATAAAATGTGTTCTGATGATCAAATTTATTGTTTGTGAAGTGAAATATATTATGTTTTCAGCAAGCGTTCTTTTGACAAACTTACTTGAGTGACGATCATCCGTAGGAAGTTGAAGGTTGATTTACAGTGTAGTATAGATACTAAATTAAAATTTAAAACATGATCAGATGAATAAAACACCACCTTCCGTTACAAAAAAATGTTACGATTGAATAGGTATGGGTAAAAAAAAAAAACAATCTTAGAAGATGCACTTGGAATTTGGATAGATCCCTTGGTAGGTAAACATCAATTAGAGTAGGATCGTTTCTTCAAATTGAATAAAGTTGACATGGTAATTCCAATTAGAATATCAACAGTAAATAAAGGCGAAATAGGAGACCAGTAAAGCATAACAACAGAGAAGACGGGTAAAATCTGCAAAGCTTCCCCAGAAGTACATAGATATAACTTAATATAAGCTGTAAAGCAGAGTCATTTTAGAAGCTTTGTGTCCGGTTCCTCTGTATAAAGCATGGGAAGAATAATCATGAACGCAACCTCTCTTCTTAATCAACATTCAAAAGGCATTTAGTAATATGTACGCTACAATCAAAGAAAGCAAGTTCATCGTGTGGGTAACTCCAAAATAAATGAAAAAGCTACCATATGTACAAGTACTATGTACACCACTATCAAGCAAATTCCATATTACATAAGAGTATGCAGAGCGGCCATACTTCCCACAAGTAGAGCAGTTAACCAAACCCCGTAGGGCATTTAACCTTAATCTTTATATTAGATCCGCCCTTAGGAACAACCGGCACTTATTCAGGCAAAGGTATTATAAGATCAATCTCAGTACAGAGCTTTTCGTAAAGACAAACGGGAACCTTTTGCAATAGCCTAGCCTTAGTCAGGAACTAAAGGATTGCCAATTGCTCTTGCGCTATATCACGGTGCAGCAAGAGTCATCAGTTGCAAAGGCACATTTAGCAACTTGATCCAAAATTTGGGGATAAGGCAAATATGCAATGTGCCGGGGGCCAGAAGATAATTCACATTCACAAGCAGTAGAAATTTGGAAATTTAAAGAGGAATGCGTCTCTCTACGTTTCTCACAAGTTCTTGATTAAAACTCAGCATGCCCTACAATGATTCTAGCTAATTAAGAACATCAAGAAATAAAGATGGCCATTCATAAGTTGTTCAGCAATAGTAAGACTGATCTCACCCCAAAGCAGCAACATAGGCATTGCCATGAAAAGCAACATTCGGGTATTGCATCTTTAATTAGATAAGCATATTAAGTTTGTTGGGAGATGATACCTTAGGTTGGAATATAAACAGATTTGGCAGGGTAGGTGTTGGATTAGTTGTTCTTTTGAATGGGATGGCAGGGAGAATGGACATCACCTACCTACTAATTACCACAGCCTTCTTGATTAGCATATTAGATTTGACCGCAGTCCCCTAAATCCTGAGGGGAAAAAAGTAATTTCCTGTAAATGCTTCGAGACACCAGCGGTTTGCTTTGGATTGAAAGACGGGCAAATTTAATCGGATGCATGAACTCGAATACAATTTAGAAGTAACGCTACAAAAGGGAAAAAAAAAAAAAAGAACGGTTAGCTTGTACCGTGAGATAAGATGACAAGCTACATGTAGTATCATGTTTACTGCTTTTACCTAATGAGTAGCGAGGTCTTTTGACTTTTTTGGGCTACACTATTAGCTACTTTGAAGAGAATTTTTCCCATTTCAGCTACGTGGGAGAGAGAGAGAGGGAGAGAGAGATTGCTTCTTTAGCTTTCTAAAATTATGCATTGAAGATTTATGGTGAGATGAGTAATTGTGCACGACTCTCAAATGGGAACGCATGCAAAGGTCAACCCCTAGCTCTCTCTAATTTCACCAAAGAAGACAAACAGCTCTTGTTTACATCCGTATCAAGACCGTGCCTCTAGTTTTTCCACAACTAACTCCCTCTTCAATCGTACTATTTCCTTCATTTTCTTCGCCTTGTCTGCATCTTTCTCATCATCTGATAATATCAGCACGCAAAGTAACGTAAGCATATCTATACGACATGGAAAAGAAACAAAAAAGTTTACTGAAAACATAAAAAAATTTCTGTTATGGATCAATCTGCAGCTTCGTAAGGATCATGGTAGAACAAAAAAGGCTTTTATCATGTCAAACCCCGATATATTTGGATAGCTCCTTTTGAACATGTATCAATGCCTTAATTTTGTGAAAATTATGGATGTGGTGGTACTTGAAACGTTGGTTGGGACTTCGCCTAAAGTGATTTGGAGAGATTCAAACGCAATTAGCAGGAACCACTTATCTGAAAATTGCATTATAAAGATATGCTCCTTTAACGCTTTCAAATCCTCGTGACATTGGAAATAAACAGAGACCGACGAAGAAATCATATGCGATGCACAAACACAAAAGATAATTGTTCAGTAATAGACATATCCACACGAGTCTTATTACAAAACAACAGAGGTGGCCCTATAAAATCGAAATCCAATGTTCTGCGTTCCATATTCCCGTGACTGCAAACTAGCTTGAACCTAAATGGTTATACATAAATGAAGAAAGAAACCTCCTACATGACTTAATGTACACTGTGAAAGTTACATTCTTAAAATCTTTACAAATCCCCGTCTATAGAACAACTGCCCTGCGTGAAGCTCCAGAATAAAAAGGACTGTCTTTGGTTGCACGAATAGACGATTACTCATTGCCTGCAAAACACGTTTATTCATTATTAGATGGAATTAGAACAAGCAAGCCTTGAGTAACTAGGTGACTTAAGTGGATTTATATTGTCTACCATTCTTGGAAAAGATTACTTTAATAAGGATGCTGTGCATATGTGAATTTAGTTATTAATCCTGGAAGTAGGCTTCAAAACCAAATGTGGTTGTCGTTTTGACTCATTGTATGGCTACATTAAGGTAAAATAAATGTTTTCATTGATAGAGATCACATTATGAAAACTTTAAATCATATAAATTGAGGGAGGCAATAATACTAGGTATGCTGAAGACCGTCACATCATTTAGCATATCAATTTTTCTACAGTGATTTGTAGATGTAATGCAGACATTTATTGATCAACGAATCTTACCGAACGAGTTCTTTCCAGAAGGAGTCGGACACCTCATCATCCATGAACTGATGAGGATCTCCCCAATTGTTAGCTTCTAGCTCCAACCGATCGAAGGTCATTGTCAAAGTGGATGAAGAATTTTCGTACATCTTGCTCTTCTCGGTCTTACTGATGGACGAAACACGATTACCCGGTGAAGCACATGCGAGCGGAGGGATTGAATTTTCAAATGGCATCGGATAATTGTCGGAGTTCAACATGGAATTGCAAGGTAACTGAGGCTCTTTCACTTCGAATGATGTCAAAGCAGACAAGGAGCCAGACGATACAAATCCATCACCGGCTCCAAACCGATTGGAATATTCATTTGTGATTTTATTATGTTTCAAGTAATCCTCCAGATGGTGCTCGTGACCGGAAGAAAAAGAAGAAGATGAGCCAGCCAAGTTCATCAGGAACGCATCAATATTATTCACGGGTGGTGGATTACCATTACCAGTAGCGCTGAAAACTTGCGAAAACAATTGGATTCTAGCAAGCAGTGTTGCGTCCAACTGCAAGTGTAACGTCCTCAGAGCATTATTAATTTCCAAAGGGGAAGCAAACTGATTGTTGCTATTGAGCAAGTTGGATAGAGTGAGCAATTGTTGCAAGTTGGAGAGAATATTGAGGTCGGCTCTGGGCTGGTGAGTCACTGGGTCTATACCCATTTGGAGCAGCTTCTTCTTGAGATGGGTGTTCCACAGGTTCTTTATCTCATTGTCAGTACGCCCTGGAAGATGAGTAGCTATGGCCGACCACCTGATCGATGACAATCAGACATGAGATAACCACGACCATAAGTTAGTTGCAGATGGATTGCAGAAGGAATGTTAGAGATAATTATCCTAGAGAATTATCTTAATTATCTCTAACAAGGAAGAACACTATCTCCTATCTAGCCAGGAGTTGATAATATAAAGGAGCATATGAAATCAAAACATGACCTTTTATGGATTTGGTCTTGCAATCAATCAAGTCAAATCATCTATATTTGCATATAACATACTTGTTTCCAAAAACGGAATGGAGGTTGATGATCATCTGCTTCTCTTCATCGGTGAAATTGCCTCGCTTGATGTCGGGCCTCAAGTAGTTGATCCAGCGGAGGCGGCAACTCTTGCCACATCGGTTGAGACCGGCAAGCATCGGGAGAGATCGCCAACTGCCATGGCCATGTCTCTCTATGTACTCCATCAGCTTCCTGTCTTCTTCTGGCGTCCACGGCCCCTTTTTCAGCGGTGTCCCATTCAACTCCTCGCTTTCCATCGTCACTTCACTCTGCATCTGCAGGCCAAACATCAAAATGGTAACAATTATTCAATGGCTAACTACGGCTTCTAGTTTATTGTTAATGCATCAAGCGAAAGAAACCTTTTGGAAGTGGACTCTCTTCAAACTGCTGGATCTTTTTGTGAAGTGAGGTGGGGTTTAATTTGGTATTTATATTGTGTAGGACAGTGCATATAGTTCTCATATGCGAGTGTACCATGATATTGACGTTGGAGTAATGCACAAGTATTTTTCCAGGAGGATGTAAACCGCTAAGTTCCAAATATGTCCTCGATCCATGGTCAACAACTTAAAGAGTCATGCATTCGATTATTCGTATCGCAATGCATGCCAGAACTGCCTATTTAAAATTTCTTTGGTGAAATGCATTTAATAGGCAGCACAACTAACACGGTTAAGCAAACTTTCTGTCCTCTGTCCTCACTCACATTTACTTGATCAAAAGGGAGACTAATTAATAATTTGGCCATCTAGACACATGATAATGAGTTGGGTTTTCGTTCATATTTGCATGTATATGTTTGCGTGCAATACATGCTTTGAAATTTATTAAGTAAATACGCAAATATGTAGTGGATAGATAGTAGCTAGAGGGTTAAGAGGGTCAAACAGCTCAGGTATTGTAATGAAGAAGATATGTGGGGCAATAATTTCAATCAGAAGTCCGCACACGAAACTGTCGAATGTAATCCTTTGGGAACCGACCTACCAACCAAACTTCTAACGGTAGCCGCTTATAATATTGCAAGTTCGCTAGCTATTCCCACATCACCTTCTTTGGCTCCTCACGCAGCTGCACCAACTTGCTTGCATGAAGATTTATGTACATCACCGTCACCTTGCATTCTAATCATGATGAACCTAATTTTATCGGCTTTTATTTTTGCTTGGTTTGAGTTGTTTTCTCGTCATGCGATGTTTTTCAAATTGTAGCCAAACAATATTGACCCATGAATATGCGGTTGTTTCAGGTTTATATGGTTATTTGTTCGGCTTATTCACCATCACCAAACCAGGTCTAGAATGCTTATGTCCATGCTATCTTGCTTGGTAGATCGCATTGCATGCATGCATGAACGTGGGTCAACTTGACTCCAACTCATGTTTGAATTATAGGAATTAATAATATAATCGCAGTTTGCATCTATATTGGTTTCGTAGACAGAACTGATCTCATTGGCGTTGTAAGTCGGGACGTACATATGCTGTTTAGAAACTGAGTGTAGGGATATAATAAGGATGTTCAACGACACAAGCAAAAGAAGTAGGGATCTTGGTTAAGCTGCCATGGAATTAATTAATGTCCTCCTCCAATGAGAGCTTGGCGGGTCAAACAGACCCGAATTCCATTATGGTTTTGTGCGATGGTAAAGTCCATTAATCCCAAAGAGTGCTTCAAGCTTAGATCCGAAGTATGAGATGGTAGGATTCAGTGAATCCATTGAGTTCAGTGTTAGAAATTAAACCAAATTCCTAAACGTCTAGACTATCGATCAACCACTGAATTGTCGATTGGTTACCTGGTTGTCGATATTTTAGAATTGATGTCAATGACTATTCAATGGACGAGTTAAACAGAATCTTTATTATAGTATTGTTTTTCAAAGAGTCTTTTAAAGTTTCTATATCTAGTTAATATTTTGTAAATTCCCAGGAAACTATTTCCTTGGAATGGTAGATATATTTATGAGTCAATTAAGAGTTAGTCTAAGAGTCGTGTATCGAGTTTATAAAAGGCGATTTTGTAATTGTTTCCAATAAGGTGAAACCAATAAGGAGTTACTGATAAAAGTAAGTAAAGCCTCTTTGTCTCTTTCTCTTGAGTTGTGTGAGTTGAGTGTTTCACCTTCAAATTTATTCCATCAAATTGGTATCAGAGCTGCGCCTTTGACATTCAACATTCAGAACCTTTCTTAACTATTCATTCATAAGCTAAGAAAGAAGCATCACGACCTGTTTTACTTTTCCCACTTGGTAAGCCTCTTTACTAAGCATATATAACTGACCAAGTACTACCTTCAAATAACCAAATGTCAGCATTGTCCGTGAAGTAAGTTTTTATAAGAGAAAAGTTCAGTCGTGGCATGCTTGCAAGTTAATGTATACACATACATTAGGGGAGGCAATTCCAATTTCCCGAACCGTGAATTCTATGCTAAATGGAATTAATATACATAAATACACCGAAATGTGGCCTTTCATTACAAATATTGAAATTTAACCATCCTAAGATTTTTGGCGCCCGACATTATCATTTAGCCAAAGCAAGCACTCCATGCAATGTTTTTTCTTCGAACGAAAACAGCAAAATTCGTAATACTTAACACGCGGTGATCGATTTGATCGAGTCGAGTAGTAACAAAAGTATGGGTTGAAAATTGCAGATGCGTAGAATATATCACATGCTCGCTAATTGGGGACTCAACGCCCGCCCTCTGCGCTGCCATTGAAATGCCAGATTCTTGTTTGAAATCGGAAAAGGTGTATGACAAATTGCTGAACGTCGATTCTGGCACAAGAATAGTCAAATACTGCTGAGAAAGGAAACAAAGGAGTTATGCCCAGATTTGATGGTGGATCGTTTTACGTACTTCCCTCTCTCGATTCCCTCCTCATCAACCTACATAAAGCGAACCAGTTAGAATGCGTAGTGTCGGCTCTAAAAAGTACATCTGCATTAGTTCTTTCTCGTGGGTGTTTTAACTAGGGTTCAGTTGAAAAAGTTTTCGCCCAATCACAGAACGAAAGTCATCCTATCTTATCCGCTAAATCGAACCTCGCTTGCTTCAACCCAAACATTACCTCACGCTCGGTCAACCGGTTCGTCATCCATTTTTAAGAACCACACGAGATGGAATTATGATAATATAATGATGATGATTAGGTCTTACACGATCCCTGTTATTATTTAAACATAAAGAGATGATGCTTGCGTTCCCTGTGTTTGCATAAAGAGTTACAGTCTTAAGGCCGAAATAACGACTTCAGTATAGGCGACGGAATGGAATTCTGTAAGTTACCCGAACAAATACGTGTATGTGCGTGTATAAAGTTATATTCTTATGAACGAAATAGAGGGAGGGGTCGGGCAATACAGAGTATTAGATAGGGTAGCGGATGGAAACATTAGGGAAAAACAGAAGTCAAAGATATAGAAAGATAAGGAGATGGACATGACGGCCAACGACAACGGAGAGTGGTTTCTAAAAGGAATCGCGACTGCTCATCAAGGTCTACGCCAGTCCAAAATGATAGCACTTTAGGGTCTCGCTATCTGGGAACTGCATTTTCGGACTGGGTCCAACTACGTCTTCTAAAACAGCACCTTGCACATTTCGACTGAAACTTGTTCATCGCCCATTCTAAGCACATCACAGAGGTTGACACCCAAGAGCACACGGTAGATGTATGAATCCATGTGTACAGATGTAGGCATGCAGCAGAGAAGAGACGAATCGCCCTAGGTGCGATTCCGTGACGTAAATACATGCCCGCACCCCTATAAATAGAAGGGCTATAACGAAGAAAAGGAGAAGGTGGATATTTAGACATGTGGAGTTGCCAATTGGGCCAAATGATTGTAGAATGCTAGTACACAAGCGCGGGTTATCACGTAAAAGACTTGATGGACGTATCTTAAGATTAATTGACCCGTTGCCTAATTGCTTTGAGTTTGCATCGTGGCATGTCACTTCACTTCTATTCTATCTTATCTTCTTGTTGTCACCGCGCATGAAATGGACGGCTCTTACACGTAGCCAATTTTTCCCCCTTAGGACGGGGATTCACCCAAAGATTAATCCCTAGCAACCCAGATTCTAGTGCGAGGATACACGTATTGCTGATTTGTTAGGATTAATGTGGACACCAACACACCAAACCAACATGGGTGAAATTGTAGGCCATGGATGTGTCACTATAATATGGGAAATTTTTTTAAGATGTTGAACCGCATGATTGATGAATTGGGCATTTGTAGTTAAGAGTAATTCATGGCCAAGATAGCCACAATATGTGGTGCCATGGCATATTAAGGTTAGATTCTTCAGTGAGCAATTTTTTCTAGGGAGGTGGGAACAACCCGTTCAGGCACCACCATCGAGCTCTTACCCCCGACGTGTTGAGAAAGATCGAAAATTCAATTATAGAAAACACACATTTTTTTGTTAGAGGCTCTCTTTATGATATTAGTTGGGAGAACTTCTTGCACACTAACACAAATTAAAACACTTGGCTATTCATTTCCTTCACAAGAGGGTGGTTCACTCCCCCTAAATCCTCTAAATATTAGTGGTTTACCCCCCTTACATCATTCTAGAAATTAGTAACTAATTTACCCCGTAGAAACATTTAGAATTCTTTGGAAAAGAGAGAGGTGAATCTTTTTCTTCAATGCTCCTGCTCACCTACTACTCTTCTCTCAATATGCATCTAGCAATCATTGCCAAGTTGCTTTGGAACTCTTTAAACTTCGTAGTGCCAAGGCCTTTGGTGAAAATACCTGTAACTTGATCACTTGTCTTCACATACTCCATCTCTATCTCTGCCAGTAGCAATTTTTTAAGCAAGAAATGATAATATACTTCTACATGCTTAGTTCTTGCTTGACAGATCGGGTTCCACGCCAACTGTATGGCTGATTGATTATCGAATGGAGCACCATGGGGTATTCAATAGGTTGATGCAAATCCTCCATAAGCTGCATGAACCACGTATTTTCTTGAGTGACCATTGTTGTTGCTCTCAACTTAGCTTCTATGGTTGATATTGACATTGTTGATTGCCTCCTACTCCACCATGACACTACTCTGGATCCAAGGTGAAACATATATCAAGTAGTTGAATGTCATGTATCATAATCACTGGTCCTTTATAATGGAGAATTCCAAGATCAAATGTCCCCTTTACATACCTTGGCATGCGTGTAACTGCATCCAAGTGAGGCTTACCTAGTTTCTCCGAAAAATCGACTTGCTACTCCCACTGCAAAGGCGATGTTAGGCCATGTTATTTTAAGTTTATTAGACTTCCCACCATTTGCTAGTACATATCTGAATCTTCGAATTCTCTTACTTTCAAATGCAAGTAGCTTAATATTTTCATCGGCAGTCGTAGAGATTGGCTTGCCATCAAGCATCCTAAACTTCTTAAGGAGATCTTGTGCATACTTTTATTAATAAAGGAATAACTCTTCCTTGGTTTGGTCAACCTCGAATCCTAGGAAGTGTTTTAGTTCTCCGAAGCTCTTTCATCTGAAACTACACAGAGAAGTTGGTTCTAATTCAATGCATCTCGTTCTCATCATCTCTAGTGATGATTAGATCAACCACATAGATTAGTACTATTACAGGCCTTTTGCCTTCTTCTTTGACGAATAGGCTTGAATCTGCTGGTGCTACTTAGTAGCCACTTTGCAGCAGAGATTCTGCGATCTTCCCATACGATGCTTGTGGAGCTTGGTTCAAACCATAAAACATTTTTTAAATTTGCAGACAAAACTTGGATGAGTCTTACTCTTAAAACTTTGTGGTTGCTCCATGTATATGTCTCGATCTAACTCTCCATATAATAAGGCATTCTTCACATCTATCCTCCATAACTTCCATGACTTGCTTGCTGGTGTAAGACTCAAACTGTAATAAATGTTGCCACTAGACTAAAGGTTTCGTCATAATCTAGCTCAAACTTCGGAGAGAATCCTTAAGCAACTAAACATGCCTTTCATCTTTCAATTGACACATCTGGTCAGGTTTTAAGTTTGTAGACCCTCTCGCAAGATATAGGTCTTACCTCTTTAGGTCTTGGCACCAAATCCCACGTCTCATTTTGCTTCAAAGCTTGAATCTCTTCTTCCATAGGCTTCCTCCATTATGTCCCTTATGAAACATAAATGGCTCTATTACTCCAACATCTCCGGTCAGAGCTGCATTTGCATATTTAGGATTTGGTCTCCTTTTACCTTGTTGACCTCCTTAGCTGAGATGGTTGCTTTTTAGGTTTGTCCATCTGACTTGGTCGAGCCTCTCCGTTAATTTCATATGTAAATTTGTTCGTACGGACTCTTTCATTTTTTTGGCGGTTGTGCTCCGATTTCTTCTTTGGCTTCGCCTTCTATAATTACTTATTCAACCGGTTGGGCCTTAACTTAATGCCATTGTCTTCTTCCATTTTTTTCCTATACCTCTTCTATTTGTTTTGAATCTAGTAGTAGACCAGGTTCAATCAAGTTACATTTTTTTTTTCTGGAGACCAAGTTCAATTTGTTATTCACTATGTCTTTATTCAGTATTTTGTTCGGTAAACCTGATGTCCTTTTTCTTAAGCATAGCTCAGCATCGATATTAACGAGTGCACAAATTTGAAATGAAAGAATAGATTAAGAAGAAAAGCAAATGAATACATGATTGTTGTGGCTCTAAACACGTTGTTATTCTCATAATGACCCAAAAGCTGTTATGCTAACAAATCCCTATAATGAAATTACAAGGGAGTCCAGCAAGAGGAAGTTTTGGGGTTCCAAACCGCAGGAAGCAAGAACTTCTTGCCACTGACCCCGCGAGCATTGAAGGCACCGCCGGTGGCGGGGTCGACCCGGACCTTGCCACTGTAACCTGGGAAGGCTCCGCTTCCGAACATGTTAGGGCATGCCGTCCCAGATTCGGTTGGCTCAAATTGGGACCCTCTGTAGAACCCACTGTTATAAGGATCGGTGACGATTCCCGCCAATGCCGAGGCAAAAGATACGACCATGGCGTCTGCACCCATGTTCCCACTCGGCGGCTGCAATGTCACACCTTTCGGCCCGTAGTCGGATGGGTAGAATGGCCATGCGCACGCCCCTGGGCACTCGGTTGTAGGGTCACCTACTAAAATGTATGGCTGCCTCCCTGCATTATTGATTCATCATATACAGCAGTTTGTCACATCCCGTAACTTATCAGGTTTATACGTTGCTGGAGTCCGTAAACCTAGATTGATTGATCATGGTACATACCAAGGAGTCCGTGTTGGGAGCACTTGCCCATGCAAAGGCCTTGAACGGTGACGCCTCTGGCGGCAAAGACGACGGCAATGGTATTCTTGTTCCCGCCCGTTGCCTTTTGGACGAGACCAGGGATGAAATCCACTGTCAACACCTTGCCGACGGAGTAATTCTTGTCGGTGACCTGGCGCACCACCTTCACTTTAATGGGAGCCACCGCACCCCTCCTCCTTGGCTGGTAGCTCTCGATGATGCGCCACCAGGCGGACACCGGAGGCTCCATGTAGGCGCCGCGGGGGGGCCTGTAGTTGAGGGACTTGATGAAGCTCCGGATCACGTTCTTCTGGACGTGACCGAAAGGTCCGTACCACACCAGCGCTAAATTGACATTCCCGGTGAGGAGAGGTCCTCCATGGTATGTAAGCCGAGCAGGCTGGCCGCCCCCTCTAGGGGACCCGAGCGCAAGAGGGGACAAAAGGAGCAGTAGGAATAAGGAGGAGATAAACAATAGTAGAGGCTGTTTCGGCAGAGAAGACGCCATGGTTGAAAATCCCTCAATTAGGCGCACTTGTACGTCTCCTCTTACTTCGCTTACTTTTGGGCTTCAAAGGTACATATATATATATATAAATGGTGGGAGACTGGATTTAGCTTTAGGTAAAGAGACAATGGAGCAACTGATTTCGCACCGCACGACCACCTACATTGGTGGATTCACCCTAAAACACTTATTTTATTAGAAGAAGAGGGACAATCGAGCATTACAAGGATGTCTAATTCTGGTGGGTTCAATTAAGGAGATGAGGCAGTCGACAAAGAACAGGGCATTGCATGCATGCATGGGGGTGTCATTAAGAGATTCACGTCATCAAATTGGATTTGTAGAGCCGAAATACAAGGAGTGGATACTTTGCCAACTGCAACAGCACGTATCAATCAATAATCCATGCATGACAGGGGAGTGGGCAATGCATTCCCTGCATGCATATCTGTTTTCCCAATGTCCCCAACAATTAGCAAGAACGTATCTCTTCACTCCAATTACTCGGCAAGAAATTTCATCTAAATCACCAGCATTGTTCACTGTATGAATCATCATCAGACGATGATTTGGAAAACACAACAAAAATAAGTTATTTGATTTCATTACAGGCATATACATCCTTCATTTGCAAAAATAAACATTATATCTCACCCTCGAATTTTGGAAAATAAAAACGAACCAAAAGAGAAGAAATGACATTATTTCAACTCACCACGACAATAGGTGTAACCATGTACAGGTAAGAATACATGTAAAGGCAGACAATACATCCGCATCCTTCCTTCAAGTACCAACAACTGGTTGATAAAACATACATATAAGATACACTAATCCCTAATTCTCTGAGACTCGAGGATTCTCTTGTTCTGAGCCGCCTATATTAGAGAATGAGCTTCTTTACATCTGGACCATCTACCGACCTTCCTTTCATCATTCCATAGCTTTGCAGTAATCGACTGGAAACCAATCCGTATGTATCTCATGACGACCATGAGAAGCTTCCTACAGGACAAGTATTTGGGTTTTGTTGTTTTAGACAACTTCAACTCTCAAAATTCAGTGTGATGACACCTCAGATGACTAATTAATTCAATCTTTTTGATAGAAATAAGAACCCAAGACCATCAATGCTATGCTGGTAGTTAAAACTAACAATTGCATAGTAGGAAAGGGATCATTGTAAAAATTTTGCAAAAGAAACTGCCATCCAACTGAATCTAAAAAAGGACAACAAGAAGAAGAACATGTATTCACTCTTTTATCAAAAGAGCAACTGGCAAATAATTATCATAGACCCACGTAGCTCATAGGAAACTTACAGTGGTGAGCAAGGAGATCGACAGCCTTTTACAAAGTAAACAAATAAGTATGAATCATAGTGCTGGCCATCAATCAGATAGAAACCGGGCAACTTCCGTATACACTTGAATGACATTTTCTTGTACAGGTGCATGGCAGGAATATTGTATGAGATCACATGCAAATAAACAGCCTGACATGTTGGGATGCTGGAGGCATACTTGATAACCTCAAGAATAAGTGAAGAGGCTGCACATCAAAGAACGGGCAAGTAAGTTCCTTTGGTGCTCACAGAAACAGGATAAAGAGCCATGGAGAACAAGAACAAGAACCCACCTATGCCAAGATTTCTGTAACTATCTATCACTCCCAGCGTCAGAATGTAGACTAATGACCATTCCGTATCTGCAGAATTATAATTAAGCAAATCCACAATCTGCGAGCACAATTTCAATTAAAAAAATCATAATTCAGAAACTTATGTTTGTGCAGTTCCAGGCCATTGAGGCAAATTAGAATACCCTAAAGAATCTTATTCAGCTTCATAACACAAAACCCATTTCCAGCTATGATCACGCTTGAGGAAGAATGACATACAAAAGGAGCTTCAATACAAATGATCACCTGATGACCGTATACATACCTCACTGTCTTTAGCAAGAACAACCCTAGCTGTGACAAATCCAATTAGCTCATCACTTCTTCCGTCATCACGGCTATGGTCAACGGCTGCCCAAGACACTATACCACGTCCATGGACAACATTTTGGAAGAACTCAGATTCGTACCTGTAAATCCAACTGCTCATTTAACAAAAGCAACCACTCCATCTAAATATCCACATCACTAAAAAATCTCAAAGGACAAAAGTGTTTACGGGGCTAAACTACCTAATGGGAAATATATCCCCATGAATCCGCTCTAAGATTTCCAGATCAGATGGACGTACGGGCCTATAGCTTATGGTCGGATGGCAAGAGGTTAGCGGGACCATCGTCTATCAAGATCTTAATCCCCAGAAAAAACCGGATATTTGTGGAGAACCTGTAGAAAGACCGCTCTTCCCATTTATGCCCCATCAGCCGCCACATCCATGCAGTAAGAACTGTAAACCAACATGGCAATTCTGCTTAAAGCTCTCTAATTACTTGGGGTTATATACAAGTTCATAAGTAAAATGGAAGCAATAGAATATAATATAGCACCGTATCAATTATCTTAAGTCCAAACCAGAGACACAGCTGCCCTGCATAATGGAATGATGTAGAGCATCACATCACAAGCCAAACAGATCTTGGGGTGTGTTTATTATGGGGAAAACTTCATGATAAAAGAAAATATTTTCCCCTTTTCAGGTTGGGTAATTCACTTTCCTAACTTAAGGATGCATATTTTTTTTTTTTTCTGAAAATGGTTTTCCATTGACCGATCATTATCAGCAAACCAAACTCGTAAAAGTCCAGAAAACTGACTCGCGAAATATTCTTTCACTCAAACAAACACACTCTTAGTATTTTATTTGCACAGAGAAGAAAATGAAAGGCTAAAAGCAACGGATGAACTGCCTATCACAGCATGTGCAGATGCCAAGTACCAAGGTTGCATGCACTCATCAATTATGATTCTGGCCCAGCGACTTCTATGGCTGATAGCAAATGATTTAATTCAGTTCACAGATGCTCCGGTAAGCAAAAGAAAAGAAAAAAACTGGTTCTTTGCAATGAACTCCTCGAAATCTCAAAACTTTTTACTCTCTAAGTTTCCTTTTTTTTTTTCTCGTTAGAAGGTTCGCATGAGTAAGTTGAAACAGTGTCAAATTATTCCCTTTGTGCAGGTGCAAACACTAGAGGATAACCAAAGGCTGACTGACCGTTCGCACCATACAATTCATTTGCACGGAAAGGTAACTGCAGCCATTAACACTTATTTGATGATACTTGAAGTAAGCTGGATAAGCCAGATAGCATAACAAGGTAAATGTGACAGTTGAATGATCGAGTAAATCGAGAAAGTGACTTGCCAGATGCCTTTTCTTTTGTCAACAAGGAATGTCATCAATCACCAGATTTCAGTCTCTAACAGCAACCATGCCACTCATGTGGCTAATCGTCGAAAACTTGATAGTCCAAATGCTAATATCTCTTTTTATCAGTTAAAAGAGCTACGCTCAAACTTCCATTAGGCAGCCATAGTGAAAAGTACGGTTGGGCGATACGATACAAAGGTGCAGAAGAAGAGTTCACAAAGTATAGAAGCAAGGAGCTGTAGTCTCATTAAACAGCACGCGATTCCTATAACTGGTAAACTGCTCCATAACTCCACCACTCTCTAGACACGCACAGAACACCGCTGGACCAGACCACCTGCACAACACCTATTTTTCCAGGCGAAATTTTTCGGGTCCAGTGCCGAATTGCCTAAAACAAGAAAGTTGCAGCACATAGAGAAACTACTTCTTCTCAGAGAGTATCAAATCGATTTCCAAGTGACGGGTGACTGCCTCAGAAGTAACCATCTATAAACAGAGTGTGGCCACGTACACGTAACCAACCACGAGCCCATCATCAAGCAAAGCCCAAACAGGACGAAGAAAACAAGCGAGAACCAGTGTGAAAAACTAGAACTTCAAAGCTACAGCACTGACGCAACACAACAGCTAGGTCTACGACGAAGGGAAATGGTCATCACCAAAGAACCTAAGAACATTCACAACGCACGCAGAATTCACGGAAACCACCAAGTGAATGCTGAACAGCTGATCCTAGACAAAACAGCAGACATCTGCAAGCATGAGAAGCCGAGGCAATCGCGAAATTCGAGCAAAACCAGTAAAGGGGGGAGCGCTAAGAAACGGACTGGGCACACACTGACGCCGCAAATGGGAATCGGGAACTGGAGCACAAGATGAGCTGAACAAGATCGGAGACACAGACAAAAAGCTGAATTCTTGGAGCCGAAAAACGAGAAACTTAGGACGAAATCGATCGACCCAGATCAGACAGTAACGATTTACCTCATCGATGAGAAACGGAAGGGAACAATTTGCTCATGTTGTTGTTGGGTGAACGAACAACCCAAAGGGCAGATGAAGAAATTTGGAAGTTGGAATCTGGAATTCGCTTTGCTCTGTTCCTGCGTTTTGTTGAGTTTTGCTTGCTTCGTCAACGGACCTCCTTCCCTACACCCCCCATCAAGCATTGCAAAAAGCCAGTCTTTTTGTTCTTTCCTGCCCAGTTTTCTTTTATTTATTTATTTATTTTATTTGCAATTTTTGCATTGGTTTCATTTCGTCATTAATATATTAATAATGTTCGTAAATGACTAATCCACCCTGACAATTTCTGATAAAGAAGAAATTTTTTTTATTCTGACATTCTTAAAAATTTGCGATTTTAATGAAAGAGAGGGTGCAAAAAGAACAGAGAAGGATCTGTCCCGTGATGCAAAAAGTGGGCTTGGCGATTCAGATCAAAACCAAGAGAAGAAGTTGAGAATCTTATTAGTGCAAAAGACCGGTTTTTATATCACTTGCAACTTTTAATCTCAACGAGTTTAATTCTACCAGAAGCTAAGGATGTCCGAAGGAATGGCAATTTCAGGTGTGTTCGTTGGGTTGCTGAAGAGCTACCCGTCGTATTTTCTTGTCCTTCCTACATGAAGTCAAGTGAGCTTCATTTCTCATTCTGGAATTCTAATCTCATCGATTCTGTAGGACTCAGCTCCTGCTCATCGCCGAAAGGGGCTAATTCGGCCATGTAACCACAACCCATCTCGAATGCAAAGATGCATTCATAGACACAGCGTATAGACCGTATAACAGCGGTCAGTCGCGCAATTAAGATCCAATGTTTACTCGGTGCGAGACTTGATTGAGTGGAAGTATGTTAACATGAACCTTGCCTACGTATAAGATGAAAGTCGTGAAACATCGGAATCACTTATCAGTAGGACTCATCATCATGAGCGACGGTCGAGCCGCGTCTTCTTCCGTGCACGAATTTACGTTCTTTCCTCAATCCACGCAGTAAAATGTATAAATCGAGAATAGTTGAAGCATTTGAGAGAATCCAACAACACCAAGACCTCACTTCCCTCGTCTTGTTAACTTAGCATGCATCATAGAGGCTAATCGATATTCACCGAGCTGACACAGCGGATGAAAACAAGAGAGTCGCATATTACATAGAGGAGGAGACTCTGGGAGAACTCTAATCTGTCAATGCTTCGTATTCAAGTTCTCCACCACTTTCCACAATCACCAACGACCCGTAATCGCCATCTCTCCTTATACTGCTGCCATTTCTTTCCTTATCTTCTTCGAAAATAATCCTAGAGTGTGTTCCGTATCCTTGTCAGAAAAGTATATTATCGACTTCCGTACCTCCTTCTCAACTAGATTTTGCTCATCGGACTTCTGGGATCTGCGAGTTCGACTTTCTTTCTAGTTCAGTCTCTATCTTTTTGCAACAGCACAATCTGTTGGGTCGGCACACAGGCTTTGCAATTGAGACTACAATTCCACTATCCCAGGCCAGAGGATGAAAGTGCACTTAGGCAGAATAGTTCATAATAACATAGAGTTCCTCCACTTGCACGTCATTGCAGAGCGGCACCAGTCATGAATCATTGATTCCACATTTAGAGAACAGCACCGGTCATGAATCGGTGCTTTGCTACAGCTTCTGCTATTGGCCGCTTTCGATAGTCGGGGTTGAGCATAGCCTGCAGGAAACACCCAAAATCTCGTCCAGTTCCAATGTCGATTCGAAAGAAACACCAAATCAATATCTAATATAATTTCCTCATGAAATCAGAAATCAAACCTGAAGCAATTCCCAACCAGCTCCATCACCTAGATCGAGAAACTTCACGGCTTCTAATAAGCGGTCATCTGCCAAACAATACCTGCAAAGAAAGATATAGGAAATTACAACGAATAAGACCGTGAAGATACATACTCATGAATACAGGACAACAGCTAATTCTCACAACAAAAACAAGCATCTTTATATAGTTACTACAGCCAGTTCCCCAACAAAAGCCCAAAATCCCGTCATACAGAATGGAGAAATCATCAAAGTCTCTGACAAATTTTGTCATCTCTTTCATCCATGCGAGGAAAAGGACATACTATCTGAAAAAGCTGAAAAAAAAAGTGCTTGGTTTGCCACAGATATCATTTCACATATCAAAGCTCCAAAACCTCTCAGCATCAGTATGTATTTCATCAAGACAAAGCGTGCTGTAATAAATACTAAATAGAAATAAACCAATCCACAATCAACATTCCACAAAATGGAAATCACGCTTTCAGGCTGCAGCGCTTCTTTCTAGCGCATGCAAATATACATCCAAAACAACCAGAGATTTAGGAGTATAAAGCTTACTCTCTTGTGGCTTCAATATCTAGTTTGAAAGTGTTCTCCAGTAGCCTCTGCAAAATCAAGGTTCAAAAGAACCTTAGCAGCTATTAGCTGTGTATTGCAAGATGTAAATGACGGAACCCCAAACATGGTGATGCAGAGTTAACCTTATTAAACATTTCAATACTATTCTCCTGACTTTACTTAACAAATCTAGTTGTCTGGTTTTTAAGGGAAAACCTTAAGCAACACATTGTACATATGCATAGACATCAGAGGCCAGAAAACAAGATTTACCTGACTAAACAAGTTTCCTCGCAATAAATCGAAAGGTTCAATCATAAGTCCTTTCACTTTACTTTTTGGAAAAACCAAATCATACAAAAGCATGCTCTCATTTAACGTTAATCGTGTGTTGAATCTCCCATGTCCCATCAATCATGTATCTTCTGATGTGGATTTGAGCCAAAAAAACATATATAAAACTTTTCTTTTCTTTTTTATGGCATGCACACACATACAAAAACAAATAAAAGTTGTGCCCCCATAACAAATTTTAGAAATTAGTTCTTACTTGCAAAGAGAGGCTATCAATTATGCCTGATTCACAAAATGGAACAAAAGCCAGGTAAGCCAAAAGAAGACCCGCTTCATATCTGAACAGGAATTACAAGATAGTTACTCACAAGTCACAATTATATGATGGCAAATAATCCAAGAATGTAAAATTTCGAAAAAGTACATGTCATCAGCTATTGCAAAGGCTCTTTTCTCAAATGGTGTAATGGCACCAGCAGCAGCTGCACGTCTCCAAAGTTGTTCAGAGAGCATTCCGCGACCTTCTTCTAGGTATGAGTACCTAGACCACAGCGGATCAGCATAAAATTAATCAAGAGAATGCTGCTGTCTGCCATATACTAAGATCATAAATCATTGTTAAAAATCTGAACTCTATTGACTATGAACCAAACCAACTTGCAAGACTTGATAAAGTTACATAAACACATAAATTAGCAAACTTAATTGCAAAAACTAGGAAGCCCCTAGGAACTTGGGACAATTCGGCATCGCAGTTCTTGGGTACATAGCTTTCCTTCATCTAAGCTACCAACGTTTCAATTTTCAACTTTAGCATAAAAGTTAATCGGATGATGAAGAACAAATTGATCTGTCAAGGAGAAAATGATAGAATTCGACAAACCAAATCCTATCAAGAAAAAAAGCATGACAAGAAGAAAGGTAAACCTAAAGCAAACAGAAAAAGTCTAGTGTTCATCCAGTTTCGTGTTTATAGGATTCCCAATCCTTGCAGTAGTTCAATTAGCAGAATATGAAAGCCCAGTAACATGAGCATCGGCCTTTTGCATGATGACGCGTCATATATTAGCAAGTGACTTGACCATACCTGATATCGACAGAAAATGCTAGATCTCGAAGTCTTGGAACCAAGTAAGCAGCATCCCTCTCTGTTATGGTACTGCATTAATCAAGCAGAATATTCTCATAATGCAATCCAGGACTTAGTGGTTGTAGCATAAGAGTTAAAAGGCATATTTTAAAAAACAAAGAATAAGCAGCCAGAAACATACTTGAGAACAACCGAAGAAGGACCAAGACTCTGATGTAACCTTTCATGCTCATGCATGAAAGCAAGACCGAGCATAGCACCTTGCAGAAGCTTAATAACGAAGAATCTTTTGCGTCTGACTATCTCTTCTTGTTCAAAGTAGTTCCATGACATGCCTACTCCCAGAGATCGGCTCTTTGATAATTTTTCACTGGAGACTTTCGCATAGTCTGCAGCACTATATATGCCATCATTCCGGAAAGCAAGCCACTGCGAAGGGACACTATCTATCTTGTTGTAAGTCCAAAAGACATTTTATGCGTTTGAGCAGAACTGGATATACTTAAACTAACCTGTTCCCCAGTTGTTGTCTCAAAGCCACCTATCAGCATCAAAAGATTCTGAGAAATGCCCTTTGGACTGCTCTGCATCGTTGGTGCAATTTGGAAAAACAGAAATCAATAGAAATGTGAACACCCTGTCATTGACAAGCTAATTTTGATATCATCACAGACGATCTTTTTTTCCTGGTATTGGGTTTCTGACAAACCTGACCTGAAGGAAGGCATGAGAATTGAGCTCGTTGGCAGCCATCATATCGGCCTCAGTACCACCAGCTCGTTGTCCAGGATACACCTATAGTTAGTAGTTATACAGCACATACAAATTCGTGGGAATGACGATTTTAATGAAAGGATTGATGAATTCATCTAGCAGGGTCTTAGGACTAGTTCAAACAGTGACCTTAAAGATGACAGAAGAGCCAGAGAGGGAACCCTGGACGACTCTGCCTTCGTAAAGCCTGAAAGAAGACTGCCATGCAAGTGAGAAAGAGGATCACCCAGTAATTAAGAGGAGAGAATTGGGGGATGCAGTGGCACCTGATTTTGACACTGCCTTCACCGACGTCCTGGATCTTGAACTGCCCAGAATCTGAACTCGATTGGAGGCCCGAATAGCTACCAACCGAGGAGCGAACAGAGTAAAGATAAGAGAAGAGGGAGCGAAGGGAAGACTGACAGCGGAGGAGGAGAGAAGTACCTGGTGATGTTGATGAAGCCATAACTGCCTAGAAGGCGTCCGACCTGGAAGGAATCGGAGTCGGTGATGAGGTTGAGAGTGGCTTTGCAACTAAGGGTGCGAGGTTTTTGAGTGTGAAGAGGGAGCGAGATGGGGAGGAGTGAAAGGAGAAGCATTGTCCTCTGCTTCGGTTCCTTCCTTTCTGGGTGTGTGGGTAACGCTGATGCTGATGCCGATGCTGATGCCGAAGCAGAAGCAGAGTGAGGTGAGGCTGGAGTGGAGTTGGACTATTCATAAACGATGAGATCGATCATCCAGGCCTCGGCCTTGGCCTCAACCTCGACTTGGGCCAAGTACTGTGCATTACCCAACTCCACAACCTTCTTTCTCTCTGCTTGTCATTTTCATTCTGACATGGCCCTCTCCTCTCTTCTCCCCCACATACCCCATATTCCGCTGCCACGTTCTGTGGAAATCCTTAACCTGGTGGTGGAAATATGTTTGCTCGTTTCGTTTGACTGCGTCCCTTGACACGCGTCTCCTCAACCTATATATCTGTCTTCTCTTCCTCCTCCTCCATCCTCCATTTCTCAATTCTCTCTCTCTCTCTCTCTCTCTCTCTCTCTCTCTCTCTTCTGCGAATTGAACAATCAACACAAAGCACGCCATGGCGGTGAGTGCTCATTTGCTCTGCTTTTTATCTGCGTCCCAATTGCTCCTTTTCCATTGTTAAAATATTTTCACTAGGTGGTCATTGTTGTACGAGCCATATAAAACCTTACCCCTCGGATTTGGAGGGCTCCAAAAATCGGATACAAGCACCCATTTCTGGGTTGGAGAGATCGGATTTGCTTATCGATCAGATTCATGGATGGATCATGACAAAAGTTGTTGATTTCATTGTACAACTTGTATCTTCAAGTTTCCTACGATGATGTTTCCAAATACAGAATCTAGTTACAGCAACTATATTCCAATATCGACTTTGGATTAGCAGTATGTCTTATAGGCCAGCTTTTTCATGTTGCAACCCCCTTCCTCTGCTTTGCTAGATTTTTTCCAATTGCTGGTCTAATTATAAACTTCTTGCTAAATGCATGATCTAGTGGTCTGAGTTAAAGTTATTGGTGGCATGTTTCCATCGAGAAGGGAAAATAGTTGCTTGCCCAGAACCCTGTTATTTCTGGTAATCAATTACACAATGGTGCTGTTTATCTAAGATCGAATCAAAGCTTCCCAAAATGTCTGTTTCCTTTTAGCACTAAGTTGTAGGCTTGTAGTTCATGGGGTTGTTTGTACGTTTTAATGAATACCCTTTAGTTCCTGGGAATTGGAAGTGAAGGCAATCATAGGATATTATAATTGAAAGAGCTCAGACAAAAACTGAGTCACCTTCAAGCTTTATGGGCAGCTTTGTTTAACAAGAGTCTCTTTAAGTGTTTCTCTCTTGATGAATACTTTGGGTATCTGACTTTTGCAATGTACTTGTCAAAGATAGGATTTCTCAAGTTTCTGAACAAGTTGCCCCTTTTGGAAACTACGTTTTAGATTGTTCAGATTATTTTTCCTATCTGATCTATCGCATCCTCAATTTATTTGATTCCCATGTGATTGCAGATAAGGACGGTAAAAGTCAATAATCTTTCATTGACAGCAACTGAGCAAAACATAAGGGAGTTCTTCTCTTTTTCCGGTGAAATTGATCGTGTTGAAATGCATAGGTCTGTTGTGAATCTGTTAGCATCACATACCTAACTTCAACTTTTCTGCCACTGCCAATTTGGCTGCTTAAAAAGTGCTGCCGAGAACAAGTCATTGCAATGACCTTTTCAATCTAATTATATGACTGTGAACTTCATGAGTTCTGTCCTTCTAGGGCCTGGATATATACTTTCCGCATATGTTTCTTAAACAATTCTAATATGTGATCTTCTTTCAGTGATGATGAACGGTGCCAGATGGCATATGTTACTTTCAAGAATCCTGAAGGAGCAGAGACTGCAGCTCTTCTTTCGGTATTTATTAGCTTTTCAATACCTCCGAATTTGTTTAATTTGTTGTTGCACATTTGGAAAGTGTTGCTTTAAGGAGTGTTAGTGTTGTAAATGTGTGGATGGGAATCTTTTGAATGCTTAGAGTATACCTTTTCATCATCTTGAATAAATTTTGTCCCCCAGTGAATCTCATAGAAATGTCAACAGTTTGCTAGTTGAGCATGACATGAATATGGTAATTCTGGAAATAAAATAATTTGGTTCTTAATCATCGAGGTAATTTGGAGTCCAAATGTAAGGATGAAGATAAGGCTATGCATGTTCCTAAATGGTACTCCAGTTTAACTACATTTCACATTTGAGCAGAAGCTACGACGGCAGTAAAAGAGATGTCTGTAGTGTTTATCTGGAGAATAGTTCAACTGTAGTAAAGTCCATTGCTATCTTATCATCAGATTTGTCCATTAATACTCCTTACTTGCATGAGCTTCCGATAGCAAGCTCCTCCTGTGGTAACCTTTTCTGCTGCTTAAAGTTTACTTGTTTGATATTATACATAGGGTGCGACCATTGTCGATCAGGCAGTCACTATAGCTCTAGCACCAGATTACGAACAATCAGATGATGCTTCCGCGGTGCCGACTGTAAGATTGTCCTTTAAGAGGTCAATTTAGATGCTTCTTCTGTGAGGATTTTTTTCCCTGACAGGAGGATACTTTAAATAACTTTCAGGCAACTGAGAACAAGGGAGCTGCTGCTGGATCTCCAGTCCAAAAGGCAGAGGAAGTTGTAAGCAGCATGCTAGCTAAGGGATTCATCTTAGGTAAAGATGCGCTTAGCAGAGCAAAAGCATTTGATGAGAAACACCATGTCACCGCAACTGCTACAGCAACAGTTGCTTCTCTAGACCAAAAGATTGGTCTGAGTGAAAAAATCAGTGCTGGAACAACTGTGGTGAATGAGAAGATGAAGGAAATGGACCAGAAGTTCCAGGTTTCGGAGAAGACAAAGTCTGCAATAGCAGCTGCAGAGCAGACAGCGAGCACTGCAGGGTCTGCCATCATGAGTAACCGTTATGTGCTGACCGGGGCCTCATGGGTTGCTGGTGCATATAGCAGGGTCACTAAGGCAGCAGGGGAAGTGGGGCAGAAGACACAAGAGAAGGTGGCGGCTGAGGAGGAATCACAGGGAAGGAAAACCTGAAGGGAACCTTTGAATTCAACAAAAAACTGCTGATGTTATAGAACCCTTCGCAAGCCTGTCAGCTCAAGGTTTCTTAACTTGATTTAGTAGCATCTTTGGCCGTAGATGTTTGTTATTTCAAAGATTTCAGTGTTGCTGGTTGATAGTAGTTCGGGAAGCTTTTAGAGAATTCGAATATATTACTCATGGTTGCATGTTTATGACTTGAGCTTGAACAGTACCGCGATAAATTGGGCTAACAACCGAATTCTTCTCTTTGCATTGCAATGGAACCTAGTCTGTAGAATAAGCTCTTGAATCAATCATCTGTACTTTGATGGTTGCACCAAAATGCGGATCATACCAGATTTGATTTTCCGGCATTCTTTCGCTAGCATTAAATTGGTGAAGTCTTGAAATATTTTTCTCTTTCCATAAATAGGTGTAGAAGTTCTTCATATTATTCCAAAGAAAATATTTTCATATTAACAAACAATTCAAGAATTCCGCAATAAGAAGACTTTGCGAAATTTTTTTGAATAATTTTGAGCATACGATACGCGTGCGCCTTTGGTCGTATAGATTGAGTTCCACGGCGCAAAATGTAGTTAATGTGGTTATGTGGAACTATGAACCACAAAGCTTTATTCCAATCCATTTAACCAAAATTCATTAGTTTCGAACTTTACTCAAAAGGCCCCAGTTGCATGAATGAACCAAGAGATCCGAAAAAACTAAAGACTCACTAACCTTCTTTAAGCCTAAGATTGAATCAACCGCTTATATAATCACCAATCACGAATATCCTCTCGAGTCAACTTCTCATTCAATGACATTTTTCCGTGTCCTCCACTTCCAAAAACGCTAACGAGGTCTAGACAAAAACAGGGGAGGAAATGCCGTGTTTTTGAGCCCCACGAGGAGAACAATGACAAAGGCTCTTTGTTAACTCGATGCTCTCACTCATTGTGCTTGTAACGGATTCCCAAGTCGTAATGCATCGTATCTGTGAATGGAATGGTATAGTGTTTGAGCCATTGCTTGTTTGTTTTGAACGACGGATGCCGTCGGATCAGGCTGGGGCCAACTCAACATTGGAGCATTTGTTTCAATTGGTCAACTATCTGTGGAATTAGACAAATCCAACGCAGGCCGACGACTGAAATTCCAAGGAAGGAACGCCTTCAATTACACTCCCAACACTAGGCCCCCCATACCGCATTCAACATCAATTACACTGCGCACACCCACAGGTAACTGCTGTTTAGTTCTCCTTTTTCGTTTTTTTCTTTCTTTCCCTTTTTTTTTTTTTTTTGTGCTCTTTTCTGGTGTGCTTCTCTTCACATTGTCCTCAGATCATCAGCTTTGCAATATAGGGTCTTTGAATGGTGTCATCTGACCAACTTTCTGAGCTATTTTCGGATTTGGGTAGTCTCTCTCTTTGATGTCCTTCACAGTTGTATGTTTTCCTGGGAGTATACACATTCTCCTGCTCATAACCTCAACTTGGTGACGTCTTTGATTGGCCCTTTTCCCCATTCCCTTCTCAATGTCTGTGCTTTCAGCTCAACCTTGAGGACATCTGGCTCAGGCATGAGTGGTAACTTGATGGAGAAAGTAAGCGCATTTGGCGAGCGTGCAAAGATTAGTGGGGCTGAAGTAGGCCGAAAGATGAGCGCTGGCGTGAGCTTGATGAGCTTCAAGGTGAAGGAGCTTTTCCAAGGCACCACCCCGGGGGATAAGCTTGTCAAGGATGCTACCTCCGAGCTACTCAACGGACCTGATTGGGCCCTGAATCTTCAAGTATGCGACATGATTAATCACGAGAAGATCAACCGTGGGGAAGTGATCCGCGGCGTAAAAAGACGCTTAAATGCGATGAGCCCGAGGATCCAATACTTAGCTTTGGTCTTGCTGGAGACTTGTGTCAAAAATTGTGACATGGCATTCTGCGAGGTGGCTTCCGAGAGGGTTCTTGATGACATGGTCAAGTTAATTGATGACCCGCAGACTATATTTAGTAACCGGAACAAAGCCCTGAAGATGATTGAAGCATGGGGAGAGTCGAGAAGGGAACTCAGATACCTGCCTGTATATGCAGATACATACAAGGTACACGTCTTTCATAGTTTCTCGAGGTTGAGTTGTATCGGTGATCTATATCAAAATAAAATAAAAGGAAATGGTGGAATATAATGCAGCTTTCCTCTGAGTGGACTTCTGGTTCGATGAAATTATAACTTCACCGGAGAATGAGCTAGAGCCTAGAGATTTTCACTTTTTATTATGCCCAGTTTCATCAAAGTCTATGAGCTCGTGATGTTAGAATTTTGGAAGAAGCACTTCAGTTAAGTACCCAAAATAGAGGTAGAGAAGCATCGCTTACTGAATGTTATGGGAGGAGAGGAAAGCTGCAGTATAGTATAGTCCATCTCTTGGAGGAAATATCCCAACTTATTCCTACTGAGCAAATTTTCTTTTTTTCCCTCTTGTCAAATTCAGAGCTTAAAGGCCAGGGGCATTTGCTTTCCGGGTCGTGATGATGAAAGTTTGGCACCTATTTTCACTCCACCAGCTTCAGTTTTGGATTCAGAACCGGATTTTACCCTTGCCCGACTTATGCAACATGATATGCGCATTCCTACGTTTACTGCTGAACAAATAAAGGAGGCGCTTGAGGTTGCAAGAAACAGTATCGAGCTTCTTGCCACGGTCTTATCCTCCTCACCGAAACAAGATGTTTTACAGGTCAGTTTGCAGCTTTGGGTGTAAAACTGTCACTATGCCTCTTCAAATGTCTGAAGTACTCGTTGGTTAAGCGCACAACAGGAGAACGCTTCAGTCATTTGTATGCTACCTTATATCATTGGCATCCGCATAACATTGCACTGACCAATCAAATTCGAATCCTCACTCTCGTCGTCACAAGCATCCGCAGCTTTCACTTTAATTTCCCTAGCGCCTCAGACAGGGAGCCGCTGGTTACTTTAGGCCAAATGCGCGCTCGCCGTCCCTTTCCAAACTAGTTGCCTTTTTCATAATGTTGATACGTGCGCGGTGAATTAAATGGTCGGTCTATGTGGACACTCAGGAACTCCTTTTGTCTCGTGTTTTCAGGACGAGTTGACAACCACACTGGTGGAGCAGTGTCGCGAAGCTCAGTGCAACGTGCAGAGAATCGCGGAGACAGCAGGAGATGACGAGGCTCTACTCTTCAAAGCCTTGAAAGTGAACGACGAAGCCCAGGAGGTCTTCTCCAAGTATGAACAGCTGCGGGAACCAGCCACGCCGGCTCCGGTACTGCCAGGACCAGCCATGATAACGCAGGATTCACCGAGTGAGGCGACAGAAGACGCTGTGACTCGAGAACCTCTGAGCTATAAAAGTGGGAGGGAAAGATGGCATGAGGACATGATGGAGGATCTGGACGAGGTGATATTCGGTAAGAAAGGCGGGGGTAGATCTGAAGCAAAGCAAGACGACCTCATTTCCTCGTGAGGCGCGATAGAGTGCCATTTCAACTTCTTGATTTTGGGGGTGGTAAAGGCGGTGAATGATGACTACAGCTGTTGCAATTGGTTGCACATTTCTTTCATGTTTGGATTTTCTTGTTGACTATATATTGGGAGAATATGGTGTCGTTGGAGCTCCAAAATTGAGTTTTGATTTTGAATGTGGCATTTCTATGGAGATGGAGATCGTCGGTTTTGGGGTGGCCGGTTCCCACTCTGGAATCGGGATTCGAATCAACTATTCTCTAAATTTCGGCTTGTGAAATCGAGAATCGGCTCATCTATTCATGGACTCATCCGGAAAACGGACTGATCGACCTGGTTCGGTTCCCGGTGAGTCCAGAAACCGGCCGTATCTCCATTTTTTTTTCTATTCCTTATAAGACTACCACAAGTGTTGCCGTATAATCTAAACTACTACATGAGTGATGTTAATAGAACAAAATCGTGATAAGCTAAACATGATTATCATCTCTAATGATCATCAAGAACCAAGTCCAAGAGCCATCGAGCTGCAAAGGAGGCGCGAGCGCTGCGTGACTGAAACTGAGAGAAGTGAGAATGAAAGGCGTGAACGATGAGCGTGCATAACTAAGTCTATCCGAAATTTGGAAAATAAGAATTTAAAAAAAAAGAAAAATCGGTCCAATCTGAATGAATGGGTTCACACCTGAAATCGGGAACCAGACCAATTCCCGGGTGAACTAGAACCGGTCGGTTTGATCCGGTTCTTTTGCTCATCCCTCTCATTTGTATTGCGATGTACCGAGAAGGAGCTGGAAGGAGGCCTGGGCCTGGGCCTGGCCCACAAATTTGAAGGCCCACCTGCGCAACGCCCTCTCCTCTCCGTGTGATGACTGGCGGTGGTGCCGGTGCTGATTGAAGCGAGCGACTGTTCCTAGTTTCACTCTCTCTGTGTGCGGTGCGGGAGAACATGAACATCGCGCTTCCTCGCCTCGCCTCGTCGAGATCTGATTGAAGAAGATTAGCTTCCCTCCTCCGGCCATGGCGGGCAAACATCTTCCGCCGCCGTTCCTTCGCCGCCGATTCCGGTCCGCCGTGGTCCTCTTCCCCCTCCTCCTCCTCCTCCTCCTCTTCGCCTATCTCTTCTTCTCCTCTCTCTCCGCTTCTTCCCGCGGTCCGGCGCCCCCCGCTTCTCACTCCGCGAAGCCCGAGACCTCGTTCCTGATCTCTCTGGAGCGCTTCCTCGCTCACCGCTCACCCTCCGCGCTCTCTCGCCATCCCGACGATACGGCCACCCCGGCCGCGGACGACGACGGCGGCGTCGGGAAGTTCGACGGCTCGGTTTTCGCGTCGGAGAGCGAGAGGTTGCGGGGAGATCCGCTTTACCCGCTCGATTTGCCGCTGCGGGTGTACGTCTACGAGATGCCCCGCAAATTCACCGACGATTTGCTCTTGCTGTTTTGGAACACTTACAGGGAGACCTTCAATCTCACCTCCAATGGAAGCCCCGTGCATCGCCTCATCGAGCAGGTCTTCATCCTCTTTTAGCATTCATACCTCCCGCGCGCAATTAATTCTTTGCTAACTGATATGTTGTTCTTCATTTGATGTTTGCTGCTGGTAAGATGAGGCGTAATGTAAGAAGCTCCTCCCATTCTGCTTTGTCTAGGCGAACCCGTTTGTTTTCCGCTTCGCTAACATTTGGCAATTGGGTCTGCAGCATTCTATAGATTACTGGCTTTGGGCAGATCTCATTGCTCCCCAGTCGGACAGGCTCTTGAAGAATGTAGTCAGAGTCCACAGGCAAGCGGAGGCCGACCTATTCTACATTCCTTTCTTCACCACAATTAGCTTCTTCTTGCTGGAGAAACAACAATGCAAGGCCCTTTATAGGGTGTGAGTGCGCTTTGCGGCTTTACGAAATTAAGTTCTGCGTGTTCATTTTATGCGGTTGTCGGTCTTCATTTTTTTTGCGTGGGAATTGATATTGGTTCTTTTGTTGCTTCATTTATTTATTTTTTTTAAAATATTTTACCCTGCTGCATGTTGCCTTTCTTCAGCAATTGTCTTCTTTTGACGTCATATTATATATCGCTGGCATCATCATGCCTTCCCTAGCATTTTATATGGGCAGAAGTTCAATTTGCCGCCTGCTAGTTCTTAGCTCTCAATGGATGACCAGAAATGATAACGTGGCTGTAACTGGGAGTACCTTGTAGCTGATATCCTGATTCCTGTGAAATTTCATGCTTTGCAAACCAGCTGTGGATCCCTTGAATATTTCTGGTCTGAGTACTAGCATCAGTGATATCTTTTCTCCTGGTGTTTGGGATGGTTTTCCATATAAGTTTGGTGTTACTGATGTGGTAAAGTTCTTCAGTTTGCTGATTCTTTTTGTAGAACCAGCCAGCTTAGGGAATAGGGACCCTTTTTCTCCCAGCATACTCGTGTTGCCTCCGATTGTATCGAATGAAGAAACATATCATGTAGTTGCAATCTTCAATTGTAGGAAGCCCTCAAGTGGGTAACTGATCAGCCTGCTTGGAAGCGATCCGAGGGCAGGGATCACATACTTCCGGTTCATCATCCATGGTCCTTTAAGTCTGTGCGGAGAAATATGAAGAATGCTATTTGGCTCTTACCCGACATGGATTCAACTGGGAACTGGTAATACAGTGATTGAGTTTAAATGGCTTATTGAGCAAGAATTTGCCCACTTTTTTTTTGTGGCTGACATGTATTTTTGCTGAAATTAAGGTACAAGCCAGGACAAGTTTCACTGGAAAAGGATCTAATACTTCCTTATGCACCAAATGTGGATCTATGCGATGCCAAATGCTTGTCAGACAGTCAAGCAAAGAGAACCACTCTGCTTTTCTTCCGTGGGCGGTTAAAGAGGAATGCGGTTGGATTTTCTTATCCCTGATGAATAAACGTATATGGGAAACTGCTTAACTAATTTAGCAACTGCATTTAATTATATGTTTTTCTCTTTAGTCCAGTAAATATGCTTTAGCATTGGGTATGGGTGGGTCAGTTAGTTGGATATAACCTCTTTGGTTTATGTGAATGACACTTTGGCTTGGTGATTTGTAGATAGGGCTGCCATCTCAGGAGCATTTAGATATCTTTGTCAATTTATTACCCATTTACTTGGCCCATTGCGGAAATTAGGCCTATGTGGTCGATGATTGAAGAATATGACCTGTTTGGTGTCTTCTCAATTGGTTAAATGCAGTTTTTGAACTGGATTTATTGGATTTTCATGTGCTATCTTCATCAAGAAACCACAAATTAGTAGTAGAATTTGCGTGTTTCACTTGTCTTCTGCTGCCTAACTACAGGCTTGAGTATGGAATTTTCTGTTAGACATGCTAGTGACCAACAAGGAGGGGGAAGCTGGTTGATGAAGTAAAATGTATGAAAGACTTTGAAAACAAGATTAAGCTCAAGATTCTTTAGTGTGCCTGTGTGTTCATGGTTTTGCTTACTGAGTTTTCCTTGTCATGAGAATCACTTGAATGAAAGCAAATGATTCGATCATAAGTGCTCTCCTTACCTTTTTTTCGTTATCTCATTATATTCAACACACCGTAATTCTTTATCCTATTTTTACATGTTTAAGCTGTGACAACCCACAATGTGTTTTCAGGGAGGAAAGATACGTGCTAAACTTGTAGCTGAACTGAGTAGTGCGGAGGGGGTTGTCATTGAGGAGGGAACTGCTGGAGATGCTGGGAAAGCAGCAGCTCAGAGTGGAATGCGAAGGTTTATTTGCATAGACTTACTTTGCTTCTATTCTATGGGTACATTGCTCTTGATTGTCGTAGCTGAATCATTGTTGTATGACCAGGTCTATCTTCTGCTTAAGCCCAGCCGGTGACACTCCATCATCTGCTCGGCTTTTTGATGCTATTGTCAGTGGGTGCATCCCAGTCATAGTAAGTGATGAATTGGAGCTTCCCTTCGAAGGGATACTTGACTACAGAAAGGTTCGTGTGTGCATCCTTAAGGTCTCCTTACTTTGTTCTGTTGAAGTGTCACTCTTGAAGATGAATACTTATGCAATTTAGCAATAGGGGAAAAGGTGGAAAAAGCGTAATTGTTATTCGAGAGTGGGTCTCTTAGTGTAGGCTTCAGTTTGGTTGTGCTATACCTTTTCTCTGTTTTTTTCATTTCCTTTTTTTTTGGGGGGGATGAGCTATGTTTTCATTGAAACTTATATTGATCTTTACCATGCAGATAGTTCTATTTGTTTCTTCCAGCGATGCTGTTCAACCGGGCTGGCTTTTAACATATCTCAGAAATATCAGCACCGCTCAAGTCAGAAGATTGCAAAGCAATCTTGCTAAGGTTTGCGTCTGTTGAGTCATGATGGATTTTCTCTGTTGCTCTTTAGGTGGTTCAGTCAGAGACAGGCACTTTTACAGTCTGTTCCTCTTCCACAGAGTCTCTCTATTGTTCATCAGGCGATATCTTCCGTCAAATAAGAACTTTAAAAGCTAGGATATAGAGCTGAGTGGAGATACCTCTTAGTGTTTTCTTCTCTTTTCTTTCATTTATATATTCTAGAAGTACAGCTCTTCTATTGTGAATAATCTAGGAGTCGCGTTACACCAGATGAGAGAAACTTTAACCAGGGAATTAAAGGCGCTTAGTTTTTTCAGCATCTTCTTTCTGATATTGATTTCCTATGACCTATATACACCACCTAGTACAGTCAATTTTTGCATTAGCTTACTGATGTCGCAGTTTTTAAGTCGCATATTCCTTCCCACCTCCTTCAAATTGGCGGACGCTGATGCAATCTTTATCATCTTGGCAGTATTCTCGGCACTTCATCTATTCAAATCCAGCTAAGCCCCTGGGTCCTGAAGACTTGGTCTGGAGAATGGTTTGTTCACTTGCTCTGTTATTCCATATGCAATTGTAGGTTCTTTTGTCTGCCTATGTATGATGAGATAGTAACGCTGTCTATTTATTAGTTATTGTTGGCCTGCATGAGAATGGACAACTAAGAAAATGGTAGGCCAGGAATCGACAAGTTCGCAATAGGTTTTTTTATACTCCTGGATCTTTCCTAGTGTGCTAAACTTCAAAGGCTTGACTACTACTTGTATGAATAAACTCTGCCTTGTTTAGACTAAGGTTGTGGATGATGCAGTGGTCAAACTAATCACAGTACAACTGTATGGGAGCTTGCATTTTTTAGTGCGACCTGGGTCCCATAAATTCTTCAAATCTAATTAGCTTGATTAATAAACTAAATCTATGCAACATGCAATATTTGCTCTACAATCGCGGTCCGTCTTCTTTGTGGATGGAAAAAGTGGGGCAGCATGTCAGTGCAGAATAAATTTCTTCTTGAGCTGGCTGCCTGGGAACTGTAATTGGGTGGATCTGAGTGATGTTTAAAAACCTCGTGTTCAATTCTGGCAGAGTCAACCGATCTGGAACATCGCTGAAGAGTAACACGAATCGAACATTTAATATATAGAATTAAATCGCAGCTGGAGCTTGATTGTTGATATAGTTTTATGGGGCTTATTTATGCAACAGATGGCTGGTAAGGTGGTGAACATTAAGCTACACACGAGGAGATCACAGCGGGTAGTGAAAGAGTCAAGAAGCATATGCGCTTGCGACTGCAGGCGGGCCAATATTACGAGCTCAATGTCCCTGCAGTGAACAGTAGTATGTGGATGACCTCCCGCTGCTTTGCTTCAGCTGGGAATTGGGCTTGACATTTGGAGTTGCAATCTGCACAGGGCGGTACATCATGTATTATGTAAAGACGTATAGTTCTCTTTAAGAACTTGCTTTGGTGCGCATAGATTGGAATTTCTGTTATTTATTTACGGGTTCGGTTCTTAGCATAGGCTCAAAAAGTACGATTCTTTTCCCAAGATGCGGGGTGGTTGGTCTTTGTATTTTGCTGTTCCAATGCGTTAATTGGATATAGAGCACGAGAAAAGGAAGAAGAAAATTGGGGAGCGAGCATGGTGGAACCGTAAAATGTGGACCACGAGTTTAGGGTTTAGCTTTGTATGATTTTGTGGGATCCTGTCCAGAAAACTGACTCGGTAGCATACTCTGCAGGCGGTGGGACGGGCGGTCCAAGTTTAATTGAAACTGATGGGGGTGGTCTTTTCTGTGTTGTTTTAATAAGAGAGAAATACAGGAGGTGGGATGCATGTAAGATGTGATGGGGGGGGGGGGGGGGGGATTGTGGGATTGATCATTTTGTTGTGGGGCCCCACACGGGCCTGCAGCGTGTCCGATCGGATCGGATCCGAGGTTTCGCCACCACGTTCATTGGACCCTTTTGCACATGGGGGGGCCTGCGTGGTTGAAGATTGTGTGGGAGAGATATAAAAATAATGGGGGAAGAGAGAGAGAGAGAGAGAGAGAGAGAGAGGGAATTAAGGAAGGATTCCTTTCTGGGTTCCGCGCAATGCGCATTTCACGGCATAATTACCGTCCCCTTTCCCACCCATGACATAAAAAACCCAATTCCTCACGCTTTCCCCACCTTACTATTGGACTGCTGTTTGGGGGGTTGGAAGAAACCGCACCCACCAACCACCCTTTTCAGTTCCATCTCCATATGCAAAATCCTAACTAGCTATAAAAGGTTTTTCGATGATGACGACGTCCGGGTGCCTCTGTTGGCAAATGAAACAATTAAAATGATGTGGTAATCAATCCACGGGCTCCGGGGAACGGTACCCGACTCTTGTTGAAACGGCAAATGAAGAAGGCTTTGCCGTATCTGAGGATGGAAAGGGTCCAATCGGAACAGGTCAATTCGCATTGGTTGGCCAGCTTACGGTGTAGATTTGAGATACTTGGGACAGGGAGTATGATGGATCTGAATTCCGACAAATCTTGTGCGGTTCTTTGACGAGGGTTGACATTACCAATTGAGGGGTGGGGGCGGTAGGTGGGGGAGAGTGGGAGGCGTGCCACTCAGCACGTCCCATTATTCGTCGCACGTTATTGCGAGATGCTCCGTGATTCAAATTTTTACGAAAGTGTCAATGAATGAGATGAGCCGAGTGAGTCTCGTGCATGTGAAAAGAGGGAGGGAGGGAGGCAGGACAAGTCCTGCCGGAAAATTGAGCTGGTCTTCTGCGTGGAAAACGCGTTTGCCCAAAAACTCTATTACTACCCTTCCCTCTCTCCCCTTCGTGTGACCGGATCACTACTAAGTTCAATTCGACACCTAAGACAGACATTCCTCATACAACCGCGCACACCTGAGTCCCATCGTTTGTGCAAATGTCAGTTATCCCGTTCTTGGTAGATTGGGCGAACCTATGTTCATCACTCTCGTCCTCTCCACTCAACGTTAGCACGCAAAATCCCACAAAAATTTAAGTAATAATTTAGATTTTGGCGAGAAAACATAAATTTTAATTTTAAATAAAATAAAATAAAAATCATACAAGCCTTGCTACAATTGTAATTGTCTAATTCTAACCATTTAACATTCTTAATCGCACCGGAAAAAACATGGTCATTTTTTTACCCAACGTCTACCGAATCAGAGCGATTTAACAATCGATTCATCGGCCAACAACCACTAGTCTAATCGATGGACGTGCCACTATATAAGAATTGGGCCAACCTAGCCTACGCTCGGCACGGCTCGTGACTTGTCGGGTCATTTCAGCTTGGGGCACTGAGTCGGTCGTGCTTGTTGTGCCTAAGCACTATTCGCTTGGCAAACGGGGGTCAACCTGGCTCAACACGCCATTACCTATAATGTCCGGGACAATGGGTCGGGCCAGGGTATTTGCCATGCCTACCATGGCCTCAAAAAACAAAAACAAAAAAAGAGCACAACATGTGTAAGAAATTAAAAAGTTTTATGGGAAAAATAGGTGCGATGGTTACACCGGTAGAGAGAGAGAAAGAGCGAGACCCAACACACAACGGTCACAAGTAGCATAGGCAACGCCTTCGAAAGCCGGACGACTTCGATAAAGTCGCTGTCCTGTTCGAAAGTTGGACTTATCTAACGGATACGGACACGACCCATTTTGCATCGCCAGTGATGCCCTCAGACCAAGTCCTTCCTTCCTTCCTTCCTTTCCATTCGCTTCGCACATTGAAAGAAACACTCTTCTCTCTCTCTCTCTCTCTCTCTCTCTCTCTATCCTTTTCACCGTCCCCCACACATACAGTGGTGAGCCTCTCTCCCTCTTTCAAAATTTCAAAAAAGGCCTTCTCTTTTCCCATTTCCTCCTTTTCCTTTTCTGCGTCCAAGACTCTGGAGCCTGAGCCGGCGACCCAAAAGAAAACCCATCTCCTCTATCTCTCTCTCGCACTCAATCTGAGAAGCTTCTTCCGCTGGACTACAATAAAAAAACCCATTCCCCTGATTACCTGTTCCTCCTCCTCCTCCTCTGCTGTTTGTCTTAAAGCCATTTTTTCTTATTTATCTACTACTGCGGCTTGGGTCGTGTGACCAAGTAGTGCTTGCTGTTTCTCTCACGACGCGGTCCATCTCCCTCTACGACACTCCCTTTTGTGCCAGCAATCCAAGAAGAAGACAGCTAGAGTTCACATCTCTCCGTTTGAACTCTTCTTCTTCTTCTTCTTCGTCAGCAGCAGCGACAAAAAGACCCCTCCTTTTTAAGATTTCTGATCCGACCCCGAGCAGATCTTGGCCCTCGCCGCTGCTCGTAACTCTCCAAGGTACGGTTCATCGCCCGGATCTGATAATTTCTGGGTCCTCTCTTTCGGGCATGGTCCCGATCTTCCCTCCTTCAAGGTGAGTTGAGTTGACCCTTTTGCGCGGCTGCCGTAAATTGCGGAACTGGGCGTTCGTATCAAGTGTTCTTTCGTTTTCATGCGTTTGTGCGGTCGCGTTTTCTAAGGTGGTCTCGTTCGGTTCCTAGGGAGAATGTCTGAGTGGAATATCGCGTGATTACTTTTTCGGGCTTGAGCTCTTTCGGTTTCGCTTATTTTCTCGCCTTTACGTTTTAACTGCCCATGAAGCAACTCCTTCAGTTAAGAGAAGGAGAAAAGATGTTAGCTTGAGGATTTTCACCTAGATATCGGGCTTCAACCATTTTCATCTGGCCTGTTTTCCCCAAAAAGGGACGACCTTTTTATGAGTTTTGGTCGTTTTCATCGGCATCAGCATTTTTTGTATATGAGTAGTGTTGATGAAGTGCCGTTTGAATCATCGCTGCAGGATTTATTCGTAGTTCTGTAGCAGTGAGCAATCATGGCATCGAAATCATTCAGGGGAAGCAGATCGAATTTATCTCAAAGCTCAGAGGCAGCTGACATCAAGCCTCCACTGCCTCCTACCGTCACCTTTGGCAGAAGAACTTCATCGGGGCGTTATGTCAGCTACTCAAGGGATGACCTCGACAGCGAACTCGGGAGTGCTGATTTTGTGAACTATACTGTACATATCCCCCCCACCCCTGATAATCAACCGATGGATCCATCAATCTCACAGAAGGTCGAGGAGCAGTATGTGTCAAATTCTCTCTTTACCGGCGGATTCAATAGCGTCACTCGAGCTCATTTGATGGACAAGGTCATCGAATCCGAAGCTAGTCATCCCCAGATGGCTGGCGCCAAAGGATCTTCTTGTGCAATCCCTGGTTGCGATGCCAAGGTGATGAGCGATGAGCGGGGCATGGATATACTCCCTTGTGAATGTGACTTCAAGATTTGCCGTGATTGCTACATTGATGCGGTGAAGACGGGCGGTGGGATCTGCCCAGGATGTAAGGAGCCTTATAAGAACACAGATTTGGATGAGATTGCAGTGGATAATGGGCGTCCCCTTCCGCTTCCACCACCTGGTGGCATGTCCAAGATGGAAAGGCGCTTGTCACTGATGAAATCAACAAAATCTGTTCTCATGAGGAGCCAGACCGGTGATTTTGATCATAACAGGTGGTTGTTCGAAACAAGGGGCACATATGGATATGGAAATGCCATATGGCCCAAGGATGGGGGTTTTACTGGAAAGGACGATGATGTGGTGGAGCCGACTGAGTTGATGAACAAACCATGGCGGCCTCTGACTAGGAAACTCAAGATCCCTGCTGCTGTTCTCAGCCCATATAGGTACTTTGTCCTTTCCAAAATTCATGCTTTATAACTTTGCTTCATGGGATTTAGATCACTAGTGGTTGTCTATGAAATCAAATTATTTCTAATATCTGATTGGTAAGTTGTCTATCCGTCCGTGTTTTGTTTTATACCACAAAATGGATTTACATGGACGTGCAATATCATGAGTGCCTTCACGAAACCCATTGAGATTGACTATGAATCACGGTGGCCGTCATATATTATATCTAGACATTCACGAGGCAGAGCCACCGATCATACATATTGGCTCATTGCGATCATACATTTCAGCTCATTGCTGAGAGCATTATTGAAGTGAGCGCATGATAAGAACCAGAATTTCAAAAATGAAATGAACGGCAGACAAATCATTTCATTGTTGTTTCCAAGTGATCATCTCAGTTCAACATTCTGAATATTTCTATCATTTGCACGCAGGCTTCTCATTGTTGTTCGGATGGTTGTTCTTGCGCTTTTTCTGCAATGGAGAATTAGTAACCAAAACAATAATGCCGTTTGGCTGTGGGGCATGTCTGTGGTCTGTGAGATTTGGTTTGCTTTCTCTTGGCTTCTCGACCAACTTCCCAAGCTCTGCCCAATTAATCGATCTACGGATCTTAATGTTTTGAAAGAGAAATTTGAAACTCCTGGCCAGAATAATCCCACTGGGAAGTCTGACCTACCTGGAGTCGATGTTTTCGTCTCAACTGCTGATCCGGAGAAAGAACCGCCTCTTGTCACTGCAAACACTATCCTGTCCATTCTAGCTGCCGATTACCCAGTCGAAAAGCTAGCTTGCTATGTTTCTGATGATGGAGGTGCACTTCTAACCTTTGAGGCCATGGCAGAAGCTGCAAGTTTTGCAAATGTTTGGGTTCCTTTTTGTCGAAAGCATAATATAGAGCCTAGGAACCCGGAATCATATTTCAACCTGAAAAGGGATCCTTACAAAAATAAAGTCAAGGAAGACTTTGTCAAAGATCGTAGGCGGGTAAAGCGTGAATATGATGAGTTCAAGGTACGTATCAATGGACTGCCTGAGTCAATCCGCCGCCGATCTGATGCCTATCATGCTAGGGAGGAAATCCAGGCAATGAAGAATCGGAGAAACAACAGAGATGATGAACCTGTGGAGGCTCTGAAGATTCCAAAAGCGACGTGGATGGCTGATGGAACACACTGGCCAGGGACTTGGATGAATCCTGGACCGGAGCACTCTAAGGGTGACCACGCTGGTATTATACAGGTAATCCAATTATACTTCCACTTGATCATTCAAGGATGCATGGACCTTGTCTGCTCATAAGGCTGTGGGCACAACTAGTCTTTACATCACTGGAGGCTGATGATTTTCTATTAATGATGCAGGTGATGTTAAAACCGCCAAGTGACGAACCACTGCTTGGCGTTGCGGATGATGCTAAGATAATAAACCTTACTGATGTTGATATCCGCCTTCCCTTGCTTGTTTACGTGTCTCGTGAAAAGCGTCCTGGCTATGATCACAACAAAAAGGCAGGGGCTATGAATGCGCTAGTTCGTGCCTCAGCCATTATGTCTAATGGCCCCTTCATTCTCAACCTTGATTGTGACCACTACATCTACAACTCACAGGCATTGAGGGAAGGGATGTGCTTCATGATGGACAGAGGAGGGGACCGCATTTGCTATGTCCAATTTCCCCAGAGATTTGAGGGTATTGATCCGTCCGATCGGTATGCCAATCACAACACAGTCTTCTTTGACGTGAATATGCGAGCCCTTGATGGGCTTCAAGGCCCTGTCTATGTGGGAACAGGATGCCTCTTCCGGAGGGTTGCTCTTTATGGGTTTGACCCCCCACGTTCAAAAGAGCATCATCCTGGTTGCTGTAGCTGCTGCTTTGGCCGTCGCAAAAAGGTGGCTAGTACCTCAGAAGAGAAAAGGGCCTTAAGAATGGGTGATTCTGATGATGAAGAGATGAACCTCTCCCTAATCCCTAAGAAGTTTGGGAACTCAACTATCCTGATTGATTCGATACCAGTGGCAGAATTCCAAGGTCGTCCCCTTGCAGATCACCCTGCTGTGAAGAATGGTCGTCCACCGGGTGCGCTCACCATTCCTAGGGAACTTCTTGATGCATCTACCGTTGCAGAAGCAATCAGTGTTATATCCTGTTGGTATGAGGATAAGACAGAGTGGGGGCAACGTGTAGGATGGATTTACGGCTCAGTTACTGAAGACGTGGTCACTGGGTACAGAATGCACAACCGAGGATGGAAATCAGTTTATTGTGTGACCAAGCGTGACGCCTTTAGAGGAACTGCTCCTATTAATCTTACTGATAGGCTCCATCAAGTCCTTCGCTGGGCCACTGGCTCAGTTGAAATTTTCTTCTCGCGCAACAATGCCCTCTTGGCTAGCCCAAGAATGAAACTTCTCCAGAGGATAGCATACCTTAACGTCGGTATATACCCCTTCACGTCCATTTTCCTGATTGTCTACTGCTTCCTCCCTGCCCTTTCCCTCTTTTCGGGCCAGTTCATCGTCCAGACGTTGAATGTTACGTTCCTAACCTACCTCTTGACCATCACCCTTACTTTGTGCATGCTTGCGGTGCTTGAGATTAAGTGGTCTGGTATTGAGCTAGAAGAGTGGTGGCGGAATGAGCAGTTTTGGCTGATTGGGGGTACCAGTGCGCACCTTGCTGCTGTGCTTCAGGGGTTACTGAAAGTTGTTGCTGGGATTGAAATTTCTTTCACACTTACGTCGAAGTCTGGTGGTGATGATATTGATGATGAGTTCGCTGATCTCTACGTAGTAAAGTGGACGTCCCTGATGATACCGCCAATTACTATTATGATGACAAATTTAATTGCTATAGCGGTTGGGTTTAGCAGGACAATTTACAGCACGATTCCTCAATGGAGCAAATTGATAGGTGGAGTTTTCTTCAGTTTTTGGGTCTTGGCTCATCTGTATCCTTTTGCGAAGGGGCTCATGGGGAGACGTGGGCGCACTCCTACCATTGTTTTCGTTTGGTCAGGACTCATTGCAATCACCATATCACTTCTTTGGGTGGCAATCAACCCCCCAGCTGGGTCAACCCAAATCGGTGGCTCTTTCCAGTTTCCCTGATAGGTTATTCTTTTTAATATGCTTTATCTGTTTAGTGACATTACTCCATTCTTTTTTAAATGAGATGATCATGTTGACAAGGACGGGGGTATGTTCCATTTCCTATGCCCGTTTGAATTTTGTTCATAGAGCAGTTGGCATTTAGATGGCTCGGCATAGAAATATGGACAGTGGACAAGATGCTTGTTCATTGTTTGTATTGAATGATCAACGACGTGGTTTTGCTTATTACCTATTTCAGCTGCTTGTATAGCGTAATTACAACTGTTGGCCTCTATTCTGTTAGACAGAGGAAATGTTTAGTTAAAGAGTATGCTCTTTACAAGGAAAATGACAAGTTTTGTTTGCATTTCCTTTGTCTTTGAACTTGTTGCAATACTGGATGGATAATTTCTAGGGAAGCACTGACTCATCCATTTCGTAGCTATATTCTGCTGATGACATTTTGTTCGATAAAGAAGGCTGTGTGATTGAAACCAGAAGGTGATGCTGATTCAAGAAGGCTATGATTTGCATTTTTGTTGGCTCTCTGTATTACAATGCTACTTGTAAGAACTGCACCAATCTAGTTGTTGAAGCTGTCCTTCGTTTCATAATATTAGTTAAAATTACCAGTAAATCAGGTGAAGTTCGTGAAATACTGCTGTCACCCGTGGATCCTAGCCACTAGGGGTAAATTGAAGTTATAGTCACACATCCAATATGGAATTACTTTCACTCAGTATCTACTTTAGGAAACTCTCAAATGAGAAATTCCTAGAATACTAATAGAAGATGATCTGGTGCATCTTAGAGCACGTACACTGATGTTAGTTATTGGATCGCGTGGGCCTTCTATGGCTCACGACGATCGGACGATGCTGACATGATTCAATGTTTGCATATGCTATGGCAACATGCAAATATTGCTTCTGATAGTAGGAAGAAAAACCTCTTGCTCACCTAAAAAATGCTATTCGACTGGAGAAGTACAAACATGCGGGAGGTATGAGAATGTGTTGTTGAGGCGCGGAGATGCGTGTCCTAGCTAATCTCATTCCATGAAGTTCACAAGTACTTACCAGTTACCAATGTCCCATGATAAGAGCAAGTGAGCACGAAGACAAACCCCATTTTGCATCAGTTGTTCCATCCATCAGGTGTCGAAGAGAATTTGAATGGCGACCTTCAGAGCCTTGTTTATACTTCTTGTGGCACTCAACAAGCATTCATCGGCCGCTGCCCGATCCAACTCACCAAGAAACCCGCACCTTCTTGCCGCAATTGAAGAGATGAAACAAGCCAATTACTTCTCCTTCGTCATGCTCATAAACATGTCCCCTCCCATCCTGCTCGGAGGCAACCTCACCTTCTTTATGCCCGACGACAGGATGCTGTCGAGGATCGTTCTTCCCACCAATAATGTCTCCGATTTCGTGCTTCGTCATTCCATACCTAAGCCTTTGCTCTTCGACTACCTCGAACACATACCAACCGGCTCTCTCATTCCGACATCAGTTCCAGGGTATATGGTCAGAATCAACAACAAAGGACGCGGGAGCTTCTATCTCGACAATGTTAGAATCACTAAACCGAATGTGTGCGTGGCGGGGTCTTCAATTAGGTGCCATGGCATTGACGGGGTGTTGATGTCGGTGACGAACGTCACCGAATCTCCATCACCTTCCTGCCCTCGAAACGCTACTCCCGACACAGCAATGCCAACGCCACCTCCACCTCCTCCTCCGCCAGTGAGTGATGTAATTCAGCCTCCGAGTTCAGCTTCGCCTGCATCAGCCCCGGCAGCAAGTCCATTCAATCCCCCAGAGAAATCGGCTTCTTCGCGCCGGCTTGGTGCCGAAGGACTGGTGACTTTTCTATTGACTGGGGTTATTGTCTCAGCCATGATGGAATTCCTGAGGAATACGTTGTAATTCGAGAATGCAAATTAGTGACTCTTAGTATTCCTGCCATTCAGTCAAGGGAAGGCGTTGATAGTTGTATGTCATCTCCAAAGCGCTCGCACTACAATGATTCTCGCTTCAGTCCTAATAACCAATCATTTTGCATATAGTCACTAACCTGTATCTTAAGCAAGGGCTAATTATATAAGGACCGGAAGGTGAAGATAAAAGAGCGATTCGCCCGCGAAAGGACATTGAATCGTGGGCTGCATGCTAATCATCGGCTTCCCATCGCCGAAGTCCGATTGAAAGAGAAATGCGCAAGCCGACATCCTCAATTAAGTGCGAAATCATAACTCAATCTGATGTAACCAAAAAAAAAATGATAGGGAGAGTGTAGGCATTGTCAAAATGAACAAGATTTCAAAGGGAGAGGAGGTGGATGGGAATAGGTGGGTGGAGGAGTAAAGTGAGAACCGAAGAAACAGGTTTCCTGGGGGTGATTCAAAGAGAGATGCGGTTAGCTCTTAATTGCCATTAATGGCTACCCATTCACGAGATCCTCCCCCCCGTGTGGCTCTGTTGGACGACATCGCAACATCTCTATAACCCAACCCATGTTTGATCTTTGATTTTGGTCAGATTTCATTAATTAAAAGCGGTGGAGACTGAAGTTAAGAAAGTTTCGACTTCAATTTACATCACTGCCAAACTCCAATGTCATGTTCAATTACTCAAGATCTGCGACTAGCATCCACGCAGCCGAATTCTCCGATGCAATTCATTTTTTAAAGGAGTCATTCTAATAAAATTTATTCCATTTCCTTTTCAAATCTCATCGATTGCGTTACAATCCCGGCTTATGTAACTCCCCCTCATTACCGTTTCGCACCGTCTTCTCTTAACTTCATTTGCCGATCCCTCCCTACGGTTTCTTCTATTGAAATCCACGCCCTCTTTCTGGATCGACGGCCATGAAATGCTGCTGGTCCGAAGCAAAGAAAGCACCCCAAGGTACACACTACTATGAATGAGTAATCCCCATCTCTTTCACTTCCTAGGATATGATTTGCCTGGTATATGTTCATAGATTGTAATGCTATGTACGTATAGATTCTCCTTTACAATACCTTTATATGTAATTAGATGAGAAATAGCTATCTTCAAATCAGCTCCCATGCTTTCACGATGAATGTTTTGTAATTGTCTGTTCATCTATGTGAAGATGAGGCTGATTTTTACGTTAAAAATAAGGCTATCCTACATCTAAGTCTCACAAAGAAGACAGGAAATAAGATATAAAAATCAAATGATGATATTAAAGAGAAAACTCAAATGCTTAAAGTGTTATTTAAACTCTAGCGGAGAATTTGATTGATGTAAATATTTAATTCTATGTAGTTTTACGCATATTGTTTCTCTTACGGAAATTCATGTTGACACCGATATTTAGAAAGATATGACAAATATAGGTTCCGTTTGTTTTGCAGAAAATGTGACATATTCTAGGAAAATGTGACATTTTCCAGGAAAATGTTTTTCGGAAAGTTATTTTCTGAGAAAAAGATAGTATTTTCCAGTGTTTTGATGAGATTGAAAATGAGCTGGAAAATATTTTCCATCATTTAGTAAAGAAAATCTCGTTTGGTTGGCAATTGCTGATATGGATGGCGGTCGTCCTACGTGGCACGGCCGCTTTGACGTGGACAATTTTGTAATTTTCTAAAATAATTCTAATTTTTTCCTTTTTTTTCCCTTCTTACTTTGGTGGTCACCTAGCCTCGGCAACGATCAGCGACAAGCCACAGGCGAGAGCTGACAAGGCTAACCTCGCTAGCCGCTGCCAAGGCCCAACAACCAGTGGAGGAAGAAAGAAAAGAAGAAAAAAATTATAAAAAAATTCGAATTGTATTTTAAAAAAATTCTAAAAATTGTCCACATTAACACCGGCCGTGCCACAAAGGATGGCTGACATCCACATTAGCAATTTGTGGGCCTAGTGTCCCGAGCACCGATGTCCTGGGAAAATGATTTCCGATTTTTTCAAAGAGGAAATCATTTTCCTGAATTTAAGTATTGGTAGGAAAATATTTTTCGTTTACTTTGAAAATAGTTTTTATTGACTAATTTTTCTAACCAGAAAATGTTTTCCTTTCCGCAACACAAATGGAACTTATAGTCTTAGAGACGTGTGCAATTCACGGGCATTTTACTTGTAGTAATACAATCGACTGTTGACTTGCATAATTCTTGCATAACAATAAAGAAACAATAGAGAACAAAAGTAACTTTTAAATGATCTTGAAGAATATTATAAGTTCATTTTAGCTAATTATACAAACTATAGTAGGAAAGAAAAATCTCCAGCTCTTGCCTCACATGAATCTTCTAATAAATGCTTGTAAATGAGGAATTAGTGCTATAATTATTGTCGAAACGAGGATCGTGCAATAACTTGTGAGGAATAATCAAGTAATTAGCTCACAGCTATATTTTCCTTTATTCATGGTTGGAGGAAATTAGTAATCAACATATAGTCCCAATACAAATACGGGCAATGCCAATATTTGGCGGTCGAAGGGAGGACGAAGGAAAACATGACCCGTCAGCTTCAAAGGTAGGCATATACAACTATGGTTTTTCTCTAAGAACTCATAAAAAGTTAAGTGGAACTCCATTCCATTCTTTGGAAAAAGCCGAGGTAGGTTTATCATGCTACCTTATAAACCCAAGTTAACTCACTGAATCTTATGCTACTATTGTATTACGCATTGATCTCACAGAGTTCCGCCCAGATTCCGAATAGGAGTTGCCAAGTTCGAACCGGTCACTAGACATCCTAGCCGTCTCTCCGAAGTTCATCAAGTTTCATCCTTTCTTCGCGAGCTTTTCAGACTGGATAGGATTAGGTGAATGGGAAAAAGGGAGTGAAATCAATGAGTGAAGGTGTGGCACAACACAAGGGTTTCATACCTATATACATAACTCCCCTGAACAACAAACGCGATTTCCGCTGGAGTTACATAAGGCTACATGGTCAGCTTAGAGCATTCGTTAAACAAACGGTCAAGGAGTGGGAATTCTCGTGTATTAATAGCCATGAATATACATTAGCAAGAGGGTAAGAACAATAGGTGGTCTACGTCAACGCCTTGAACAGTTGAACTCTGCTCGTGTTGGCTAATCTAAGCGTCGGTGAAGTTCCGTGTTGTCGACACACACATAACGCTGTGGGGGTCGGGGCTGGGGGTAGGTGCACAAGGAATTTGGTTTGAAGGGGGCGTTAAGTGGTCGAACTTTTGTGTCTGGCTTTTGGCTTTTTGGCTTTCTGGCTTTCGCTATAAAGCATTTGAAGGTGAGATGGGGCGTGCCATCTGCTCATCCCCCCCTCCTTATGATTTCCATCTCCATCTACCTCTACCTACCCCCCCTCTCTTCCTCTTTCTCTTCCTCTTCCCTTTTGTTTTCTTCTTTCTCTTCTTTTTCTATTAAATATTTATTGTCCCCATCTCCCTCTCTCTATGTCTGATCTTGAACCAAACCAAACCAAACCCAACCCCCCTCTCTTTCCCTCCACCCAAATCTCAACTCATTTCCTCCTTCTCCTTCATCTCCTCCTCCTCCTCCATCGCTGTAATCATCATCGCCACCTCAGCCCGCCGCCACCATGATCTCCGTCGCGCCTTCTCCCGAAGCCAACCCCCAGATCCCCCCCTCCTCCGAACTCCCTCCTGCTCATCATGATCAGGATCAGCAGCAGAGCGCCCCCGCCCCCGCCCCCTGCACCACCATCTTCAGATCGAAGCTCCCGGACATACCCATCTCCAACCACCTCCCCCTCCACTCCTACTGCTTCCAGCACGTCTCTCGCTTCTCCGACCGCCCCTGCCTCATCTCCGACTCTTCCGGCAAGAACTTCTCCTTCTCCGACGCCCTCCTCCTCTCCCGCAAGGTCGCCGCCGGCCTCCACAACCTCGGCATCCGCAAGGGCGACGTCGTCATGACCCTCCTCCAGAACTGCCCCGAGTTCGCCTTCTCCTTCATGGGCGCCTCCATGATCGGCGCCGTCACCACCACCGCCAACCCCTTCTACACTCCCTCCGAGATCTTCAAGCAGTTCTCGGCTTCCCGCGCCAAGCTCATCATCACTCAGTCCCTCTACGTCGACAAGCTCCGCGACGGCCCCGCCCTCGGCAAGGACTTCGCCGTCATCACCGTGGACGACCCCCCAGAGGGATGCATCCACTTCTCGGTCCTCAGCGAGGCCAACGAGGAGGAGGCCCCCGATGTGGCGATCCACCCGGACGACCCGGTGGCGCTGCCATTCTCGTCGGGGACGACGGGGCTGCCCAAGGGGGTGATCCTGACGCACCGGAGCCTGATCACCAGCATAGCGCAGCAAGTGGACGGCGAGAACCCGAACCTCCATCTGAGGGCGGAGGACGTGGTGCTGTGCGTGCTGCCGCTGTTCCACATCTACTCCCTCAACAGCGTGCTGCTCTGCTCGCTCCGCGCCGGGGCGGGAGTGCTGCTGATGCACAAGTTCGAGATAGGGACGTTGCTTCAGCTGATCGAGCGCCACCGGGTGTCGGTGGCCGCGTTGGTGCCGCCTCTCGTGCTGGCCCTCGCCAAGAACCCCCTGGTGGAGAAGTTCGACCTCTCCTCCATCCGCATGGTGCTGTCCGGGGCGGCGCCGCTGGGCAAGGAGCTCGAGCTCGCCCTCCAGAGCCGCCTTCCCGGAGCCATCTTGGGCCAGGTCAGTCAGTCAAGTCTTTCACTTCTGTCTCTCTCTCTCTCTCTGTCTGTAGCCATGCTATGCCAAATCCATTAAAGGTCAAACAACTAACGAACTCCCGCACTGAAACACGGTTTTGCTCGCGAGTGGGTTGTACCGTAATTTCTGCTACTTCTGAGGTGCTCTTTTGTTACATCTTTATTACGTACCCACTTTGTGGTTGTGACAGTAGACAACGTAAGTCCGTGTGTACTTCTAACGACCACAAATAATAAAAAAAAAATTGGAATTTTTCTACCGACGCTTGTTAAGACTGATCTGCGAAAATGACAAGTTTAAGTGACGTGGCCTAATGGAAGTCTCCTGCATCATTTAATACAGCGAAAATAACACGAATGGTCCTTGAATTTTGGCCTTATATGTAATGCGATTCATAAATTTTTAAATTTATTCAGTATGTTCAATAAAAAAATTTATTCAATATGATCCCAGAACTTTTTTAACACAATTAGGCTATGCACATCGAACAAATTTAAAATTGAAGGGACCACATTACATATAAGGATCAATTGTGACATTATCCCTTTATCATATCAAATATGTTTATATCAATCTTAATAAAAACAAAAACTCAGGATAGATATTACGATTGTCCACCATGAATGAGTCATGCGATATATCCAAGCGTATGATACAAAGTTTGGTGCTGTCATATACCTTACAAGCTTTGATTTTAAACTTTGAAGCCGGACTTCGAGTTGATATTGATTCGCTCGATTTAAATTTAGGTGTTGGTTAAAATTAGCTTCTGAATCATGACAAGTTTTCCTCACAGATCCGTACAATTTAAGATATTCTCAGCGGCTAAGAAACAAGGATCCGAAATTGATGAGTGGACCTATGGGAGGCTTTTGCTTGAACGGGGAAGCAGCTGAACTCATTTAATGTCTTTGCTCACAATCACATGCCCCATTCAAATGAATCCTCCGGTGATTAAAACTCCATCGCTTTCATTTCTATTGCGAAAGCTTAACTCCGTCCTCTTCAATTTCCTGCACTGTTATTTACCAACGACATTTCTGTACGTGCACCATCTTTCTCCTCCAATATTAACTGCAAGACGGGGATACACGTCGCGTAGATGCGAAGCTCCTGGCCATTAACGCGCATAGCTCCACTGTTAACGTCACCGAACAAGGCCTCCATCATTGTAATTAATATAGTTCACGATTGATCCATCATTTGTGTGAGTTCGCCATCACTTACGTGAGTTCGATCGGCTTTAGCATTGTTGACGTGGTGTAGGGATATGGAATGACGGAAGCGGGACCGGTGCTTTCAATGTGCCTGGGGTTCGCAAAGCAACCCTTCCCGACCAAGTCGGGTTCGTGCGGGACGGTGGTTAGGAATGCGGAGCTCAAAGTCATTGACCCTGACACCGGTTCCTCCCTCGGCTACAACCATCCCGGCGAGATATGCATTCGTGGCCAACAAATTATGAAAGGTTTCTTTCTCCTCTTCATAGTTCCTGGCTTACATCATTTATTTTTTTTTTTGAGCTGGTCATACATTTCGTCTACTTAAGACCGAGACAAAGTTCTGACTTGACTTCATTTTCAGGGTACCTGAATGACCCCGAGGCAACTTCAAACACCATTGACGCGGATGGCTGGCTTCACACCGGTGATATAGGCTATGTCGACGATGACGATGAGATCTTCATTGTAGACAGAGTGAAGGAAATAATCAAATTCAAGGGGTTCCAGGTATACATGGTTCCGATCGACTTGAAATGGACTGAAAAAGGATGCTCATTGTTTCTCTCGTTAATAAGTAGAATGGAATGTGCTTTGAGGCCTAGTTTTCAGTAAACCTTGACATATTTTCTGCCGGGTGTTTAGGTGCCACCAGCCGAGCTTGAAGCGCTTCTCGTAAGCCACTCATCCATTGCGGATGCAGCTGTTGTCCCGTAAGTAGGCGAGATAATCATTCATCATGACAATTTCTTTGGGAACAAAAAGTTCCGCTCTGACCATGCGTTGTCAACAGGCAAAAGGATGAAGTCGCCGGTGAAGTCCCGGTTGCATTTGTGGTGAGATCGAATGGCTTTGAACTGACGGAAGAAGCAGTTAAGGAGTTCATAGCCAAACAGGTAAACTCTCCTATATGCTTCCTTTTGCCCTCTAGAGTTCGGCTCAGAGGCTTTCCAGACATTCACATCCCCATTCAATGCACAATCACCAGCCAGAAAGGCTAGTCTTTCCTTGCTTACACATCAGGAACATTCAAAAGCTAATAACTCTTCTTAGAAAACTATGACTTGATGTTGCTGGGATGAAACATATGGTGAGATTTTAAAGTGGCACGGTGCCTTGAAACAGGTGGTTTTCTACAAGAAGCTTCACAAAGTCTACTTCGTGCACGCAATCCCGAAGTCTCCCTCCGGGAAGATACTGAGGAAAGATCTCAGAGCCAAGTTAGCTACGGCGGCCTCCATTTCTTAAATTTGTTCGGGTTGCGATTTCGGGTTTTGTAAGCATTACGGGTGGTGGGTTGTCCATGTTCTTCTTCTTTTCTTTATTATTTTTCCTGTTAATTGCATAAAACAGAAGTGGGGAAGGGAGAACAAGAAGCGGTGAGCAATGTGATCATCTCGAAGATTCAATAATATTGTCAATGTTCCCCTGCTGCGTGTATGCAGTCTGGTTGATTATCAGTAAGATTGTTCTTTTGGGACAGTGAAAAAGTCATTGGGTTCCCGTTTGCGGGTTCCCTTGGAAAGGAACAATACGGCTCACGAACCGACAGTGTTGTATGCCTCCAACGCGCAGGAACTCAAGAATTTACACTCATGGCACATAATGAACGGTTCAGAGATTGGACGGAAAGAAAGTTAACGGAGACCCATAAAGGCAGTAGAGTATTTCATAAGTCCGAAAAAAGGAAATATCGGGAATGCAGTGTGCATCGAAAACGATGTGGCGCTCCGGGTTGGAATCGACTGGGGAAAAGATGCTGGAAATGGCAAATGAAGCTAAGATCTCTAGAAATTTGCAAAATTTAAGAGATGGATTACACAAAAGGATAAAATGATTGAACCCATTCTTCCAAAAAAGCAATTAATGATATGATTACGATACTCTCACAATTACTCTCGTCTTATTTTGGTGACTAATACAAAAAATTAAGGGTAATCGATTCTCGGGCGATTCGATTTCCATCCTGGAATTGGGAGTCGGACTAGGAGAACCGGTTCCCAATTCCTAAAACCTGGGAATACAACATGGTCCGGAGATCAGTTCGGTTCTCGAATGATCCAACGGAACCGGTGAATTTACAACTAACTTCCAGCCCTTGTCGTCGCCAATTAGCATCCGTGCTGCAAGTCCATCCAAAGCCAACAACGATGATGAGCTATTCCGTTCCTTGCAGCGCTGTGATCTCCCCAACGACATCGTCGTAATTGCTCAAACCTTGCACTGACGCCTCCAACTCTACTCCTACAAGCCCAGCCGCGGCAACTTGATTTTTTTATATGTGACGACGCATAACCGAACTTCTATCGAGCCACATCCAGCAAATTCGAGAGTCCCACAGGTGGGACCAAGCCATCACCGAGAAGCTCGATCAAACACCGAAAGCTCATCGGCCACCAAATCGAGTGCCACCACGTCGCTCCCACCGACTCCTCACCACCCTGCACCACCACGATCAAGGTTTAGGACTACCGCTCCGCGATTAGGGTTTGTGATTGTGAAAGAATCGCGAGAGCCGAGAGGGAAAGAGTGAGCATGAGAGATTGGAACAACCGAATAAGGAAGAGGACGAGTGTGCTCAAGATTTCTATAATGATTTTTAAGAAATAAAAAAAAATTTATTGGCCCGACATGGATTGGCAGTTCCACCCTGAAACCAGAACCAGGAACTGGATCGGGATCTTCGAGAACTGCCCAAAAATGGATCGGTTCAGTCCGGTCCGGGCAATTTTCGATTCGGGCGATTCCTTTAGCTCACCCTCGTCAAAGACTTGAACCGAGTATTGACCCGAGTTCATACTTTCATTTCACCCGGAGGGCCCGACTCCATTTCCTCGTCCTCGTCCTCGTCCTCGACCTCTCTCCGCTCCACTCCACTCCACCACCAAAGAGAAAATGAAGGAGAAAATCAGCTGAAAAGCATGGCGAGCTCCGGTTCGGCGGGGTCGCCGGCACCGAAGATCCTGCTGGCGAAACCCGGGCTCGTGTCGGGTGCCTCCGTCGCCCCTAAGTTCGGACGAGGCGGCCCCAGTGACGACGACGCCGCCTCCCTCCTCCGCCCCCGCCTCCCCCCCATCGGATCCCTCAATCTCCTCTCCGACTCTTGGGATTTCCACTTCGACCGCTTCCTCCCCGTACGTTCTTTTGCTCTCTCCCTCTCCTTCTCCCTCCCTCGAACCCGCATTTTCTTACCGGAGGAAGTGGGGTTTCGTAGTTTCTGATGGAGAACACCGACTTCACGGTGATTGGCGTGATTGGCCCGGCTGGGGTGGGTAAGTCCACCATCTTGAATCAGCTCTACGGCTTCGATCCCACTTCCCCAGGTCTGTATCGATTCCCAATGCCTCCTCCAGTAACACTGCTCACCATCATCGTCCGACTTAGAGGGGCTACTGTGCTGTTAATCGTGATCCCCCCCAATTAATTGGGCAATTCCCATTGCTCGCCGCTGTGTTCTTGTTTCCAGGAATGTTACCTCCTTTTGCCACGCAGTCGGAGGATACTAGAGCTATGGCCAAGCATTGCTCCAATGGCATTGAGCCCAGAGTTTCTGCCGATCGTCTTATACTTCTCGATACCCAGGTATTATGCATTATCGAATTTTTCCATTCACCGTCGAACAGGACTTGTTAGCATTTCGAAGAAAACTCACTGGAATCCTTTTACCTAAAACTCGGATATATTGTATAAGTTATCTATTTGAGATGAAACTTTGAACTGGTGAATTCTTGGCCATTTCTATAGACTATCTATTTGGGGCGAAACTTGAAATGGTGAATTCTTGGCCATTCCTCTGTTTTTTCTTTCTTTATGCGCCAATAGCATGACATGGATTTTGTATAAATTATCTATTTGAGATGAAACTTTGAACTGGTGAATTCTTGGCCATTCCTCTGTTTTTTCTTTCTTTATGCGCCGAAAGCATGACATGGATTTTGTATTCCCCTTCATTTGTAGCCGGTATTTAGCCCTTCTGTATTGGCTGAGATGATAAGACCAGATGGCTCCTCCACCTTTCCAGTTCTAGGCAATGAATCTGTGTCAGCAGAATTGGCACATGAAATCATGAGCATTCAGGTAGCTGCAGATTGAGCAATGCAATCATAGTCTTATTACTTATAAATCTTTCAGCTTATTACATTGTCTTTGTGTAAATAGTAACATATTGATCCTTTTCGGGATGCTGCAAGGAATTCTTCTAGCTTGGTGTTCTACTGTCGTCCATTTGCCACATCCTGCTGATAGTATCTGAGGGAGTACATGATAACAGCATGTGGCGTCTAATGTTGACGGTATGCTTTTTTTGTCTTAGTTGATTCCAGAAATTTTATGCCCTTGACCTTGCTCACTCATTTATAGCTGTCTTATGAATTCCTCTTGTTTAATTACCTGTCTGCTGCTTTTTCACCTTTTGCATTGACAGATGGATATTTATTAGATGGATGTTTATATTCATAATATACTTGTATATACACAGGGCTCCATCTTTGCTCTATGCTATTTTGTGGTTTTTTCTCTGTCATTGCAACACCACCTTTTGCAGCATCAAAGATTAATTATTATGGGAATTACCTTTTTTCTTTTTGGCTGATTCAGGGAATTTGATCCCTGAGCCCCCCTGAAAACCCCCTCAACCCCACGGCACTAGGCCGGATGCCTAGCGGCACATTCTGGGGATTACTTTAGTAAAAGCTTGAAATGTCATTTGAATTAAAGCATATTTGTTAAGATGTCGCATTATGGCATAAAAGATGCCTTCTTGGTCAATTTTCAAGTGTAGTACCTTCCTATCTTAGGTAAATGAGTCTTCTCTAGTGGCTCGTCTGACCCTTTTCTCTCATGGGTACAAAATATATAATAGTTGACTAGAATCCGTGTACATTTTGCAGGTTGACCTCTTGAAGCATGGCATACCCGATCCGTCTTCTCTGATACCTACACATTCGCAAACGACTAATTTGGGGCTTGAGAAGGAATATAAGGATAAACTTTTAGGACGTGAAGAATACATGGCTGCTCCAGTTTTTGTACACACAAAGTGAGTCAACTTCACCTGAATTGTGTGGAAGTCGAACTTTCATTTTAAGAAAAGGAGACAAGAACCATATAGTTGTGTTTCTAAAAACAGAAAAACAAAACCTTTCAATTCTTTTCTTTTACGATTTTTTTTTTTTGAATCGGGCATATTGGGGATACTGATGTGTGATTAGAAAGAAAGTTTTTTTCTTAAATTTGAGCAGGTGTAGCATGATATGGGAATTAAGATTTTGGCATTCTGAGTTACAGGGGTTATGCCCAGTTTGACTTATGTGAAGTATGTATAATGCATCTCAGATTAATCTCCATAGCAATCACCAGGGGTAATGTAATTTTATCTGTAGACAAATTTTGCAAATTTTGCAGCTGAGCAAATTCCAAAACTTTCATGCATTTGCATGCGTAATTTGCCTCTGAAAAATCAAAACTCGATGTCATTCTATACCTAGATGAACATCTACTCTGAAGTCTTTGATGTCATTTTGAATACAAATAGGTTTCAAAGTGGAGTGACGTAAAGAGCATAGTGTGACCACCAGTAATCATTTATGTCTGTCACTCTTCTATGCATTGTGCCACTTTGTCCCTAAATCATTTGGAAGCATGTCACTGTGTCTTGGTATTGCCAATGGATAAAAATCATAGAATAGCCTGTATTGGAATTTTTAACTAATACAAAGAGAAGCAAGAAGCTGAGCGACCTACTTGGCTCTATTGGTAGGCTCCATGATCAAGAGATGAATCCTCGTAGCGTTGTGTATTTGAGGAAGGCCTTTGCACAATGTTTCAGTGCCTCTTCTTTCATGCGAGAGAAGCATGACGAAGAAGCTAAACTCATTGATTATGATTCTGCCTGCACCGAGAGTAATGTCCGGGGATCAACATTGCCCAATCTATCTTTGATCCCATCTAAGAACAGCGATGACTCTTCAGAACCTCTGTATGAGAGTTACAATTCTGCATTGTGGAAGCTTAGGGATCAGGTCAGTTCCCCCCTATGAGAGTACAATTCCAGTGTTTCTTTTTTATTTTTCCCCTCGCTGGTAATGAATTTCTTATTTGAATTTACTTTTCTAAGTTTCTTTTCTAATTCAGGTTCTATCTATGAGCGGCCCGACTTTTACAAGGACTGTGTCTGAACGAGATTGGTTGAGAAATTCCGCAAAGATATGGGAATTAGTGAAGAATTCATCAATCATTGCAGAGTATGTGAAGACACTGCAAAACTCAGGCACTTTTAGGAGGTAGAATCTACTGTTTATCTGCTTTCGACATTGAGAACTGCAGCATTCTGTGGGGTATTTTGCAGCTTGAGGGTAATGTAGAGATTTTAGGGAATTGGAATGATATTGGGATTGCATGGTCTAGTTTTCGAGTATACATAGATGTATTACCAATCTGCGTCGTGCTCTATTTGCTGCACCAGTGCTGGTTCACAGTTCTTCTTACTCTTTCATGCACTTTAATTTGGAAAGGTCCTTGTGAGGAATATAAGTGCATCAAACCGAATCCAGGTGACTCGCGCTTTTGCACCGTTTACACTCAAATTGTGTCTATCGTTCAGAACTTCTGGGTCCCTGTGTGCCGGTTTGTTCTTTATATTCCCCGATTGTGCAATTGCAACGTGGGTGGCGTGGCGTGGCGTATCATAAAGCCAAGGACCTGGCCTAAACTAACACGGTGGAAACGAGATTAAGGCCCAGGTCACACTAAATTCACACAACACACGCATCAACGTAGAGAACAATTCTCAATTAACCCAATTCAGCAAAGAGGCGAACGATTGTCTTGCGAGAGCAATAAAGTACTCATGTCTTAAGAAACCCTGATTCTCTGATGAAGAATAACCCAATCGAATAACTGCTAAAGAAATGGAGAATATCCACTAAATTATGAAACAAAATCTAACATTTAATCATATAATCAACAGAAGAAGAATTCCTAAGGATAGAGGAGAGAATGAAATGGTATCTCTGGTGGATGTCTAGTTGAAGCATCGTTCTTCGCCATATGACATTATCAAGGTGTGAAAGGCAGCATCATAAACTTTCAAAAGTAACAAATTGGCTTTAAATTCTTTAATCTTGTGTTTTCAAGTAACCGAGTCAAAAAAGGCAAAGCTCTCTGAAATCTTGCTTGAGCCTATATAGGGGGATGCCGAATGACTGGAGTGAAGCCGTAACAAGGTTCCGTGTTGGAAGGTGATCCTCCCTTTCGGAGGGGACAATTGACCTTATGCGAAACTTGAATTAGACAAGATGAAAGTCGGACCGGTAGCGAAATACAGTAGGGGTGAGCAAGGTGGACCGCCCAAACCGGGACCGGATCGGACCGGACTGGATAGGACCGGACCGGCTGGTTTGGTCCGGTTCTCGAGAATATCGGTTCGATTCCCGGATTCTAAAAGTGGAACCGGTTTCCAGGCGGTCCAGTTCCTGGTTCTAGGGTGGGGACCGGATCAATAAATATATATTTTTCTAAATTTTTCATATATATAATATTTAATTTATATATGAAAAATATTTAATATTGGTCCCATCGGAACCGATTGTTCAATTTTTTCATATATTATATATATTTTTTCAATTTTTTCCACGGCCTTATGAGATCAAATCAGAACTACAAACGAAATAACGGAACAGTTGGTTCTCGGTTTACAAATAATATTTAATATTGGTCCAATTGAAACCGGACCATCGGTCCGGTCCGGTCCGGTCCGGTCCAAGGTCCCAAGACTAGCCGGTCCGGTCTCCGGTCCTAGAAACTGGGAACCGGTCCTCCTGGTCCGATTCCCGATTCCCGATTCTTGAGTTGAACCGGACCGAGCCGGAAACTGCTCACCCGTAGAATACAGACTTCCCGAGCTCTGCACAGTGATAGCATTTCTCTCGGTAAGAGCCACATATCTTGCCATATATTTTAAGCAGCTGCATTCTCTCTCAAAATGAATAAATAAACGACGGATATTCTCAGTTCGTGCCACAACCAGCACAACCATGTTTTGCGTCTAGGATATGATAAAATTGCAAATTCAACCGTGTCCTCTGCGTCTAGAAGATGGGGCTTGAGTTTCGGGATACGGGTGAAATAATTCCGGAATGTAAATTGGAGGTCTTCGAAACTCGTTCCACAAGCCTACTAGTCTGATAAATTGGAGCCCTTTTCCCTGTCCCGATTCTTATACATGAGACCTTTTTTTAGCTAGTGCCGACTTTCATGTGTTGAAAGGGCTCTGTAGTGATGCCGAATGAGCTCGATATTCATAGGAACATATCTGTCCGACCATCGATCCCCATCTGTTGGTGAACATGCTTATGCTTCCCCTTTACTGTCCAATTGAACGAAATGATTGTCTGGAACCACACTACCATTCGACTCAAACTGGGGACGAAATCAAAGCGAAACCAGAGGCAATACTCCTAACAAAATGCCGCATTGCAAAGGCGTGTAAGGGTGAATGGTAAACCCCAAAAAAAAAAAGAGAACGGCATGTATTCATACGAACTAGATAGAGCAAGGCTTGCTTGTTAATGCACAAGGCTGAATAAAAAATAAAGATGTGCACTTCCATCTGCATCCCATCTACTCTACATTTCTGTTTGTTCTCTCCTTGTTGTTTTCTTTCTGAATCGTCCTGGCGGGGGCTACTCCACCATGGAATCAAGCTGAGCTTCAGTTGCTGGTTTAGCCTTACTCTGCTTCTTCTTTCCCCTACCTGTTTCACATAACAAACACACCCAAATGCGGGCCCTGAGCAGAGACTCTCACTGACCAAATACTGAAGAAGAAGAACAACAACAACAACAAGACAACACTTGCCTCTGCCCTTTACTTGCTTAAGCTTCAAGCTCTTCTTCATATGAAACCTTGTTGAAGTCTTGTTGGTCTCCTCCGAAGTGCCCGTTTCGCCTACAGACGAACAACAAAAAACGGAATTAAAATAAAAAAAAAGAGAGGACAGTGAAATGAAGATACTCCTACTCCTACTAGAGGTTGGATCCTGGTCCAAAGCAGTGTTGTCGTGCGTACTTCATTAAGATTCATTGATATGTTCAACGTATGATGCGTTCATAAAAGGGTACACTAAGGATGCAGGATGGGTTTGACCGGGTGAGAGTACCTTCGGCCACGGCCATCTCCACGTCTTGCATGGTGACGAGCCCCTTCTGCAGCGCCTCCTTTTGTTCCTGCACCACCAACACCGAAAATTTCAATCCAATGCTCTCGATCACACGCACAAAGAGTGGAATATATAAAGGCACAGACCCTGCGCCATTGCTTGAAGATCTTGCGCTTGCGCTTGCCGGAGACGGAGAGAGGTTGCTGCTTATTCTTGAGCTTCCCGGTCAGCGCGTCCCCGTGCACCGCCCTCTTCCTCTCCGCAGCCTGCGCCCTCCTCCGCTTCTGCACCTCGTTGAACTTGGCCATCTCTGCTCTGCAACCTCCTATTCCAAAAACCCTAGAAAGAAGGCAAAGAACAAAAAATACGAACCTTTACCTTCGTGGGCTTTGCTTTTAATGGGCTTAAAATAGTCGGGTCTCGAAACCCAATGAACTTCCCAATCGAGAAGTTCACATTCACTAAAGCCTCCGTGACGAGATTTTTCGTTGTCTTTCCCAAGATAGATAGATATAATAATCTCAAATCTGAGCGACTGAGGTTTTTCTCTATTCTTTTAAGTTATCATTTGACTATTTAATCTCATATTGACTCTTATGCCATTTTCCAAAACAAATTCCCAAAAGAATTTTCCATCTCACTTCACGTCCGAGCCACGAAGTCGAAGAATCATGGATAAGAACGATGAGGTTGACATTTAACTTCCATAGTAAACGAATGGTTGGAATTGGAAAGCTATTTCTGCATGAAAGAATTATTCCCCTGCTGATCCCACCGCTCTAAACTAACATTCCAATCTTTTTGCCTTGGCCTTTGTCCGTTTGGTACGAGTGATGCACCATTTGTTGAACCACGATATCGCACATTCTGTCACCCTCATCTTTTACACGGCTCTCGTCATTCTCACAATTTCATTCGGGCTTAGGTTTGCCACCTCGAATGGGCCTCCGAATTCGAAATGCAACAACCTTCTCAATTCATCTCCTTAATCTCAGAATACAAGGAACAAACGCTCAAAAACGTCATTCTGACAGTCGAACATGCAACTAGTATCACTGTTTGAAGAAATTCAACAACTTTTATTCGCCGATGCAGGAGCTGAACGTCCAGATGATTGTCATCATATCTACTGGGAGTCCGTCTTGGCAGGTTCCCAGGACCCGTATCTGGTCCAGTCTCTCTGCCCTGGATTCAGCGCATGTCCCTTGGAATGATAGATATACGCTTCTCCCTCTCCCGAGAGATTCTCCTTGTGTTCCACCCCATACCTCTTTGGTTTTAGCATTAAAAGCTGCAAGGACAGAAACTCTCTGTCAGCGAAACACCTCAACTTATCAACTCGCCTATGATAATTTTTGTAGAGTAGACTTGCCTCATCTCCTGTGTGATCGGTTACATGGTGGAGCCATCCGTGCCATTCGGCTGGCACCTGGGAAGCATTGTAGCGACCCTTCTCTGCATACTCAACCCACCTATGTCTTCCTACAGAATAACTATACTAGTCAAAGCCAGTTCATAATGTGATGGCATGCCAACAGAACACCGCAACGAAATACCCATTTCAACACCGAGAGTAGCAGCTATACCAACTAGGAGGAATACAACAGCTGTGCTACTGCTATCGTCCAAAAGGACACGCTAATGACAAAAACAAGGGACATGATGCTATATTTCCAAGTCACCATATCTAGGAGTACAGGTGAAACCACAACAGCATAGAGTGACACAGAAACAAAGAGAATGTACTCCATACCATTTAAAAGCATATATCATGAGGGGTGCCCAAATTCACGAGTCTGCAAATAGCATACAACCCAGCAAGTTTTCAAATCCACCATGCAAGGCTTTACAGTAACCCAGGAAGGATGGAGGAGACTAGTTCCTGCTAAATTAGTCTTTCACTTCTTACAGCATACGTGCACACAAGAATGCTTGTTGAGGTATATTTTCAGAAGGACTTCTGCGGAGTTTTCGATCATGCATCATGTGGAGACTCTAGTTAGAATTCTTGTGGAATAGCAGAAGCGTGGTCTTAGATCTCCATCTGACATAGATTGTACAACAAGAAAGCTTCTTTCTCGCTCGATCCAGTCTTGTGTGCTTTCTGTTTCTAGTATACAAGGATATTTCCTCCTTTAATAATCAGTAAATGTTCACTCCCATCAAATGAAGTTCACTTATCACAGGGAAAAAAAGGCATCTAACAGTCTATAATTATTCTAAAATTAGGTGAATCAAAAAATGGATACCCAAAATTCGATGTAGATGCTGCAAACACCAATCCAATGCAATAAATAAATAAAAAGGAGAAGAAAAACCAACCATGCTGAGTCTCTCCAAGCCTCTCATAGTACTTGTTCCCGAATTTGTCAACGCCCACAAGCGTGGCTCCTATATTGTGGATTTTGGTTTGCCTGGAGAAGCATAAAGAAGAGTTCGGCCATTTAAGATCCAGCAACGGCTTTCAAAGGAAAAAAAAAATAGTTCAATGACAGCAAGAAAAGGCCGATGGCATGTCTTTAAATGATGCTCTCCCTTATGCATGCACACAATATGTGCAAGAATGTTGATGCCTTTATCACACTCTATGATAGAAGGCAATCAACCTTCAAGTTATATCCAAGAGTGTGACAGTGCATCTCTACATCCTTTTTGAGAAGCATTGCAATCTAACTTTGGAAATTGTCTTGGAAAAGCGAGACTATGCACCCAAGTGTCTTAATTCTCTTGAAAAACAGGCAATGACATAAAATTCACATGAATTATAAAGGCACCGTGAGAAGCTTCTTTAACTGCATAAAGAAAAAAAAAGAATGAAGGATGCACTCTTCATCAATCCAATAAAAATGAATTATTTCGAGTCTTTAGAAACACAAAAAGGCACGCCCAATTTCATAACAAGTGAGAAAACCCTAAAGAGAGAAATCTAGAAAGTTGACTTACAGAAGGTTCCCATCTGCGAGGCACTTCCTGCAAAGTAATCCACATGACATGAAAAAGAACTTAGTATATTTAAGAGGACGAATCTCATACAGATAAAGTACGATAAAACTATTAGATACAAGTTGATATTACATCCAAGCCATGAGACATGAAATGAAGCATTCAGAAGGTTTCTCGAATAACAAACTCGAATTCAATGTATCCACGCAGCTCGCATCGCACATCACATATCAGCAGACAAGAAAGAAAGAGCTACACCACAAAGCTATATGCAACAGAGATAAACACGGAAAAATTGACTATCATATGACATTTGTGGTGGATTTTTCCGTATTTTCTCATAGCCTTGGCATGTAACAATAGAGTTCCAATGTAACGAAGCTAACACGAACCGACAGGCGAAATCAAGACCAATGGCATTCCAAATTCAGACAAAGTACTAATGTGTAGCGGGAATAAAGGACAGGGATACTTCCATTGCCAGAACAAGAACATAGGGGGACTCTCAGACTGCACTACACCGCCGCCCAGTAATTAACGATGGTACATTCTCGTCGTTGACCAAAAAAATTTCGACCAATCGGCACGGTCTCATCAGTAGCTATCCAGACAAGATAGCCTGCGCAGCTCCTGGAACACGCGCTTGCACACTCCAATCGCGACATTGATAAAGCTATCGATTCGGGAACCGCGTCAAAGGGAGCAGAACGAAAGTGAACGCGGATCATGTCCCTCCTCATCGGCAGGTTGCATTAGGAGCTAACCAGAGCTAGGGCGCAGCAATCAAATGGCAACAGGGACCACAGGCCGCAGAAGAACGAGATCTAACACGCGAAATCGAGGGAACGGCCACGAGAAAATCGAGAGTTGGGGAACTCACAGGTAGCCTTCATCCTTGAGGTCGCGAAGGAAGTTGCCGAGGCCTCGCTCTTTGATGCCCTTCAGGGCTCCTCTCAGGATCGACGCCATCTCCTTCCTCCTTCCTCCTGCCTCTTCTCTGTCTGTCACGCTTACGATCGATAATCGCAGGCGAAGGGGAAGGCGGTTGCACAATACGACGCATGTACCCAATCGTAATCTCCGAAGATGGGCTCGAATCGAGGTTGTGCTTTGAGTGGACTGGGCTCGTGGGCTTCCATCTTTTTGTGCCATATTTATAATCCGACATAATAATGTCCTTAATAAAAGGTTACCTCCCGACGTCGGGGTTGTAAATAGCAAAGAGGGGTATTGTTGGGGATCGGGCAGGACAGAGATATTTATCTCAATAGGAGAGACTAGAATGTGTAGCTGCCGACGACACGTTAAAAATAAGGAACCCATTGCAGCTCGTCCATGTTACAGAAAGGCTCCGGTAGCAACGAACTCCAGGGCAATCTCCTCACCTGGCCCTGGAGGGAGGTTAAGATGAACTATCATGATTGCATACAATAAATAATTGCTAAATCACACTTTAAAATTTATTTTTTTTAAAAAAAAAAATTAGCCTAAATTGCTCTCTTTTTTTCTCTCAATTTTTATGCACATACGTCGACACGGTCCTTATTGATGAAATAATATTAAGGTTTTACTTCAGGAGATTCCTACTTTACTTCAGTAGATGGTAGTAGGGAGGAGCCGAGCGCAACGTTTATCACACGTGGCCGCTGATCATTGGGCCAAGAACCTAGCAATGACGCGAATTCCATTCCGACTCCTCCTTCTCCCCAAACTCCACCTCTCGAAGATTTTGACGAAAATATTTATAGTGTTTTATTTCCATCCTTCTCCCCCTGGGATTCTGCTGGTCCGAGAGAGAGAGAGAGAGAGGCAGCGACCGAGCTCGCCGTCCGCTGGAACCTCGTATCTGCTCTAATCTCGACGCCGGTAAGCACGTCGGCCGGCTCGCCGGCGCTGTTAATTTCCGATTCCCACTCCCTATGGTTGTGCTGCCGACCTGCGTAGGTTTTTCCCCCCCTTGCCCTCCTTCATCGCAAGGAAAATTAGCGAAGGAATTAGATTCGTTTCTCGCGTAGCCCCTTCCTTTTTTGGCTCCTCGGATCGATTTGGAGACACACGTATTCCGGGATGGTAAATTCAAAGCTAAATCGAGCGTCTGCTCTCTCCGAAATCCGGAGTCCGATCGCCGTGAAAGCGCAAGTCCGAGATTTCGTTCCTGTCGGTTGCATTCGATCGGATAGCTAAATCCGGAGTTGGTTTTTTGGATCCGTGTTAGTATTTTGGTTATGGTTTTGAGCCCGATGGTCCAATTTTTTGCAGGGCGATAGCAAATATGATGAGGTTGCAAACGTACGCTGGGCTTAGTATATTCGCGACGTTGGCGGTGGTTTACCATGCATTTAGCAGTCGAGGCCAGTTCTACCCGGCCATGGTTTATCTGTCCACTTCCAAGATCAGTTTGGTGTTGCTTCTCAACATGGGTCTGGTCTTTATGTGCATCTTGTGGCAATTGACGAAGCGGGTGTTCCTTGGTTCCCTCCGGGAAGCCGAGGTAGAGAGGCTTAACGAGCAATCGTGGAGGGAGGTCATGGAAATCCTCTTTGCCATCACTATTTTCAGGCAGGATTTCTCGGTTACCTTCTTGGCCATGGTTACTGCCTTGTTGTTGATCAAGGCTTTGCACTGGTTGGCTCAGAAGAGGGTCGAGTACATTGAGACAACCCCTTCTGTTACCATGCTGTCTCACGTCAGGATAGTTTCTTTTATGGGGTTCCTGCTTCTCGTGGATAGTCTCTCTTTCTACAGCTCTATGAAGTTCCTCATACAGACGCGGCAGGCTTCCGTCTCCCTTTTCTTTGCATTCGAGTAAGTAGTTCCGCTTCTGCTCATGTCTTTACATCCCGATATCACTGTTGGCCTTGACAGGGCTTTTTCACAATTGCATTGGAGGCTTTCAGATCGATTCCGATTTGCTGCGTGTTGTTTCGTGGAATTCATCTCTCTTCTCGATTTTAGTAGTTATGAAGTTGGATAACTCAGTGGCAAGATTTTATGTTTTGACTTGTTGGACAATCATATCTTATCAGTTTTTCTCTGGTGCAGTGTCAGGGCGTTGCCAAAGAGTGATTTGTAATTGTAATATATTCTTGATAAAGCACTAGCTAGTGGATTTGAAAATGCTAACAGTATGTGCAGCCTGTTATTCTTAGATTCTTTGTATTGTGGACAATCTTATCTTTTAGTTCGCTCACCAACCCTAAGTCAGGATAATTCTTAACTGGTTGGAGGGTACTGTTGGCTCTATACGTGCATATGCAGCTGTTGTTTCTCTTTGCCCATCATGTGTTTATACAAGGTAATTTAGCAAAACTGTTCAGGACTCATTGTTAGTTGGTGCGTTATTTTGTTCTGTAGGTACATGATACTGGCCACAACAACTGTGTCGACTTTTGTTAAGTATGTTTTCTACGTTAGCGACATGCTTATGGAGGGCCAGTGGGAAAAGAAAGCTGTTTACACCTTTTACTTGGAACTGATACACGACCTGCTACACTTGTCGATGTATCTGTGCTTCTTTCTTGTGATTTTCATGTAAGTAATCTTTTACTTTCAGACCCACGGCGAAGAGTTTGCATTCTTATATGGTTGGAACATATACATGCTAAGGGTTGTTGAAGTTGCTGGCATTGCTTTTGTGCCTAATTTCTGTTTACTATACTTTTCCCCTCATGCATTACCTGGTTACAGCCTAGGAAAATGTCTAATGGATGATCTTGCAGGCACTCTTGATAAAAAATTACGAATTAGTAATTCGGAGGTTTTACTTTCTGAAGAGAGCTGTTTTAAGTAATGTGTTTGACATTGATGTTGGGCACCGTGATATTTAGTCCTTCACAATGTAGTTTCAATTACGCTAATAAACCTACTGTTTCTAAGCATCTAGCTTGAGAAGATATCATACTTGTGAAGCTCCAGCGAGGAAGATTTATGTTCTGCTTGTTTTTCTTTTTGTCTTTTTTTATTATGTTTGGGAAATGCTATTTTGCTCTTCAAAGTGTTTGTGCTATTTTTTTTTTTTTGGTCGAAAGTGTTTGTGCTATTGAAGTGTCTTATATTATCTTTTTCTTGGCAGATTTCTAATCCTATCCGGTATATCTACCTTCTTTTTGCTAGTCTTCATTTTCTAAACTTGCTTATTTACTCAAATAGACTTGATTGTTTAGGAATTATGGTGTACCTCTGCACTTGATTCGGGAGCTTTACGAGACATTCAGAAAATTCAAAATTCGCGTTGCTGATTACATTCGTTACCGCAAGATTACTTCAAATATGAACGATCGATTTCCAGATGCTACACCTGAAGAGCTTGATGTGTGAGTATCGTATCTAGGTTGGCCAATCGTTGTTAGTTTTAATCTTGTATTATCTTAGGTATATTCCTCAAATTCTTCTGATGGATGCAGAAGTGACGCAACATGCATTATATGTCGAGAAGAGATGACTACAGCGAAGAAATTAAATTGCGGACACCTTTTCCATGTACATTGCCTCCGTTCATGGCTCGAGCGACAGCATACATGTCCTACTTGTAGGGCCCTAGTTGCACCACCAGAAAGTGGGACAGCTGCTGCAGGAGGACAACACGGACAACCATCAGATTCTCGGCAACAAGGTGATATATAATATTGTTTCTAATCTTATTTCAATGTGCTTTCATGCATGAGCTCTGGATTTATGGTGGTGTCGGCAAGCAGGACTGATGCCCCTATTCTCCGGTTAGCTTAAAAACTTTAAAGAGATTGAAATGCTCTTTTCTCCTGGGCATGTGGATTTTGCAGACTATATGAGTTTGCTGCAATGGTCTTTTCCTTCCTGAACTAATTAGGCTAATGGTAATACTTATATAGTCTGTCGTTGGTTGAGCAGGGGCTGCTACCACAAGCACCGCATCTCAGGGCTCAAGTGCTGTTGGTTTGGCTGGTAATAATTTAAGTGGGCATCAAGCCAGAGTCCAAGCTGCTGCAGCTGCTGCATCAATATATGAGAAGTCTCTTGTTTACCCTTCAACAAACACATTGGCATGGTAAGCTTGAATTAAGCTAATGAGTTCACTGTTGCATTTTGCCTTTTAATTTCAGGGTGGGTTGTTATCTATGTATGTGTGCTTTGGCTGGCCTTCTGTCGCTTTTAAACATGCTAACGTCCAAGTTATATACATCTTCTAATATGGCATATTCCACTCTGCCTTAAATCCGCATGCAGATGATACAGATTCTTGTCCAGTATAATAAAATGCAAGGACCCCCTTGGTTAGAATTTATCAATTTTCCCAATTACTTGTTTAGTGTAATTGTGTCCTCGGCCTTTCATATATGTATGTGTTAAATAAGAATATGGCTCCTCATCTGATCTATGTATTTATTTTGACACAATTGCATTTGGTCTAGCACCTTTTTGATCATGCTGTTATCTCTAAGGATAGAAATCGAGGTTTCAAATATGTATCGCTTATGGCCCATTGGATTGATGATCTGATAGTAAACATGAAAATTGCTAAGTAGTTGGTTTATGTATATTGACCATGTGAAATGTCTATATAACATAATGTTCTTTATTGAGATTTGGCAATTACAGGTCAATCTGTTAGAATTAGGTGGAATATGGTACTGCTTTTCTGATAGTTACATTCAGAGTAGGATAAAGTGACTTGATTAAAATTGCAGTGTAGTTGGATCTGGCAAGAGCTCTGGTCACATTTCTTTTCTCCGATTTGCAGGTCGTCGGGGTATGCCTACCTTCCTCAGCAAAATGTGCCATTGCCTAGTCAGTCTAGCGCAGACTGCAGTGGTCCACAGCAATTTACAGTCCATGGTGATCCTGGAAGTACGTCCGTTTCACAATTCCCTAGCATTGTTTATGTCCCAGTTCCAGCTCCTGCAGCCACTGGTGACCGGATTCAGGGAGGTCATGATAACTTATCACAGGCCCATTTGGATGCTCAGAAAAAGTTTCTGCAACAGCAGATTGAGGTATGGTCTCTATGGTACATGGATAATAAAAGTGATTAATGACTCCCCCCGTCCCTTTAATGGAGGAGGAATAATCTCATCAAGCTTTGCACCGTTCTTCTGTTATATGCGTTTGAATTATATTGTGCAGGCGCTGCAAAAGCAACTTCAATTGCTGCGGGAGACGCACATCGAAGAGAACATGTCTTCAGGTCCCACCTCATCGGGAGATAGCAAAGGGAAGGCTGCTGTGAGCTCCTCGATCCCTGTTTCGGACACAGGCTCGTCATGCTGAGAGCCAAGACAGTTGGTTGATAAACTATATAGCCTGCTGATAACTGTAAATGTACACCAGTAGAGAGTTTCTTTCCCATTTTCTTCTTCCTCCCTTTTCTTTGAGAGAGAGAGAGAGAGAGAGAGAGAGAGAGAGAGAGGATTGTCCTTTTGAATTGGCCGGAAACTGGTTTAATGGATGTGGCAGAGCTGAGATTTCATGCCAGTCAAAGCTTCCTCAAATCGTCCCTCGTTGAATTATCAATCTTGTGAAGCGTACAGCTCAAAAGAATTACACGCATTTGCAAATCATTGAATTTTGAGTGGAAATGGTAATTGCAATTCCTCCCATCCCTCTCTGAAGTAGTACCTATCACTCTTTCAGCATCGAGCGATGAATCGAATGGAATACCGAATGCGGATACAAAAGACTCGAAACGCGCAAGCATAATCATCAGTAGCAATGATGAATTTCGGTAAACACTGTTAAGTTTATTTTTGTAATATTGAAATGCAGTCTACGGATCACCAATCAAGCTCTCGTAGCTCAGTTGGTTAGAGCACCCGTTTAGTAAGCGGGAGGTCTTGAGTTCGACTCTCAACGAGAGCAACCCTCTCTCTCTATATTTTTTAATTTTATTCGCAAAATAATCTGAATGAAAAAATGAAATTCGGTATGATGATACCAAATAGTCTCTAAATTTTTGCTCAATATGCAATATAACCCCTAAATTTTTAATTTATTTAATATGGTTTATAAATTTTAGCCTAATACGTAATATTATCTCTAAATTTTTAATTTGTTCAGTGTGATTCATATTTAGCTTGGTTTCTAAACTGTACGAAAATGTCCAATATAAACCTTTAATTAGTTGAAGCTCAGGGGTAATAATAAATATTTTCATATAACTGAGGACTGAATTGAATATCTTGTAAAAATCCAGAAATCACGTAGAATAATTTAAAATTTCAAAAAGAGACATTGCGCGTCATGCTAAAATGTTTGGGGGGACCATTTGTAATTTTCCCAGGAAATTCATGTAACCGTCAGGCTCTTCCTGTGGCTCCAACTGCTCTCTCTCACACTCCCCAAACAAGGTTAAAACCAGAGGAGATTCTCTCTCTTCCTTCCGTTACCCACCACACACCTGTTCCAACCTCTCTCTCTCTCTCCCTCTCTCCATGATCGAATCGGAGCACCAACCATCCTCGCCTCCGGTGGAGGCATAACATGAGCTCATGCCACTCCTCCTCCTCCTCCTCCGCCGCCGCCATGTTCATCCCCAAGTTCCACCCCTTGCGCTCCAACCACCCCCGCCTCCCTCCCCCCCACCGCTTCCGCTCCATCCTGGACCAGCTCTCCCCCAACCTCTCCGTCTCCTCCTCCCTCAGCTCCGTCCTCGCCTCCGGCAACGCCATCGCCGCCGCCGCCAAGGGCTCCGGCTCCGTCCACGGCGCCGTCACCTCCGCCATCACGCACGTCGCCGTCACCGCCGTCGCTATTGCCTCCGGCGCCTGCCTCTCCACTAAGGTCGATTTCCTCTGGCCCAAGCTCGAGGATCAACCCGGTAAATGACCTCCCGACTACTACGACGGCGCTTCTCTTTGACGATTTCTGTTGGCAGCACGCTTTTGAGTTCGCTACTGCTCTCGATCGCCAACTTAGAAATGCTCCTGAACTCCTTTTTCTGACGCCTCAATTCTGCTAGTGCTTCCTCGAATCAACACTCGGCTTCCTTAAAACTTACATAATCAGTTAGGATTAGTTGTTTAAAGCAATAATCTGATGGAATTTGTCTCTCGAACTATCTTAAAACCTTTGGACAAGTTCGAAATCCGCTCCAGCATTCATACTGCATCAATTTTCACTTCAGTACACCTCCTTGTGTCCAGTCATTGTAGAGGATATGTTTATTCGACACAATTTACGCAGCAGCATGGTGGAATTGTCTTATGGTGTTTCTTCTTGACACCGTAATAAAGGGAGCCCTTTCGACTCGGCGCAGGTTCCCTTGTGCTGGAAGGAGTTGACGTAACAGGCTGTCCCGTATTCAACGATGCGAAGGTTTCCATTAATTGCATCACCACGCACCAATAGTGACTTGCATTCACATCTGCACATGCTAAAACTACTCCGCTGTCAAGACAGGTGCGAAAGGCTATTGCATTTGCCAAAAGAGCTCATCATGGAGTCCTTAGGAAAACCGGGGATCCGTATTTGACTCATTGTATCCACACAGGGAGGATCTTAGCTATGCTGGTTCCTTCGAACGGCAAACGAGTATGTGAACCTCCTGTCACATGTCAGTGGGCATTTGGAATACTTGTTGTACCACGATAGTTTGTCTCCCACTGGTTCTTCAATCTGCTTTTCGTGCTTTCTGCAGGCTGTTGACACCGTCGTGGCTGGGATTCTCCATGATGTGGTTGATGATGCCAGTGAGAGTCTGCATAGTGTTGAGCAAGAGTTTGGGGACGATGTCTCTAAGTTGGTTGCCGGTGTTTCCCGATTAAGTTATATAAATCAGGTGCTAAACTGCGGTGATTGTTGACGCATCTTTTTCATAATCGGTGGAAAAGGCGGCCTTGTTTTTGATGATTTAGGTTTTAGTGTATCATGAAGATTCTGTTCTTGGTTTTGCCTTAGGGGGAACTTGAAACTTACTTTCTCGACGAAATTCTCAAAACGCATTTCTGTTTTTAACTTTAGAATAATCCAGTCGTTTCTCTTATTCTCCAGAGGTGGAAGTTTAGGCATGAATATACAGTAGAATTTATATTGAATAATGGACTATAGAGGAGAATTGCTAAAAGTTGAACTGGACTCCCCTTCTTGAACAAGTATGTTCTTTTGGCTCACTCCTTTTTGTTTTATGTGCCGTTTCTTTTCCCTTTAGGATACTGTACAATCTCCCATGCTGTAAGTCTTTAATGTAGACTTTTTCACCGATACATATGTGAATCGGTATTATTACTATTTCATGGTCCTTGAGCAAACCTGTCCAAGTTTATGAAGTCTTACACCCTCTCTAGATTGTTCTTGGCTTTGTTTACCCTTCTTTCAAATCATCGTAGATCCCAACTAATGAAAGAGGACGTGTCAACTTGAAAATAGATGTCCAGCTTAACTATTTCTTGATGCAGCTACGCAACCAGATTGATTAGTTTATGTACTTCTGATGCATGGAATAATCTAGTTAAACTGAATGTAAGATGGACTTTGGATAACGTAAGCCAGACATTTGCAGATCTATGAAGTTTGGTGATCACCACAAATGAATCTTGAATAGTTGTCTGATTTACCTCAATTGCTTTACTTTACTTGTCAAGGTCCTTCATAACATATTATCTCGTTTAAGAAGTACTAAAATGTTCTTCTATATATTCAATCATAGTGCCGGTAACTTTGGCGATCGCCTTGAGGTGTCTGCATCTGCACCCTTTATTTTTCTACGCTATAAAATTAATTTTCTCCTTCTTCACCTTTTGCTTGCTTCATCATGCTTTTCTTGCAGCTTCTAAGGAGACACCGCCGACTAAATGTAAATCAGGATAGCTTTGGTGAGGAAGAGGTATGGAACTTAGCTATCTGGTCTAGAAAGTTATCCAATTATGCTTAGGAGTCGCCATTTTATGACGGATTATAAAGAGTAGTCGAAGATGATATGCGGATTCCTACCAGGCTTTTCAACTTTATTTTCCTAAGTGTTTACATATATCAATGGCAAGCAACTTTACATGGTTGTGCGTGATTTGTTCTTTAAAGCGGCTGCATTACCTTTTTCTGCATCTTCTGCACATTTAATTGAGTTGTAAGGTTTCTTCTCTTTTGAAACTATAGATTAAAGATGCTTAGTAGTGGTTTCTGCTCCTTCTGAAGTCCCTATTGCTCTTCCAGGCAGATAATCTACGAATTATGCTCCTAGGGATGGTTGATGATCCACGAGTCGTGCTCGTCAAGCTTGCGGATCGTCTTCACAACATGAGAACCATGTATTGACTCGCACTCCATTTTCAACTTGTAATTGCCAGGCGTCTTCCTTTTCTCCTGAGCTCTCGTATTGTTAACAATCTGTTCAGACGTCATCACCTTTTCCTTTGAGATATAGCTTTTGACTTTTATTTCTGCCTTCTGTGGAGATCTGAGGAAGTCACAGAACTGAATGCACTCTCAAAATCTGATGATAAAAGATTTTTTCCGAAATTATGATTATTATGTTGGTGCATACTGCTTGGCTGTGCTGTTAGATGATATTCTTCCCTTGCAGTTATGCTCTTCCATCGCCAAAGGCTCGAGCTGTTGCACAGGAGACCCTGGTAATTTGGTGCTCACTTGCTTCGAGATTGGGTCTGTGGGCAATGAAAGCTGAGCTGGAAGATCTGTGCTTCGCAGTTCTCCAGGTCTGCTCATAATTGCTTCGGTTCTTTAAGAAAACTTACGATCTGTATATATGTAGTAGACCAACAAATGAGATTGTGGAGTTGAAGGTGACTTTTCCTTTTCCTACTGGCTATTTCTAGGGATATAATACCCATATTATCTTAGGACGAATTAAATAAATAACCACTAAAAATGAAGGTTAGACTCGTAGATTAAAGAAGGACATCTATTTTGCTATAGTCAATGCAGGATAACATAAGTAAGTTGGACATAAGTTATGTAGGCACCAGAGGTGGCGCTGTTGTCTGAATATAGAACGTTTACACATTAATGGGATCATTTCATAGAGAAATTAAAGACTCGAAGGAAGTTGTTGCATGATTAGTTGTGGTGGGGAGATTTGTTCTTTGTTTAAGGATGTGCAATCCATGTTTTCGTCCCTTCTGTGAATGTATAAGCTGCTGAAACACTCGACACTTGGTCAACTTTCTATTGTGGTATCACAATGATTCTAGTGATGAGTTCCATATTTGTTCATTTAAGATAAAACGAGTCGGCATCAACCATTCTACTGGATACTATTTGATATTGCCGGTGCGATCTTGTTTCCTGTTATTTTCCTTCAAATCTACCATAATATGTCAGTTGCGTACACATCCTGCAGCCACAAGTATTCCGGAAGATGCGTGCTGATCTTGCTTCCATGTGGAGCCCAAGCAATAAAGCAGGAAATCCAAGAAGAATCTTGGCAAAAACTAGCTTCCCACACTGTGATGAGGACATTTCATCTTCCGATGATGAAGATTCAGTCAATATGAAGGAGAACATGAAAAGCATGAAGGTAGAAGAAACTCATTGCTTCTTTTCATTGTTTTCTTTTTTGACTGAAAGTTGCTCCTGTGAAAATCCTGGTGTAGATACTTGTCTTCTATGCTATATTGAACATGTGTTTGCAATTACCTGCCGATAGTTGTCGAACAAATTCCCATCTGCATACGTGGTACATGTCAATGATGGTTCGGCCATTTCAAACTGATACCGCTGATATTTCTCTAGAACAAGATGTATTCTCTGTAAGTTGCTTCAATTTATTCATTCGGAGCTAATATTGCCTATTAAAGGAGATAAGTTTTTAATTGCATTTTCATGACATTAAGGGGACATATTTGTAGGAAACTATTCTAGTATGGGCATGGTGGAAATCTTCTAAGCTATATGTGCTTTCTTAAAGTAAAATCAATAAAATGATGCTCTGTGACGTCGGTTAATGGTGGGTTCCTCGTGATTCAGCAAAGTATCCAGGCAAGAGGGTTTCAAAATCCCTCATCAGCCTCCAAATAGAATTGATCTTCTCTCTTAGTTTAGGTTAAGCTAGTCACATGAGGGAGAGTGTTGAAGTGGGAGCAACTAAACTAGTATGAATTTGCGAACTTAAGCTGTTAAATGAGGAAGTGGATTGCTTGTTATTTAGCTTGACAGTGTGTAAGAGTGCTAGTACTACTTGCGATAGAAGATTGAAGCTCTTGTTTAACTTACGATTATACCATAGGAAGTTCAGAAAAGTTTCATATGTCTCAAAGACTTGCTTCAGTGATGAATTTAACTGAAAGACAGCAGAAGTGGGCCTGTCCATACATTTACCCTCACTGTTTTAAAAATAAGTGATTCTACGGAATGGACTCTTTTGTGCTCTTCTAAATTCTCCACTAGATAGTATGATCATATTTGTGAACATGGAGTTTTCTTTATATTTTTATCCATGAGGAACAATGAGAGTTAATCATACTGAGTAGTTTGATGGAGTCATTATCTTTGCTGAAAGTTTGGAAGAATGGAAGTAGGAAAGGTCAGAAAGAAAGAGTGTTTCCCTTAATATGCTTCATCTATCCATTGTTTCTTTGTAGGATCTTCTGGAAGCTGTAGTGCCCTTTGATATCTTATTAGACCGGAGGAAGAGAAGCAAGTTTACCGGTGATATTGGAAAAGATTCAGAGAAGGTCACAAAGCCTAAGGTTGTGAAAGATGCTGGAGTTGCTTTGGCTTCTATGCTTGTATGTGAGGAAGCTCTTGAGCGCGAGTTGTTTATCTCAACTTCGTATGTCTACTTACTTCTCATTGTTTCTTGTATTGTCCATCTTTCCTATGTGGAATTGGAGGCTATATTTTACTATCTGGACCATATTTGAAGGATCTTTTGCTCTTGCTTTTTCCCCCTTTTCTTGTCAATACTTGCAGGTATGTTCCTGGAATGGAAGTAACGTTATCTGGCCGACTAAAAAGTTTGTACAGTATTTACAGCAAGGTATAATGTAGATTGTAGTGGATGGCACTTTGTGGAAAGGGCTCACTTTTTCGTTTTCTTAATGAAGTTTAATCATGGTCTTGTGGCAATAATACAGAAGCACTCACACAAGACAAAGTTTGAGGATCGCAACGAATGTTTGCATTTTTATTGGGATTACTTCACCATTAACTGACTCAAAAAGTTTTTGTGAGATAAATTGTACTGCAAGAGATCGAAAACTCAGATAATTTTAGTTTTTTTAAAGAGAAAGCTGCTTTAAGGTGTGCCTTTGGGATACTCGCTGGTACAGGAAATAAGTTTTAAGTGTTGGAGATGTAAAATAACAGTCACATGTTTTATCTATCGTGCTGTTCAGTTCTTTTAGTATACACTCATGCATGTATTTTCTCTTCTGTTTCTCTAGATGAAAAGGAAGGACGTGAGCATTAATAAAGTGTATGATGCCCGTGCATTGCGGGTAGTTGTCGGAGACAAGAATGGAAGTCTGCATGGACCTGCAGTTCAATGTTGTTACAGTCTTCTTGATATTGTGCACAGGTCAATTTATTGAATCTTTCATCCTCCTTTTCTCTTTCACACTAAGCAAGACAAGTAAGTTAACGGTTCTGTCTTTTATATGATTAAGATGTTTATCATGTTAGATAAGTATACACTATTGGAAAACTGCATTGCTGCTGACAGAGGCTCACATTTTTTTGGTGCCCATTGCAGACTCTGGACCCCCATTGATGGTGAATTTGATGACTACATTGTTAATCCAAAGGCTAGTGGTTATCAGGTTAGACTTCTACCTGACTTGAACATGCGATGATTGTTACTTTACCCTGCTCTTATTGACTATTTGGAATTGGAAGTAGAGTTATTGCTGAGTTCTGGAAATTATGTTCTTTCTCTAGATGAGCATATTCTTGTAGTGCCTTCCGAGGAACAGAGTAGACCTATCCACCAATGAGGAGGCCAACTTCTGGGGCTTGACTGCAAATCTAACTTCTTCCTCATTGGCTCTTTTTTTTTGTGTTCTGGATCAGAGCTTTATCTCTCTAGCATATCTCTGTGTCTCAACAGTGAACATTCTGTTAACTGCTTTTACACGGTTCTGTTGTCCTGGGAGTCTGTATATTGTTTTCTCTGTCTTACATGATGCAACTCTTTCAATGGCAGTCCTTGCATACTGCTGTACTAGGTCCTGATAGTTCACCTTTGGAAGTTCAAATAAGAACACAGGTAAATTATGCTAAACGTGCTTCCTTTCTTTGATGTTTCTGTTATCCTACATGACTACCCTCAATGTTTTCAGAGGATGCATGAATATGCTGAACATGGACTTGCTGCACATTGGCTTTATAAGGAAACTGGCAACTGGTTACCATCAGCAAGCAACATGGGTGAGTCAGAGTCCTCTCTCTCCAAAGATTTGGAGGATTCAGAGTCAGTGGAAGGTGATCTTTTTCAGAAGTATGGTTCACTGAAAGCTGGGCATCCAGTTCTTAGGGTTGAGGGAAGTCACTTGCTTGCTGCTGTTATAATTAGGTATACCTTGTTCAGCTTAGTATATACAATGCAAATCTGCATATTCCACATATACTCTTATTCTTCTTACTTTTGCAAGCACAGTGTGGATAAGGGTGGAAAAGAATTACTTGTTGCTGTGAGCTTTGGACTGGCCGCTTCTGAAGCAGTTGCTGACAGAAGATCTTCATTCCAGACAAAGCGATGGGAAGCGTATGCGAATTTATACAAGAAGGTTCAGTTGCCTGGACTTCTCAGTTACTGACTCCAGGAATTTTTTACATTCTTTGGCAATTCTTGGAGTTTGCGAATAGCTACACAAACAGTATACATTTCTAAGATATAGTTACACTTGGGACTTTATACACATAGTGCCTGAGTTTTGGCCTTTAGCAATTTCAAAGTTTGTCAATGACTTCAGGATCAGTAAAAACTTTTACAAACAAATAGTTATTCCGGTGCTTTCTCTAGCATATTGGATTGTGTGAATAGAAGACCATATCTTCTTTGCTGGGTTTTTTAGTGCTCGTGTATCGGCATTAAAATGCATTGACAGTTTGACAATTTATACGCTTGCAATCATGAGGGATAAGAATCAGTTGATGGTGTGTATATCTTAATAAAACTTGTGTTGCCTGTTCATTTACACGGTTATAAAGAACAAGTTTATGTTGATCGGGATTAGTCTGAACCTTTCTATTTTGAATCTTGATCTCAAGAAAAGCAAGTACCAGTTTCAGAATCAGTATTTACGTGCTTAAGCAATTGATAGTCTTCTGTTCGAATTGCCAACCTCAAAAGCCTTCATAAGGAGGTAGCCCCTTGTTAGGGAGTTCTGATCAATTTTCATTTCAATGTCACTAGCAAAGTGTCTGAATTTAGTGCTGCAAATTTTGCCTTCTAGGTTTCTGATGAGTGGTGGTGTCAGCCAGGACATGGGGATTGGTGCACCTGCCTTGAAAAGTACACACTTTGCCGAGATGGAATGTACCACAAGGTATGTTACTGCCACACTGCCTTAATTTTTTAGGAGTTTATGGATGGCTTTGGTATCGAATCGCCAATCTTCACACCAACCTTGTGACTAGGTGTTGTTCTTTTTCTGCTTCCTCTCTCAATTTCTCTTAAGGATTTTAATATCAATTATTCATCCTCTGGACTCGTTTTAGTTAATAATAATACCACTTTCCTGGCTGAAATCATGCAAATACAAAATGGCCTCGTGTCTTGAGCATGTCAAGTCTGTATCATTTCCTTTTTCCATTTCCAGTCAACGGTACCGCGTGATCATTGCAAACACTTTCGGTTGGGTAGGACTCAAATCCCCGAATTCATGTGTATGTTCTACCAGGCTTTTGTTTCAGTCGACATCAGAGATCTGCATCATGTCATCAGTCGAAGCATTTAATTTTTGGCGAATGTTGGATTAAATATATATTGACCTGTGGCGACATGTGAAAATGGTTCTTGTGCTATGCAGGAAGACCAATTCCAGCGGCTTCTTCCAACTTTTATCCAAATTATTGAGTTGACGGAGCAAGAAGAATCTGAATATTGGACTGTCATGTCCGCTGTTCTCGAAGGAAAACAGATCGACTCTACTACATCTAGGCCGAGCTTAGCCTCCATTAGCTCGAATTCCATTGAGGGCGGTATTAATAACAAGGTTTGTGTACCCAGTATCCCCACCTATGATCATACATTACGGCTTCTACTTTAAGGTTTCTGTAATCATTTTCCGTCGTGGCATTCGATTTCACTCGGACATATGTGCGGTCTTCGAAGGTCATGAGTGTGCAAGCATTTCAAGATTAAGGCCTAATCAATGTGGGACAATTTCTAGGTGCACCTACTGAGGACAATGCTTCAGTGGGAAGAGGAGCTACGCTCTGAGGCGATTGCTTGCTCGAGCAAGCTTGGTGGAAAATCATGTGAAAGTCCCAATTCGGTCGCACTTGATGAGGTGGTGGTCGTATGCGGGCCACAAGGTGAGATCATGAGGTTAAGGAGTGGGAGTACAGCTGCAGATGCAGCAAGGAGAGTAGGGCTCGAAGGGAGAGTGTTGGTGAATGGCCAACTCGTCTTGCCCGGTACCGAGCTCAGAGACGGAGATGTGGTTGAAGTCAAACTCTAAACGAGCCATTACGAGGTAAAATTCGGAATTGCCTGGTAGCAGCAAGTGTATATAGAGCAGGGAATAGAATGAATAGGGGTGAAGTCAATAAGGCTAGTGCACTTCTAGTCGTAATCGATTTGTATAGGGCTTCTAGTTCAGTTGAAACATGCCAATCATCACGGTCCGCGCCATCAAGCTAGGATCGTGTCACTGAGGCAGGCATGACTTTGGGAGATTCATCTGTCCTTACAAACGTAGCCATTCAAAGTGTACATAATCTGATAATCACAGATCAGTAATACACACAAACAGATTGGATATCCAATTTTTTAACAAATTAGCAGCTTTCCAATCCAATATTTTAACGGTTTCGAATTTCAACAATCATAGCTGATTCTAATATTATGATGATGCCTTGTTTGTTTGGAATTAGCTGTTGAATGAGTCAACGTAGGCCTTATTATTATTTTATATTATTTCCTCGTCCCGCGTGGTGTAACTTACTAATTTTGTTTAGGTAAAATCAATTTTCTCTCCACCTGCCAAAGAAAGAAAGTGTTAAAACTCAAACCGGGCACGTGTTTTCTGCACTGAACAAAAAGTCATCACCCCCACCTCCCTCATGTTTCCTTCCCCCCCTCTCTTTGTCGTGTCGGTAACCTCGTGTGTTTTTTTTCACTCCATTTGCAAACAAAAGGGCTAAAAAAAGGATTTTTTTTTCTTGCAAAATTGGGGAGAAAAGTTGGGGGGGGAAGAGGAGTGATTGAAGATGTGGGCTTTTTTTCTCTCTGGGGCCCACCAAAGTCGGGTTCCTTCCCGAATTTGAGGTAGGAAAGATGACAGAGGGGATTTGAAGCGATTATAACATCTTGGCCCTTGTCTTTGACACCGAATTACAAATTACAAATATGTCTTTTTCATTGAGCTTTTCTTTTTTTTCCTTAATTTTCCCTGCCCGCCAGGAAAGAATCCTTCCGTACACAGTTTGAGTTTTGGCTAAATATGGTGTGAACCATTCCCTGTTAAAACTTTATGCGGCATCTCCTCCATATGCTCAAAAATATTAATTTATTTATTTTTGGTCAGACTCCATATGCTTATAATTGAAAAAGCCTCCAAACTACACTTTGTTTCGTTGACATGGCTGGCTCTGGGTTTGCTTACTGATTTCATCTTCCCTCGTTTCTCCCAATTCCACTTCTCATTTACATCTCCTTTGGAAAAATCCTCCCTCATCAATTTAGTCAGATTTTGTCGTGTCAATTAGAGCCACGTACGAAAAAAAAAAACATTTTTGTTTTTGGACAATCGCATAAAAAAAAATTTAAAAAAAATCCGGAAGTGGAAGTAGATGAAGGTTAGAGTAGCGTTTCGATGCTACTCTCGTGCCTGGTCAAGAAAAAACAAACCTTAACTATTTTTTGATGTAATAGGATTTGTAGGAAAAATTATAATGGTCGCAATTTTTCTTCAACGCTTGAAATTCTTGCATGACATAAAGATATCGACTTTGTTCAATTGTTGTTAGAATCTGTTTGAATATCTTTTCAATTTTAAGAAATTACGGTGGAAGAACGGGTCAAGTCAGAGGCTGCCCGGGAAAAGGCCCTCCACACGATGCAAAATATAAAATAAAAAAAATAAAAATAAATAAAGAGATATTATGTCAGAAAAGGCGGAGAACTGAAGGGTGATAAGCGGGTGCGCTTATCGGCTCACATCGAGACAGCTACCGCGCACTTCAGGAGACAGTGACCAGTTGCTTCACATCTTCCCTTCTTTTCGCATTTTTCTTTTTTTTTTTAATAAAAATAAGAAATCACGAATGATAAAATGCGTCCCCCTCCCCCTCTCTCTCTCTCTCTCTCTCTCTCTCTCTAAGTTTTTCAAAAAAAAAAAAGAAATAAAGAATTTAAGGAAAGTAAAAGACCATACATACCTAGTGGGGACTGGGGGCGTACCAGGTAGACTGGCGTGGCGAAACGGGAATCAAACTTTTCTCGGCGAATAGACGAAGATGACCCTGGGGTCGCCCCTATTATTATTAATTCGTCTCCCATTTTAGCAACAAAAAGCACACGTTCAAATTGAATTTAACGGGTCCCTCTCCATCGGCGAGTATCAATCAAAGGGCCGTTTGGTTCAGCTTTTATAATATTCATTTGAGGAATGCAAATACCTTTAGGTGAAAATTACTTGAAAAAATGTAAATGACGTTTGGTAAAAAATTATTTGAAAGCCACTTGGGGAAATGCAATTGTATTTGGTTATTTCTTTTTACAAATGGGCTTTGAGAGGTTTTTTTTTTATTATTTTTAAATGGACCCTTCGCCGGCTCCGGCGAAGAGCTATGGCAACAACCCTTCGCCGGCGAAGAGCGACCCCAGGCGGCCATCGTCTGGGGTCGCTCGACCCAGGCCATTGCCGCCCGGGGTTGCGCGACCCAGGCGACGGCACCTGGGCAATCACGCGACCCCAGGCGGCCGTCGCCGGGGTCGCACGACCTCGCCGGCCACACTTTGCTGAAGAAGAATTTTTTTTTTTTTTTTAGGAACAGTCAGCGTTTGTGGAATGCTGAATGCTCAAAGCTGGTCCGGACCATCTTTGAGCATTTAGCATTCCAAATGCTACCAAATGAGCATTTGGAACTCCAATGCTGAACCGTTTGGTTCAGCATTTTGAGAATGCTCATTTAAGGCCAAATGAGCATTCCCAATGCTGAATCAAACGGGGCCAAAAGCTCTTCGGGATAAAAAAAAAATGCACGTGAAATTTATAAATATTACATCTCGAGCAAAAACATTAACCCTTTACTCTATCCACTTATTTTTGGGTCATTTACGGCGGTGAATTCTCCGTCCGCGTGTTCGGGATGCTTTGCCCGATGTATTATCTGAATTCTCAAGCCTTCATTGTGTTTGGAATTAGGAAAGAATGGAAATGACGCCCAGCTAAAACTTGACTCTAAATTCGTTACAAAAAATGATGAATATGAGACGAGAAATATCATTTTTCGAGTGTGAGCCGTAGCCAGAATGTTTTGTGGCTAATAATTTATGTATTGAATCTTTAGCCTTTATAGATAGACTTTTATCTTTTTATTTTTTGAGCCTGTATTGAATCTTGAGCCTTTACATATTATATTTCCAAATTCAGTGAAATTTGAATAATATTTTGAATTTGGAGGGAGAATTAAAAAAAAAGTACCTTTTGCTTTTGCTTGAGTGCAAACAAACGCGACTACTAGGAAATTGTTAACTTAGAGAGAATGATTTTCAATTTTTTTACATACAACCCCAGTTTTATCGCTCTAAATTATTAATCTAGGGGAATCCCATCAGGAAACGACCCAATGCTCCTAGGCCAACGAAGGACACGTGTTGACTATTCCTTTAAGTATTATTACAAGAGTCTCGCGACATTTACAAAATATACAATTTGAGTCATAATTACTCAAAGACGCTTGAGCCTTTATGGTTCAAGAAACATGAGCACATCACTACAACCCAACTAGGTGCCAGCAAGTAGCACCTCTTTCCACATAAGGTGATAGCATTGACGTGTGCAATTCGGCTAGAAATTCGCATCTAGTATAACTTGAACTTGTGATGGTTTCATTATATATATATATAAGGCAAGCATGAGGCCACTAAGCTAATCACTCAATGGTGATGAGCATAAGGTTTGACAAACTATGAACCTTTCGTCATTCCCCCCGAGTCGCCAAGGGTAGGGTTGGCAATTGTTTTACACGACCCGTTCATAAGAAACATTGTAAAGTGTGTTCATGCCAATACAAAAGCCAACCCTTGGGTACACGAATAAACATTTTATGTACAAGTCGAGTCATTTTAAATACATTCATGACTCGTTTAGATGCCTCTAGCAATACGGGTTAACGCATTATATAGTTCATCATGACACCATATATGTAAAAGTGTGATACTCATCCGATCTCATATGTTTAACACGTGTGAAATGTGTCTGTGTAAATTGTTTAAACATACGCTATATATATATGAATTTAAATTCTCATGCGGTCAACACACGTGTCGTATCGTTATTATGGTCGAGTATAAATTTGACCTGAGACAACTGTGATGAGGTATGATTGTGACCGAATAATTACTAAAAAAGTCATAAACCGATTGTACGGATGACAATTCAATACTAACTAATTTCGATCCGATCAATTTAGTCCAATACTTTTTGATCATTTATCAATGTAGTCCTTTCAATCAATTTTAGCTATAAAATTATTGACGAAAAAGCTAGCCATCCTGCGTGGCACGGTCGGCGAGGGGAGATGGGCAAAAGGTCAAAGTCAAAATAATAATGGAGAAGCATGGCTATAACTGAGCATGGAGAAATCCCCAAAGAAGGTTAATAGATAAATTAAGCAAAATAGAGGAGGGGGGTGGGGGCAAAAGTGGAAAGGAAAAGGGGATTGGGAGGGGGGGCCCACAAAGTGGGGTGGGGGGGGGGGGGGGGGGAACTGACTCCTGACCTAAATTTTCTCAATCCACAGAAAGGGGAAGGGGGAAAAGGGCAGGTAAAGTATCACTCACCCCCCCAAAAGGAGCAACTCTTCCGTGTTGCACGCCCCCACCGTAGCCCTTCCACCCGCCCCCACCCCCGCACCCCCACCTGGACCAATCAGAACGTGCGGGTGGGATTTGTTATATTTAATGAATTCCTTATTATTCTGGTCAGTCAAGGGGCAAAGGGCGGAGACAGACAGTGACGTGTACGTCCTTTTGCTCCATTTATCTCCTCTCTCTCTCTTTTTTTTTTGTTGTTAAAAAAGAAGAAGTAATAGTAAAGAAAAATGGGGGAAGATTTATTATTATTAGCGATCTATTCCGTTCTGGGAACTCGGAAAGAAGTAAGAGAGTGACTCCCCCACCTTCCCTCCTCCAATTTCACTCCCCCTTCTTTACTTTTTCCTTTTTAACTCTTTCTCTCTTTCTTTCTTTTTTTTTTTTGGTTAATCTAGTCCTAGTAATTTTGTGTATCCCGCCGTTCAAATAAGAGTTTCGGATCTAGCCCTTCATTGCTGTTGGGATCACCCTACCCTCCTTTTTTCTTTTCAAGAGATTTTCCCGTTTGGATGTTCAAGTCTCCTTTCTGATCAATTCCTCAAATCTACAACCTCTTGAATTTTTACCTTTCAGAAGCTCCGAATAGGCTAATCCATCGCGTCTAAGGCTCGACCCTTAAAAGATCACATGTATATATATATATGTACGCGCGCGCGTGTGTCTTTTTTAATTGCCCAATCAATACGCAACGGTTGGACACTTTCAAAAATCGATCCGACATGGGCTCTTTTTATACTCTTAGAAGGTCAAGAGGGTGTATTTTTGTTTTTTTTCTCTTGCTCGAAACTCGAATCGAAATGGGGTACGTCAGGAGGGGGCGTATTGGTTCAACTCTTGCGTTTAGCTTTATGAGCAGGGAACCGCGTGCATTGTCGGACGGGATTATAAACACCAGGCACTCAAACACGTAACAAGGCAATTATTACTATAAAGAGGACTTCATGTCGGAATTGGGCGATGGATGGAGTATAGGATTTTCTAGCCCAAAAAAGTGAGAAAATTATCGCGAACTTTCAAATTGTCAACACATCAAACCATCCCAAAACGAGGTCAAAATGTTCATATTGGTATATTTTTCGAAGAAATTAAAAAAAACTCTCGAACCGCTGAAAAAGTAAAAAAAAAAAAAATTAGAGGGAGAGGGGGGCAAAAGACCAAATGAAAGATGGGAGCATTAGAGAGAGAGAGAGAGAGAGAGAGAGTTAGTTTTTGCATGGACAAAAAAAACACAATGACACGGCTTCGCAGCAGCGAGGGCTGAGGGGAGCCGCACCTTATCATTGCCCCCCCGTCCCCATCTGCCCCAATTCATATCATTTCATTCTACATCTTATCGTTCTCTCCCTCCCTCCCTCTCCCTCTCCCTCTCTCCATTTCTTTTAAAACGCGAAAATCAGGGTATACCGACGGAGGGAGGGAGAGAGAGAGAGAGAGGGAGAGAGAGAAAGTACGGTTTGGCCCATGGCGATATGGAACAGCACCCCATCCCACACGCGCGCATCCCATTACGTTACATTATATATATGTATATATATACTCTTGAAAGAGAGAGAGATAGAGAGAGAGAGAGAGAGCGGGGGGCCATCAATGTTACCTTATAATTTATATACAAAAGAGAGAGAGAGACTCGTGGCATCACGGAGCAGCAGAACCCCTTCTGTACTGAATCTGGAGAGAGGGAGAGAGAGAGAGAGGTATAATAAATTGGGGGGGGGGGGGGAGGTGGTGGTGAGAAAAGAGGAAAAGAAGAAAAAAAGTAAAAATCCAAGCGAGAGAAAAAGAAAAGAGGCACCCCCCCCACCCCCAATAATATATATAATGTATATATACATGAGAGGAGATAAAAGCGAAGGGTTGTTGCAGAGTTAGCTCCCCCCACCACACACAGACACACACACACACACAAAAAAAAAAAAAAAAGAAGAAAAGAAAGACTACAGTTGAGCGAGAGAGCGAGAGAGCGACTGAGGAGGGATACAAAAGAGTAGAAAAGGAGAGAGAGAGAGAGAGAGAGAGTCAAATATTTGGTTCCCATCCCAGACCCCCCCACCCAGTCCACCATCGCCACCACCCCCCCCCCCCCCCCACCCTCCCAGCACCCAAAAAAAAACCCTAACCCTAGATTCTCCGTCTTCCCTCTCTCTCTGCTTCGCCCTCTCCCCCAAACCCATCCCCGCTTCCCCCCCCCCCCCCATTCTGTGCGCCACCGCTGCTGCTGCTGCTGCTTCTTCCTATGATTCCCTGACTGACTCGTCCCCCTCCCCTCCTCCTCCTCCTCCTCTCCCTCTCGCTCTGTACGTGCACCTCTCCCTTCCATCATTTCTGCTCTTCCTTTTCTTTCCCCCTTTTATTCCGTGCTTTGATTTCTCTGGATTCCCCCCCCTCTCGAATGCGTGACGACTCGTTGCGGGGAGCTTCTCTGATTCTCCTTCGCCCCCCCTCCCCTCTCTCTTTAGCTTCTCTGCTTCTTCATTTCTTTTGCTTTCTTTTGATGGGTCGGGTCGGGCGTCGACATTCTTTAATAAAAAACAAAACTTTCATCCTGGGTTCTAGCTTTTGTTTGCTAATTTGCACTCCCTAGTCCCTCGCGGTGCTCTTTTTGTAACCTGTGGGATTCCTGCTTCGACTGCATTTCTCCTGCTTTACACTGATCTCCAGTGCTAAATTGCTGAATGCGCGCGTAGTTAGTGCTAAATAATGCTCCTTGAAGAATCGACTGGAGGCGATGTGTTTGACCGGAACAGAATTATGGCTGCTCGCGTTTTCTCTATTTTGTTGTCCTCCATCTCACTGGAGTTTACCTTTCCCCTCTGGCATTGCAGATGCTTCTTGCTTGCCCCGGATTCACCATTTGACTGCTTTTCCGCGTCACCGGATCTTTTGCGCTGGAGCGATTAGGGGTACCCGGGACAATGTCGTCCTTGAGTAGGGAATTGGTGTTTTTAATTTTGCAATTCCTGGACGAGGAGAAGTTCAAGGAAACGGTTCACAAGTAAGTTCCTTCTTTTCCTTAGCTATTACTTCGTTTTGACCGCCCTGCTTTGGTGCTGATAGTTATGCCAGTAGAAAATGGCTTTTATCGACCTTTGCTGCTGTTCCGTTAATTTATTCCGCTGTGGTGCCTTCTGAGGGGAATTTGCAAGTCTCGGTACATAATGACATTGTGCGCGCTTGTTTTCTGAGCACTCCGTTCGTGTTTGTGAGGTGGAGTCGTGTTCCTCTTTTGCTTCTTAACATGGGCCTATAGTTTTCGCCACTGTCCACAATCCTAACAGGGTCCACCGAAGTGATCCCACCATGTCTGCGTCGAATTGCAGTTTTTGTCTTTGCGTTTTATAATGCATTTGTCACGTGTGAGTTCTCTCAGGCTAGAGCAAGAGTCCGGATTTTTCTTTAACATGAAGCACTTTGAAGACCAAGTCCAGGCAGGTGAGTGGGACGAAGTTGAGCGCTACCTATCCGGGTTTACCAAGGTTGAAGACAACCGTTACTCCATGAAGATTTTCTTTGAAATAAGGAAACAAAAATATCTGGAAGCTCTTGATAGGCAAGTCTTCTAATTATACACGATTCTCATCTTTCTTGGATCAATGCATCCCGATGTGCGACAATTTACTGGTGTGATTTACTTTGATCTAATCGTCCCCTTCTGTATATCAGGCAGGATCGAGCCAAGGCTGTTGAGATTCTAGTCAAGGACCTAAAGGTTTTCGCTTCTTTCAATGAAGATTTATTCAAGGAGATCACTCAGTTGCTTACTCTAGATAACTTCAGGTGGACCCTTGTTTTTCTTTTTGTTTGGGCCAATTTTGCTGCTTTCCTTTTATTTTCCCGTGCTTGCTCGACTAATTCATTCCCCCGACGGTGCTCTTTGACAGGCAAAATGAGCAGCTGTCAAAGTATGGAGACACCAAATCAGCTCGGAATATTATGCTTATAGAACTTAAAAAGCTTATCGAGGCAAATCCTCTTTTTCGTGACAAACTTACTTTTCCCGCCTTCAAAAGTTCAAGGCTTAGGACCCTGATAAATCAAAGGTTGTTTCACATCTCGTCTGTTCAATTGTTTTTTTTTTTTTTTTGTGGTGTTTTTTCCCTTTGAAATTTGGTATATAATACTTCAGTTAGCACAACAGATGTTACATTCTTCTTTCTTCCTTTCCATTTCTGTGACTTGAGTGGTTTTTTTGGTTGGAAAATACAATGCATCGTGCCGACGAGTTGCACCTTGTTCTCTTGTATGAGAATTGTTCCTCAAGTGGTCTTCGTTTTCTTTCAGTTTAAACTGGCAACATCAACTTTGCAAGAATCCTCGTCCAAATCCTGACATCAAAACTCTTTTTACTGATCATTCATGTAATCCTACTACAAATGGTGCTAGACCTCCTCCTCCTACCAATAGCCCTCTGGTGGGACCAATTCCTAAAGCTGGAGCTTTCCCACCCATAGGTGCTCACAGTGTAAGTACCCCATATCACCTTAAATGTGAGAGCAAAGCTTTTGTGAATCTGTACCGAGTCTTGCACTTCTGTTGAGCAGCCATTTCAGCCTGTTGTCTCCCCGTCTCCTGGTGCTATAGCTGGGTGGATGTCAGGTGCTTCTATGCCTCATCATACGGTAGCAGCTGTCCCCCCTGGTCTCGTGCAGCCCTCTGGTGCAGGTGAGGCTTTCTGTTGGCATCAAAATCGTTTTATCTGTGGCTCTCTATTATGTTGGTCTTCATGCGATTAGCTTTTGTTCGTTGTGTGAAGCTGCATTCTTAAAACACCCAAGAACCCCCACCGGTGTAACGGGTATGGATTATCAGTCAGCAGAATCGGAGCACTTGATGAAGCGCATCAGAACAGGCCAGTCGGATGAGGTGTGTATGAGTTGGACAGGGGGACCCTTTTTTCTCTCTATGAAGGTTATTCGGGATTTGGCATTGTACAGGTTACTATTGTCGTTGTGTTTCCCGTCTGTTTAAGAAGGCGAATTTCACCCAGCAGTTCTTTTTACAGGCATCCTTTTCAGGGGTGACGCATACTCCAAATGTTTACTCACAAGACGACCTCCCCAAGACCGTTGTGCGGACCCTCAATCAAGGATCTAATGTCATGAGCATGGACTTCCATCCGCAGCAACAAACTATACTTTTAGGTTTGTTTTTACGGAACCTTTGCCGTTTTTCTCTTGATTTTTTTTATTTAAATTTGAGAATTGCCCCTCTGAGCTTATGCAACACTTGAGTGGACTGTAGTTGGGACAAATGTTGGCGATATCAGCCTTTGGGAAGTCGGGTCACGGGATAGGTTGGCACATAAGCCTTTCAAGGTTTGGGATCTGGCAGCTTCGATGCCTTTGCAGGTACTTTGTTCAATTTTTTTGGACAGGATACTGTAATGGAATACTGAGAATAGGCATGAAAATCAACGTACTCATTTGACTTGGTATTTATTATGCTCCCAGACAGCATTGTTGAATGATGCTGCAATATCAGTGAACAGGTGTGTTTGGGGGCCAGATGGACTGATTCTAGGTATGCAGACTCACGTGGTCCTCTTCTGCAGATTGCCTCTGTTGGCCTTCTTTCCTATTTTGCGGTTTCATTTTGAGATTACTCATGCCATGCTTCTATTTATTACGTTATAGGCGTTGCGTTTTCTAAGCATATCGTTCAGATATACACTTACAATCCAACTGGAGAACTGAGACAACACTTGGAAGTAAGCTCTACAACCTTAATGATATGTTCATTTCAAGCAAGGGAGCAGTAAGTGGCTAATGGCGACCTATCTTGTGACTCAGATCGATGCTCACACCGGTGGCGTAAATGACATTGCATTTGCTCATCCCAACAAGCTGTTGTCCATTGTGACCTGCGGTGATGATAAGACAATTAAGGTATTTCCTTGACGGCGATGCTGGCTTGTTCGAGGAAAATTTGGGCCTTCTGGATTTAATTTGGTTTAACAGGTATGGGATGCTGCAGCGGGACGCAAGCAGTACACTTTTGAAGGGCATGAAGCTCCAGTATATTCAGTCTGCCCACATTACAAGGAAAATATTCAGGTGCACCTGCTTTGAGAGCAGTTAGCTGCTTTCTACTTTCTTGGCTTATACTCTTATCATTTCAAGCAGACTCTATTACCAGTTCTTCCGATTTAGTTTGTGCAGCTGGTGAATTTATTTTGATAGCAGTTTCCCAGAGTCCGTCTATGTAACTCACTTTTTCATTGTTGCAGTTTATTTTCTCCACTGCCATTGATGGGAAGATAAAAGCTTGGCTGTATGATTGCCAGGGATCTAGAGTGGACTATGATGCTCCCGGTCGATGGTGCACCATGATGGCTTATAGTGCGGATGGAACAAGGTAGCATGTTGCCTCAGAAATGCTAGTTGGCTAGCTGTTTCTTCATGAAAGACAGGAACCATTTTTGGAACACCTTTGGTTCATGTGGAATCTCCATGCCAGTACATTGTTTCTCTCCATCTCTTGTCTTGGATGAAGCCCATGGAAGAAGTTTTCTCAACTTAGTCCTTGGATTTGGTTTCTATGATAGTCCCTTAGCTGTTGTTGATGGGGGATCTTATTGCATGCTTTTGGTCTCTTACAGCCAAGCTCGACCTAGAAGTAGCTATTGTTCAAACACATAGCATTCTATTGTGTTGGTCTTCTATCGAGGCAATATGCTGACACTAGAAACATTGGCATATTTGGCTTGGCAAGCGCTTGCATTCGCAGTGATCTTAGTTCTGTATTAATGCTTTCTGCTTCAGTTGATCATAAATGGTATGAAATTTGGATGTCCATCTTGCAGGCTGTTTTCATGTGGAACCAGTAAAGAGGGTGATTCCCATTTGGTCGAGTGGAACGAGACCGAGGGTGCTATAAAGAGGACATATTCAGGTTTCAGGAAGCGTTCCTTAGGTGTTGTCCAGTTTGACACAACAAGGAATCGTTTCCTAGCTGCTGGAGATGAATTTCTAATTAAATTCTGGGATATGGATAATGCCGGCATGTTGACGGCTGTTGATGCAGATGGCGGGTTGCCTGTTAGTTTTTTTGCCCCTTTTATATAGATGTGCAAATTGATAACGTAGCTAGAATTGGGAATTCAGTTCCTTTTATTCATTGCAGGCTAGCCCAAGACTTAGATTTAATAAGGAGGGTTCTTTGTTAGCTGTCACAACAAGTGATAATGGCATCAAAGTTTTGGCTAATACGGATGGTATGCGCTTGATAAGGATGCTCGAGAGCAGGGCTTTTGAGAAAAATCGAGCCCCTCCTCCTGATAATTCTAAGGTAGCTCTATCCAACCCCCCCAGATGTCAAATGTCGGGTGCATTACCTAGCAAAATGGAACTAATCCGTTGGTAATTGAAGTGTGGCTGGAAAGCTGCTTTGGTCCCTTAACATGTTGTTTATGTTCTGTGTAACATCTTTTCTGTGTATTTTTGGCGTGACAGTGGTATCATAGGTTTATCAATGACTCTTCTAAATGCTGCTTTGTGATCTCAGGACAGATGTTCTTACTTTCCTAAGTAGGATAATGTTATCATTGTAGCGTTAACGAAATCTCGGAGATGATTTTTGTTAGTCTCTTGTTTAGGAAGCCTGTTGAATTAAGGAGTCAACATCAATTAGAATGGATTGTATATCTTGAGCAAGAATGATTGAGCATCGGTGACCACTAGATGTACCTGACGGATTTGTGACATCATCACATAGCTGCAAACGTGAGAAGAATGTTTATTTCTTATTATGATTCTTCATTTGATGTCTTTCCACTTGGACCTTATGCAGTCCTTGGTTATAAATACTCTCGGCCCTGCGGGTAGTGTCTCTGCTTCAATTGCTTCAACTCCTGAACGACCTGACAGAGCCCTGCCTGTTGTATCTATCAACAATATAGTAAGTCTCGAATTTTCTTATAGATTTGATAGAATACGGTTATTGATTCTGATTTCCACACAATACACTACAGGGAACAATGGATAGCAGCAGGCTCGTTGATGTGAAACCTCGAATTCCTGATGATGTCGACAAGATCAAAAGTTGGAAAATTCCAGATGTGGTAGATTCATCTCAACTGAAAGCTGTGCGATTGCCTGACTCAGTATCTACAGGAAAGGTAAAATGGTTTTGGGCTGTAATTATCGATAAAGTCTTGCTCTCGTGCTCTTGGCTTCAAATAGGTAGGAGTGTCCATGGTTTTGTATCAGTGGCTTTAGGTTCTATGTAATTCATCAATTTGTATTATGGATCCAATCACATGTTGCTTAATGAAGATATGAGGTAGGAACTTATTTCTTTTAATTAAGATACAAATTAATTTCATTATTGTGTTCGACATGCCGTAGTAGCTCGAGTTTCTGGTGCAGAAAAAGAAAAAAGGCGCCTTAGTTCGATGGCACAAGAAACATCACCTTCAGGACATTAGGGTGTTTTATTTATGCCGGGAATTTTTTTTTCAATACTTACGCATTACATCAACTACAAGACCAGAAACTTGTAGTTGAGGTACAACATTTAAGATAGAATAGCAAGATCGCTCTCTTCATAATGGTATGAGTTATAACTTCATACTGGGGATATCTTTACTGATAGAAGTAAGTTGTGCTGTTTTGCTTTCACCATAACTGCGTGAATACCAGGTTGTACGCCTTATCTACACCAACTCTGGTCTAGCTCTGCTGGCTCTTGGCTCCAATGCAGTCCATAAGCTTTGGAAATGGCAGCGCAGCGAAAGGAATCCTTTGTTAAAGGTTGGCTTCTCTTACCTATGTGCGGTTCTCTATACCAATTTTCTGACATCTTCTTTACGCTTCTCTGATTGTATATTACCTGCTCGCCTTTGAAAACTTCCAGGCTACGGCCCATATTATACCACAGTTATGGCAGCCTCCTAGTGGGACTCTCATGACAAATGATGTCAGTGACAGTAAACCAGCAGAAGATTCTGCTGCATGCATTGCTTTATCTAAAAATGACTCTTACGTAATGTCTGCGTCTGGTGGGAAGATTTCGTTGTTCAACATGATGACATTTAAGGTTTGTTAATCCATATATGACTTTTGTTTTCAATTAATGTTTTGTATCTTTGTTCTTTCGCACACTCCTTAGTGCATTAGTTTTTCTTATTGTTAGGTGTGATGCATCATTAAGTCCTTTACAACACATTTTTCTGGCTGCTTCTCAGGTTATGACAACATTTATGCCACCTCCTCCTGCAGCCACTTTTTTGGCATTTCATCCACAAGACAATAATATAATTGCAATAGGCATGGAGGATTCCACCATTCAAATTTACAATGTCAGGGTTGATGAGGTCAGTTTCACTAGCAATTCCTTTCCTCCTTTACAAGTTTTTTGCAAAATTACTTTTCGTCTTCTTTTTGTGAATAATACAGATGAATGCAAGGAATATCGTGTAAATGTTGTGTGTTGCTCTACTTTAAAGCTTTTTTTGAGTTTGTCATGGAGCTGTCCAGCATTCCTGAGATTTTCATGTCTTTTTTTAGTTGCTTTTTATGTATTGGGATATTACAGTTATTTACCTAGTTTTGTGTAAGGCGGGGTTATACTAGAGTTGAGGGAGAGACTAGGTTTTGTTATGCATCAATGACTGAAAATCCTGACCAGAATTCTAGAGTGGAGTTCATGAACTTGACCTTTTACTCTTGGGAGCTGGTTATGGAAAGGGAATTATTCATGTTTGCTAATGATGGCAGGTCAAAACCAAACTCAAGGGACATCAGAATCGGATAACAGGGCTTGCATTCTCTCAAAATTTGAATGCACTGGTCTCTTCGGGAGCTGATGCGCAGGTAACAGGCTAAATAATCGATTAGTCGAACCTAAATGAAAATTGGTAGAGTTTCGCTTTAGAAAGATGTTTCAGGTGCTTATGTCCTTATTCAGGGTAACGAAGCATCATATCTTCCTTAACTTAGAAAGGATGCTTTGCGGATCAGAATTTTTACTCTTCCGTGTGCTTTATGGAATTGAATTTTGCATGTTTTCTCTTCATTTGCATGCGATAAGGTCATGCATCCATCAATACCCTTCCATAGTCACATTGAAAGCTACTATGAGTTCCAGTCACATATTAACACCTTTTTTACACGATTGCTGCTGCAGTTATGTCTGTGGAGCATTGATGGATGGGAAAAGAAGAAAAGTAGGCCCCTACAACCATCCCCTGGTCATCAATCCCCACTTGTTGGAGATACCAAAGTCCAGTTTCATAATGATCAATTACATGTGCTGGTTGTCCATGAAAACATAATAGCTGTGTATGACAGCAAGCTTGAATGTTTACGTTCGGTAAGTTCTTGACCTTGACTGTATTCTTACATTTGTGGACTAGTACAAATTTGATTTTTGAAACGGATATTGGGGTTGGGAGCTATTGAATACTAAATGGTGGTAATAGAGTACTTAATTGGTCAGCGCTACCGAATTCGCATTCCTCACGTTAGAACCTTGACTGATGCCTTTCCTCTCGAGTTATTACCAGTGCTCCGATCGTCCCTTTTCCCCCGAGTTCACTGTGAATGGGAATTTTTCGAGGAAGGCAGAATACTGTGAATGGATATGACTGATGAGATATGAAAGCTAAATAGCAAAATATGAACAAGAATAAAAAAATTAGATGAACTCCTTGATCATCGATTTGGTTAGGCTGGTTGGGTCCTTCATTGATGATATGCAAAACGATGAATGACTGCTGAATAAGCCCACTTTTTGTCTATAACAAGTATATGTATGCTAAGCTGAAAAGTCCAGGGTCCCTCTTCAACACTGTAGAGAATGATACAATCTTCTGGTATGGTACGTGGTAGAAAATTCTTCGGTTTCAGATATACGCAGAGAATAAACCCTTTAGATCTTTTGTTTTAAAGGAAATTATGATTTACTGTAGTTTATGTATGTGACATAATTTCCCAACTTTAGTAATCTCTTCTCTTGTTTATCCCTTCTTACAGTGGTCTCCAAAAGATAATCTCAGTGCCCTCATTTCGAGTGCAATATATTCCTGTGACGGCTTGCTGTTATACACTGCATTTTGTGATGGTGCTATTGGAGTTTTCGATGCCGACAGCTTAAGATTGAGGTGTCGAATTGCCCCCTCTGCATACATAAGTGGTTTTTCTGTCGGGTAAGCGTAGGAGATTGCTTCGACGAAGTATTTAATCAGCAGTAGGTAGGACTGTGAGCTCATCCGGAATATTTTCTCTTGCAGCGGTGCTTCTGCCTATCCATTTGTTATTGCTGCTCATCCATCAGAGGCAAATCAGATTGCTCTCGGCATGAGCGACAGTGCAGTTTATGTGGTCGAGCCATCTGAAGTCGAAGCGAAGTGGATCGGGGGAGGTACTTCCTCACAGGACAATGGATCGCATCCCTCGAATTCATCGAACCATTCACTTAGCGGCCAACCATCGGAGATTCCTTCGAGGTGACCTGTAGATGAGCGAGTGTCTAGGAAGTGTATTTAGGGACTATCTAATGGGATTATTAGGGAAGCAGTTAAAAAATTTTTTTGGCCCATCTTATGATGATGTTCAGGTAATCATTAACGCGTTATATGTATTCGTTGTAAATCTTTAGCATGTCCCATAATTATTCTTACAAAGAATCCCGGTTAAGTTACGTCTGGTGGTGGTCTCAGATGTCCTATGTCGAAACGCAGCCGTGTCCGCTTAGCTCGTGATTCCGAGCAAGGAGGTCGGTCGGGGTTCAGTTTATGCTCTCTGCATTGGGGGTATGTAGAGAGATCGGAGACGCCAAAAATCTGTGGCACAACCGGCTTAATTGACATTTTGCGGTGAGGGAAGAGGGAATGGATTGGACGGCAGTTCGTATGTCCCAAAGAGAAAAAAAAAGAAAGTCTCTGGGATGGGTGGGGCATGAACATTACAACCCCAACATGGAATGAATTCTTGGTGAAGAGTGCTCAACCCAAACACGAATGAGGAAAGTGTATAACTCTTGGAGCTCAAATGGTCCTGGATTTCAAAAAGCCCAAAAAGCTTCATGTTAAAAAAGCCCCCTTCAAAACTCGGACCTTCAAATTCATTCCATACGCGTAAACGAGAGAAAAGGATACGGTAGAAATACAATAACATAAATTACTCGCCTTAATGGTTGAAATTATCGTATCTCTCTCTCTCTCTCTCTCTCTCTCGCTCACTCATCAAACTGGAAGTCCCAGAATTATAATTTTACTTTTCGGGATACGACTCTTTCGTGTGGATCAGAAGAATTCGAGATAACGTGAAAACAGATTTTGAATGCCTATCGGTAAAAAAGTAAAAAAAAAAAAAGTAAAAAAAAAAAAGAAGATAAAAGAAAAGAGGGTGAACCGCAAAAGAAGATGCCAACTCCACCTTCCTTTCCCTACGATTTCAAAGAAAGAGTTAAAAAAAAAAATTTATAAAAAAAAAATGAGAAAAGAAAAGGGGAAGAGGAAAAACCGAAAACAGAAAGTGGAAAAAACAAGGTGGGGTGGAAAGATATGAAAAATCCCCAAATCTGAAAGAATGGGGGAAACCCTAGCCCTAATTTCGATCGCTCTAATCCGGTCGTCCAGTCATGTTCAACCCCCCCCGCCGATCCTCCACCTCCATCCCTCTCTCTTCTTATTCTCCGGCGGTTGAGCCATTTGTTCCTGCATCCGTCGCCATCCACAGATCTGTTGTTTTGCTTCCCAGGCATAGAAGAGACTGAGCCCTTCTCGCAGATATCGTTGCCATTGGGGTGTTTTTTTTGGGTCCTTGGCTCCCTCGGGTGATATCCGATCTCCAAATCGGGAAGATGGAGAGTTCAGGGGGATCGGGCGATTGTGGAGTGGGGCTGGGGCTCGGGGTGGGATCCATCGTCTGGGTCCGCCGCAGGAACGGCTCGTGGTGGCCTGGCAAGATACTCGGCCCCGACGAGCTCTCCACTGCTCACCTCACGTCCCCCCGGGCCGGCACTCCCGTCAAGCTCCTCGGAAGAGAAGACGCCAGTGTGTAAGCTTCCCATTCCTCTGGTCGTTTGCTTCCTAAATTCGGATTATTATTTTTTTTTAATTCTGGGGCATGTCGTGTTTTTTTGAGGTGGTCGACTCGTTTACGTGATTTCCGCCGTCCGTGAATAGCTGGGTATTCGAGATATGATTGCCTTGGTTCGAGTGTTTGACATGGTCCTCGTGTGTCCATGGTAATTTCTGAATCAGGAATTTACTTGTCATTGGCTGAATGTGGAAGAAACAGCGTAATATATCATCTCTTAAGAAACAGCGTAAAGGAGTGAGGTTGTCTTTACAAGTGGCGTGTGGAAGGTTTTTTTGGGTGTTCATGACTTGAAGTGCTAATGTATGACTCCTGGAATTGCTATTAGAGTATCATTTGTAAATTACAAGGATTGCATGGTCATGGTTATGTTGATTTACCTTTGGTGAAATTCGGCGCATCTCCTTCTTTGGGTCACAGAATACAGAAGTCCTCTTAGTGAAGCCCGTGATGTACTTAAAGGCTGCGCTTTTGTAATACTGTTTCGTCTGTTCAATATCTCTTCACTCTGGTTCATCCTATTTATGTTTTATCTGCTAGAGGCTGTAGACACTCAAGGACACGCATGTCTCTCCTGCTTTTAGGATTTTGATGTTGATGAGTTTCAATTTAGATTTGTTACTGAGCTTTGAGGATCAAATACCATGCTTGTTGCTATTTCCTCCGACAAAATATGTTTGTTACTAAATGCTGTATTGTTCGTGAATATGGTTGTTGTTCTCCTATTTTTCATCTGAGTGGTTATGTGCCTCTTCTATGATTGTTAGGGATTGGTACAATCTGGAGAAATCTAAGCGGGTGAAAGCTTTCAGGTGTGGTGAATTTGATGAGTGCATTGAGAGGGCAGAATCCTCTCAGGGCATGCCAATTAAGAAAAGAGAGAAATATGCTCGTAGAGAAGATGCCATCCTCCATGCGCTTGAACTTGAGAAGGAAATGCTGAAGAAGCAAGGGAAATTTGATATTGAGTCTAAGTTTGTGGGAGGTAATTCACCCACTTCTGCCAAAAAGGGTTTAATTGCATCTTCAGAAATCCTGGAAAATGGCAATGATGAGCTTGAAAATCCTGTGTCACCTCATTTTACCCGGAGATTGGGAGTCTCGGCTAAAGACAACTTTATGAGTGGTTCTTCATTATTCCTAGAAGACAAGGTTGGAGAGGAGGTTAGGCAGGACGATGGTCTTCCAGAAGGTGTACCCAGGATGAGAGGCTTGCAAGATTTCGGCCTGAAGATTGCCCCCTCAAAGCGTAAGCATTCAATGACGTGGAAACCTAAGACGGTGAATCGTGATGCTCATGCTCAGTCAGGTGAGGATCTTAGCATTGGAAATGGTAACATTCTTCGGAGGGAAGAAGCATTATGTGATGATTTCAAATTTGTATATTTTCCGAGTCAATTGATTTGCATCGTGCTCTTTCAACATGAATCGAAAGATTGAACGCCCGCATTTCAGGACTCTCCCGCTTAACTATGAAGTTATTTTACTTCCTTTTCAGAATCTGAGGAGGTGGGTGTTTTCCGAGCAAAAAGGAGCAAAATTGTGTACTTTCCCACGGGCCTTTCTGATTCTCTGGATGATAAAGAAACTCCCCGTGGCAGAACGGAGATTTTGCCTTCTGTTTTGCGAGAGGGTAGCCGTGATGCTAATCTGATGGCACAGGGTACCTCCGGGATCTCTGAATCTTCTGATACGGGTTCTACGGAATCTGATTTATCTGATTCAGAGTCAGATTCTTCAGAAACTGAAGAGGATGCTGATGAAGAGACAACTTCTTTTTCAGGTTACTCTTCTTTCAGATTACTGTTCCCGTGTCTATTGTGGTTGCAATGTTTGTCAATTTAGATTGTGTATGGATTTTGAAATGCTGGATTCGGTATTATTCCATAATTTCCATGCCAGACAATTCTGCAAGAGTGCATTTGTAGTCTTCAAATGCTTTTTTTTTTTTTTGTTAAGTAAGGGCCTGAGACTGCATTGTTTAGTTGGCATTAATCGTTTTCAGCCCTCGTTGGATGTTTATTGGCAGTCATTTTTTAATGTTTTTTATCAGTTGTTTTTCATGGGCTAACAACACGGAGCTATTTTTGCAGAACCAGAACGGGGTCCTTTTGGAATACATGAGGCACGAGTACAGCATGATAGCATGAGCAGTGAGGAGCCGGAAGACTCGGCTTTTTCTGGCGATACTTCTCATTTGTTTCCCCGAGATACTATCTCTGCTAATGAAGCTGTGTCCAAATGGCAATTGAAAGGGAAAAGGAATATTCGCAACGTTGCTAAGAGGCATTCAGATGCTACAGAGGGAACACCTTCTGATGGAAGGAGAGTCAGTTCTAGGCGAAGGGCACCCATATGGAGATCTGGTGAGTATAGAAATTATGACTTCACTTTTGATGACGATGATGAAGAGAAGGATCTCGAGAATGAGGTCTTTGGTTTGGATCATGAATACATATTGACCCCTAGAGCTGCATCTAGAGATCGAGGTTTCCGCAGTTGGAGCATGGTTGGTTTTGAAGACATGTATTGCGAAGGGGAACGCTATAATCCTGTCTTGGTTGGCCAACATCAATTAGGTGGGAACGGTAGAGGCATGTTGGTAGAAGTGGATTTAAAAGTCCATGTTACCTACCAAAAAGGACGGGTGCCAATCATTTCCATGACTAGCAAGTTAAATGGCAACTCAATTATTGGGCACTCAATCCAAATAGAAGCAATAGAAGATGGTTCGACTGAGCATCTTTTACCTGCAAATTATGACGATGACGATGGAGCAATTGACTCTAATGGCATAACGACAGTTCCATCAGCATGGAAGACCGCTAGGAGGACAGCTAATTTTCGAATCCCACGTCCTCATCGATCATCAGCATTTGATGGTTGTGAAGATGGGGGAGAGTCTCTCCTTTTTGGTCAGGAAGGAAGATCACAGAAGAATGTAAGTGCAGGAAATTTCGGTCGCAAAGGTGTCCTCGTGAGGAAGGCCTTCCCTCAGGTTCCTCCGCCTCAGTCTGATAAGAAACTTTCAGGAAAATCTTCCAAGAGAGCAGGCTTGTCATCTAGCCAGAAAATAAGAACGCTATCTTCGATTGCTCTTGAGCCAAATCTAGGTAACAAGTCCATGCATGATAGCTTCGACTCTGCCATTGTTGGAATAATTAAGCCGAATTCATCGGGACCAACCACAGTAGCTTGCATACCTGTAAAATTAGTATATAGTAGGTTACTTGAGAAGATTAATAGGCCGCCATCTAAAGCAGTTATGAATGCAGTTCGATTCAATGGTGAAACAGAGAAAAGCGGATCATAGGTACTTGTATATTGCGTATTTTCAGGTGCAATATCTATACCCTAACAGAGTTTTTATTGTTTTCCCTTGGCGAGTGGCAGAGATTTTGGCAGTGAATAAAGCAGGTAGATAGCGACAATTTCTTGTCTCCTCCGTACTAATTTTCTTTTACCATAAAGGCATAAAACACATGCTTATGTGGTTCAACTTAGTGGGCGAGTGCTTTTGCCGCCTTCTTTTTTCCCCTTTTTCTCTCCGCTTCTGAGTTGCTGAAAGGTCGCTGTGGGTAAACGCCGTATTCTTCTAAAACAGCGCGTTTGGCTTCAAGTGGGTTCTGATTAAAGCGTGAACAATGCGAAAGTGATGTCTCAGGGTTACCTGTCTGCGTTTAAGTTGTACATACATTTGGAATTCAAAGACCAAACTAAGAACACGCTTCAGAAAATGTCTCGTAAAATCTATTATGAACACAATCTGCTTGCAAGATGACATGGACCTAGACTATGGAGCTTCTTAATTTTACTTTACGAGCTCGCATCAGTATCAAAACAGTAATAGTCACGTTTGCTGCCCACAATTTAAAGTTCGAGAGCTTGCTCGCTGCTCCCATCCATCTCTATCCCTATACCTCTTTGCACATTTTCTCCAGTGGCTTCACTTTTAGTTGCATGAACCTCCTTTTAACTGTTCTTGAATATGATAGGATCTGTTTCAGATCAATCATAAGACTCATTCTTTGTTTTCTCTTAGGTTGCCCATAGACTGCGCATATGCATTGCATATACACTCCTAGAGCTTACAAGTTGAATCGTCACCCCAAGTACTCCATATGCAGAAAAATTAAAGTAATGTGAGCTTCAGTGCGGACACTCTTTTACTCGCCAACAGCAACAAAAGGAATCGCCCTGACAATGGGAAAAAATTGTATTAGGTGTACGATATGCACGAAGAGTGACAAAGGGTCCTCACATAGAAGTGGAAGAGTGTATGGGAAGAGCAAATACCATCCACCATGCCTAGAGAAATAGTCATTATCCAGTGAAATAGCAAGAGCAACCGCCACGGCTCTTTCTGAAAGGGTCAAAGGCCGAGCAACTTCCAACTCATCTACCTGCCAGAAAGAAGTAGATGAAGATCAGGGAAGATCTGAGCACAGATGATGCCTTACGTGCCACTAATCTGGTGTGCGATCTTTACCACACTAGCTGGGCCAGTCTTGGAGATAGGATCAGAACTTCCAAAGCGGATGACATACTGACCAGCATCGGTAAAGATCTGGAGAGAGTAAATGCATAAAAATTGTCAATAACAGAAATGCAAATGCATCAGCCGTATAATCTGAAATTGCCACACATCTTAGATCCATCAGATCTTTGCAGCCGGTAATGTCACTAAATTTAGAAGGATTTTAATGGCACTCATGAGCTACATTTAATGTGTTTTGAGGTAAGTATTGTATGTTTCAAAGTCATGATTTGTAAAATTACCAGATTTTGTTCACTTTCAGCCACGAAACGAGAACATTCACACAAAATTTTTCCATATAATGTCTTGTGTGAAAGTGTCAGACGGTTGTTGCAAGACCAAATTATATTGATCTAATATTTCTATCATTTCGGCCGAAATTTAACTATAGAAAGAGAACCTATAGACAAAAATTACTAATTAAAAATAATAAAGGTCCATATCACAGAAAAGCCACGGCGATGCTCAAATATATGTAAAACGATGAGCACGACAGAGATCAACACTCTGCAAGGGTGAGCAGGCCCAAGGCCCAGAATTTTCAGCGAAATTGGAAGGAGCAGTGTCTTCATCAAACTTCCTCTACAATACAGATAACTAGAAGGGTGCAGTAGACAATTGACAAACCAATCAGTTAAAGATCCATACACAATACCAAGCTGCTTATGCAGTTCTCTTCTGCTGATTATTGTCAAAATCAGAAGCTATTATTTGCTACTTATTAATACTCCTGCCAGCTAAAAGAAGAGGGAGTTCAAGAGACGGGGCATTGATACCCAAGAAAGCACCAATCATATTCTTAGTAGGACATCTAATTTATAACTACTTTGATCCTACTGCACCAACAGCAATTGATTGCACTAAACCAATACTTTTTCTTCCACAAAATGTCTCACTGACATCACTTCCATATATGCAATAATCACATTGCCTAAGAATCTTATTTGAAAGGTTAATGGATCTGTGAAAGCATGTTGACACCACATCAATTACTATCCATACACCTCTGCAACACCAGAGCTACCTGCTAACAAGTGTAAATTGACGCAATTGAAGAAACCACAGATAGACTAAGGACAACAAGCCTCTATAACATAACAAAGTTTGTTCTGAAGACCTATGTTTCCTAAGAATAATATTTTGACATTGGGTTAATTACGTCTCTCTCTCTCTCCTAAACACGAATCTAGAGAGAGGTTTTGCTACAATGGACTCCTAAGGTGATGTGCTGAGTCTGCTTTTCATCTGTTTACTAAAAGAAGTCCGACGGTTTGAAGAAACCACAGATAGACTAAGGACAACAAGCCTCTATAACATAACAAAATTTGTTCTGAAGACCTATGTTTCCTAAAAATAATATTTTGACATTGGGTTAATTATGTCTCTCTCTCTCCCTCCCTCCCTCCCAAACACGAATCTAGAGAGAGGTTTTACCACAACAGACTTTCCTAAGGTGAAGTGCTGAGTCTGCTTTTCATCTGTTTACCAAAAGAAGTCCGATGGTTGTCCTATAATAGCATAAAAGTTAATGGTTCTAAATTGCACGAAGAAAAGTTTAAGGACTAAAATGTATATCCGGCCAGTAGTATAAGTAACCATTTAATGATTGTGAAAGAAAGAGACATCTGGTCCAAAAGATCAACAGCTTAATGTTCAGAACTCAATGGAAAAGAAAAAAGAACCTCGAAACCAAAACCCCTCCAATCACGATCTATTTGAGCCAATACTTTGCCATCTATGTCCTTCAAAGTAAATGTCCAATTCCAAAAGCCAGGATTTTCCACCACTGCAAATTGCTGGTTCCTACGAAGAATTATGATAAACTCCAAAGTTAAGATAGCACATAGCAAACTTGAAGATGTCTCCCTTTGGAGTGAACTCTAGCATTAGCGGGTAGCCATGACATACCATATATGAGTGATAGAGTTATTGCCATAGATAATCTATAAAAGATAACCAACTGGTCACAGGGAAAGATAATCTGTAAAAGATCACCAACTGGTAGAAGGTATGCCTATGCTACCTTATATAACAAGATAAAAAGAATGCAAGTAAAGCCACGTGCAAATGTAACATCACTGAAGAATATGACCAGACGAGAACTAAAAGCCTTAAAAAGCCTTGAGGCAATCACAGTCCTTATAACTGGGGGTCGTAAAAAATAACAGGAAATCATTAAACAAAACTGAACCAAATCGACATACCAAACAGACACCTTTGCCTTGTTGGTTTATGGGCTTGATATTAAATTGCAAAATAGGAAATCGATAGATTGGTTTAGATTTTGGTTTGACTCTTTGCAAAGGATAATCTAATGGCATTTTGATTTTTTCCATGTAAGTGATTCTCAAGCAAAGCCATTTTGCTTTCACATCACAAACAATGTTTTAATATACTTTTTGGATTTTAAAACATTTCTTTTCATATGCACGTCGACCTTTTGCCTTGTTATCTTCAGCTTTAATCATATAAACAATATGTTTCTCATTGTCCACGGATTATAGATGATTAATTCAGTTTGATTTTCTAATATGATGTATCTTATCTTTCTATGGTTATGATGAACGTTGAATCTCATGGTAATAGTGAAATTCATGTTTAAACATTTGAAACTGGACCAAAACGAAAACAGAAGATACCAGTTTGGTTTGGGATGTGACTTTATGGATAAGGTTTGGGTTTTAGTTCAGATTTTTCTAAATGATTAGTTTGGTTCAAATAGATATCTTGACCAAACCGAACCACAAGCGCGCCCCCTATTAACACATTGTTGCGACCAATCGCAGACGTTAAGGGAGACAAGGTAAAAAAAAAACTTGTTAAATCGCAAAATTTATTAAAATTCGACCAAGCACCTAGTCATGGGGGTGACAAACCCACCAGCACCCCCTGGTCAACCTCCGGCTATGAACATAGACACTAAGCAACATGGACTTCGAGGGGCGAGACAGATAATTTTATTTAAAATTCCAGTGTAAAAAATTTTCTTTCTGAGCACGGGCACCACCAGCCCCACTAAACAAGTTTATCTGAAGAAGGTCTGTGATGTGCAAAGGACAAGCCATTTCTTCCCAAAGTTAGAAAGTAATGATTGAATAAGATCATAAGATCATGGAAGGAGATATGGCTTGCGGGCCCATGTGACTGGCAATTTATAAGAAAAAGGAACCACATAAAGGAGCAGTCAATCTTACCCTAGATACAAATCATACACCCTCTTCCATAGATGCCATCGTCTGTGAACTACGCCAACTTCCTAGAAATTTGAATCCATGCATGTTTCAGAAGACACAATGATTTTTGCACAAGCTCTGTAATACTAAACAGCAACCTCTGTGTGACTGATATACCTTACCGTTAACCTCTGCATAAATGGAGCTGGTAATCCACCAGAAAGGCCGGCGGACCTGAGCATGATAAGCACAAGCCGTGAAACATCTGCAACTTATGACATGAGAACTACATAACAAGCAGACTAGTATGATTTTTACAGTTTATAGATTTTTACAGTTTACAAAGGATGAATCCTACCCTGAAGAGCTCGCTCCCCATGGCATCGGTTATGTATGCAACAAATGGGCGCCTTAGGCGAAGCAACTGATAAAAAGCATGAGAAATGTTAGTCCAGTTGTACTGCTGATAGTTGAGTATAAAACATCGCAAAAGCAAACAAGGCGAAGCATTACAGATTTAGCAGTTTTAGGCCCAATAGTCCTAATATGCTGATTGCTACAATCAAATGCAAGTTCAACAGGAACAGCATTGGGTTATAAATCCATTAGTAGCACAGCCAGAACATGTTGAACCTTCTAGGATAACATCCACACTGTTGCTGAACCACTGCGAGAGATGATACCCTGGTATGGGGTTGCATAGGTCATACTCAAATACGTGTAGAGTGTTCCATGGTACTGAAGTTACTAGGCCTTGGTCAACTTGAGCTGTTTTAGGGGTTACCATGTTCCTCTTAGCTACCAGAATTCATTAAACCATATAAGTTCAACTTACGATCTGGTGGCACCATGAGTACAGCAATTACAAGACCATGATCTGCCACATCAATTGCAAGACCACGAGTACAGCAATTACCACGAGTATGGCAACCAACGGGATGCTTGTCATAATAAGGAGCATCCTCAATTTATACCGCTAATCCACTACAGATATCTGTGCATGACCTGACTCCAACACCTCCACCAATTCCAATTGTCAACATGCCACTTATACTGACAAAGTGGAACTCTAGGGAACAAGGAGTTGGCCTAGTGGTGGTTCAGTTTTGCCAAGGATCCTAGAGACATTGGCCTCTGCATGTTCGGGTGAGCGCGAACACGTTAGAGAGAGAGAGAGAGAGAGAGAGGAACTGCTTGATGTTGCATTCGAGCTCACCAAAGCTAATCCATGCTCCATTGATCATTCTTGCGTTTATTAATGGGCTTTGGGAATTGGCAATGAAACATCCAAATTGCCAATCATTCACTCTCTCTAGAAATGGTAAATAAAAGATTCCCCAACAATAAATTGGCCATTTCACGCGTCCTTGGTCTTTCACAAATCCAAGTTTTTTCCTTCAAGCTCAATCTCAAATTCATTGGGACATTAGTTGCAAAAATATAAGAAAAGTCATGGCTTGATGTTTAAAATTTAGGAACTATACATTGCAGAAGTTCAACATGAGAGCGACAATAAGTACTATGCCCGATTAACTCTTCCAAAGAATGAAAAAAGCCTTCTACTCGGTAGACAACGTATATACCTGTCTGGCAAGGAAGTTGCTCTGTTCACGTATAAAACCTACAGGCTAAAGCCAATTAAAACGAACAATATCTTGTTAAAATTTAAAGTTCGATACACAACTTAAATTAAATAATTATAATTCCCATCTAGATGGCCACTCACCGACTGAGGGTAACAAACATCCACAATTGCATATCGATTCTCCTGCAGTTTTGGACAACCCAACAAAAATTAAGGACAAAAAGCTGAACTTAAGTTTTGCCAAGACCCGACAAAGCAACAACGGCCTCACCATGAAAGTACTATAGTAAACTCGTCATTCCAAATCCACAAACAAAAAATGGACATAGCAAAGAAAACAAGCACATAGACAATTGCCCATCTTCATAATAATGGCCAAGCACTAGACAAATTGGTGAAAAACTTCGATCACCAGAATATGGCCAATCATCCACCAATAATAAGGGAAACTATCCACCACAATCTCTCAAATCTTTGCCAATGGCAATGAACTTATGTTGGTTACAAGAAATGTAGTTGTCTCCTCATAATGTGAACATAGTTCAAAAGTGCAATTTCAAACTAATAAAGGGCCAAACAGCCCTTAAAGAAACAATTTACTAAAACTTATCAAGAAAAAAATCAGTGCTCTACAATAAGCATCACGAAGAATTAGCTGAGGTAGTGCAGAAATTGCCATTCACCATGGAAGAAGCATCAGACAGGATCTCAATATGATATGCATCTGTGTTAGGATGCAGCAGCATAAAAGTATCCATGCTCCATTTCCTCCATTTAGACTATTGAACTATATAAAGGACATATTCAAAATGACACACCAGATACATTCCGGTGACCAAACACCCTGACAATTTTTATCCTTGTAATATATATTTTTTTCAAATAGCTCAGTGAACCATGGTCAAGACATGTCGATAGTAATGGAAGTGGAGGCACTGCAAAAGTACAAAATATACAGGTCAGGCAATGTTGACTGGAGAAGCTTAGCTCGCGGCTGCCCAATTGTAGACACTCTTGTTACATATTGTTGATAGTCGACGCAGTTCATAGGTCGCCAGACCGATGGCAGACCTTGATCATTTTGTCAACTAAAACATCAAGCAATGTCAAACACAATTTGTTGCCAAAAACAACTTACACTTCTAAAATGTTGGCATCCTATTCTAGGATGTGAAAGTCTATGAACTGTCCAAGCAATAAAATGAGAAAAAACTGGTATATTCTTCTCAGTTTCCTGAGAAATAATACTGAGTCTACTTACTTTACAAAGTGAATAACATGTAACTAATCACTCTGTCACAATTGGTCCAAGCCAGATAAGGATGGGGTAAGGGGAAAGAGATTGATTTGAAGAAAGAACCTGCTCAAAGCCGAATACGAGGTTGGCCCACTCTATATCCCTTGTAATCAGCAAATTGGACCTGGCAAGAAGAGGTGCAACATAGGCCTAAAAATTCAAATATAACTCAAGTCATTCCCCAATTACTCTGGACTTAAGGAAGAAAAACCTTTAGTAGCTGAAATTTATAGCACAGAAGGGAAAAAGAGTTGTGGCACTACCCATTGAAATACAAGCACGCATATGTTGGCTAACCAAAAGTAGGACTGACATGAAGCCATTTTTCATTTAATCTTGAGTCATGCAACACCACATAGATTAACAGCACCATAAGCCCACATGAGGGATAGGTAAACAGGCACGTTTTAACTATGTTGTCCGTCCTGCTCTGCCTAGTGGGGTCTCTTTACTAAGGCCATACAGTACCACATGCATGTATTCACACACAGGCACTCAACAGAAACAAGTAGAGATAGATGCTTCAAATGGTCAAAAGTCCACCATAGAGAAAGCACGGACAATGAGTCTACATGATGCAATGCAACGATTTGATCATAAAATGGCAAGTCAAAAACTTAGCACCTAAGGTTAGCAAGATAAATTGATGGCATGGCAAATAATGACCAGGCTTCACCTCCTCTGGCGATGCGGGCTTTAGATAGCCAGTAACAGATTGGCTGGTAGGTGGTTGCTTCAGAACCGTTCCACCAGAGCCTGATTCTTTATCGCCCGATAACCTCTCAGATGCATGTCGATCAGCTACTTGACCATAACTCTCACACTTCACCAATCTTGCTCTGCCTTTGTCTTTAAGGTTCTTCATTTTTTTCTTATCAGCTACCCATTGCTGTACAAAGAAATCTCTACCCACTTGAGATTCATCCGAAGGAGTTCCTCTAACCTGGCGAGATGAGGTACTGATGTTCCGTCCCAAAAAGAGAGAACTAGCTCCTAACCCGCGAGTCACGGTGAATCCTCCCGGCACATCTCTAGTCAAGTCGAGAGATTTTGGACATTCACCAGAGACATCCCGGTGCAGTTGCGGGGCACCCATTACGCACCCACTTCGAAGTTGACACAAATGACGGACCAGAAACCTTTCAGCGACGAGACTAGATTGGTGAATCCCGTTCCCATACTTCAGTCTCATCCCAATGGCTGTATTGAACGTAGCAAACAACTTATGACGACCCATGTCGATCGTCGACCCCGCAACAGTCCCAGACAGCCTGCGCAAGCGCAAATTTCGCGTCGGGTGAGATCATTCACGCAAGGGCGCGGCATTCAGATTAGGGAGCGGGGTGTGCATTGAATTGATGCAAGAGATGAGTAGAGGAACGTGCAAAGCGAACGATCGAATACCCAAAACCAAACCACCGCTCGAACTTGCCGGAGAAATACGGATCAAAGCGAAAGAGGCGAGCAAATTCGTCGTCAAAATGTTGGTTACCTTGCGACTTCTCTTCGATAATCTTCTTGTTCGGACAACGGCACCCCCTCTCTTGGGTGTGTCCTCCTCTCGTCTGACAGAAAGCGAGAGAGAGAGAGAGAGAGAGAGAGAGAGAGAGAGTCTTCGTCTTCGTCTTCCTCTTTGTGAAGTTATTAATATGGCGAATTCTCTCGTAGGCTGAGGTGGCATTTATAAACTCTATGAGCAATTTTATCGAATTACTCATCACTCCTCACTTTTCCCAATTTGAAAAGTTTTACTTGCCACACATTCCAGATCAACAGATTACTAATCCTTGATTGGTCGAAATTTTACCTCTTCTTATCACGGAAGCTCGAGGAAATGCTAGTAACAGTTACGTAATTTTATTGCTTCTCCCCTTTCGAAAAGTTACTGAGCCATAAAAGGGTCACTAATTGTGATCATATTAAAAGCTTCTTGTTCTTCTTCTATCGAAATTCACTAACCATGTCGAAGAATTAGGGGTGACTGATGATGGGTTGCGATTGTGAGTGTAAATATCGACTCCAATAAGAGAGTTACCGATCGGAATTATTAATACGTGGAATTTCACTCTGCATGAAAATGTATCGACCATAATGCACAAGTGAGCTGTTGGAGCAATTGATTATAGTGAAATCTACCCCTTTAATACAAGAAGTTTCCAAACACCCCGAAGAATTCAGAATACAGCTTTGCATTCCCCTGACTATTTGTGAATCACTCAGCCCATTTCCTTGCAATGCTTCAGTATCTCCTGCAAGTCGCAACAAAAGGGAAGCACAAAACAGAGAATCACATCCAGATACATCATGTATCGCACTGTCTGCGCATGTACAACATCGCCACACTCAAAACCATCTAATCCGCTATCGAGAAAATGTTTGACGTGCTAAATGTAGACACACACACACACGCAGTTAGGCCTACGCTGGTATACCGTTTCCTTCTCAAACCGAAACATTGAGGATGAAGAATTGTCCTAGGCAGCTAACATTACAAATAAAAGATGTTCTTTAAAGCAGATTGCAACGCTACACTTCTTATAATGATGGTGGGCAGCCACCGAGAGGCGTATCCCCATGATCTTCACATATACATCATGTAAACTGCCGTCTCATGTAGGTATCTTCGTGTACGAAAACAGGATCTGCCCCGGTTTGAGGAGGGAATTGCGGATGTCCCATAGCCACGCCTCCTTGATTAGGCACAGGCGCGTTGCCCCAGCCTTGGTCGGTGTTATTTTTGGCTGAAGTCAAGGTGAGATATGAGATCAATCCAAGGGCAACTGTAGCAAGGGACAAGAGGGCACCTCCTGCGAACACACCGGGTTTCACGACATAACAATAATAATACCCGAAGTACATGCTATCCACACCATGCCGGTTGTTTAGCGCAGACGCTGCTAGCAACAAGAAGAACGCGATGACGAACGTGAACCTGCATGTTGAGGATAGTAGACAGTAAACATGCATAGTACCGTGGGCAAACAGTTTATACTCTGAACTGCAGCAAGATCACAAATTATGCATTAAATTCATCACCGATTTGTACTACAATTGTATAACTAGTGCAATCCTCAACCTTATTATTAAGTATGCTCATGTCAGAATCTGGCCTGCCAAAACTCTCCTCTATACTTACGATCTATATAGGAATAGTTCTTGAATTAACTCTGCCACTCGCACCAATCAAAGGCATTGTTGACGACTCTGCTAAACCATAAATCTGTTCTTTAGATGATTTAACATCCGTTAATCAAAGAAATCCTTTTTCGATGTACATTTATGCTATTGACAACCAAGAATATCCAGTTCAATCCTCCACATGAACCGTGTTCCAATGAAAGCAGTCCGGCAATGCAAGATAGGTGCTGGTAGTTGATTGCTTATCATTATTTTCACCCTTCTTTAGCGTCATCCAATGGATTGTCATCCACCAATGTCTCTGATAAACCAGAGGTAATACAATATTGTTCGATGGGAAGAAGCTTGAAATTCAACAAAATTTAGACAAGGTTGTTGCTAGTTAGTTTACCATCCATTACATCTCTCCATATAAGAATTACGAGTCTGACAGACTTAACCAGACAAAAGTATAAAAGAACCTGATGAACAAGTAAAATGACAATGCAAGTATTTATAGCAGCATGGAGGAGCAGTAGGCATATACTCACAAAATAAAAACAAAAGAACAAAAGAAGAAATTGATAGGGTCTAGATTACTAGGTGCATTTTCCATCCAAATATGCTGCCTACCATGCAGCGCATCCACATATTCCAGACACCATCACTCAATAAAAATGCCAAATGTACACGAACCCCACAAAAAAGACATTGTAGTGAAAATTTTACCAGGAAAGAACGAAGCAGATAACTGCAATTGTCCCACTAGAGTTCGATGGATGAGGGTTTCTTCTGCAGCAAAGGCACCCCGTTGCCATATTAATGATCACTTGGGCGATCATGAGAGCTAGTACAGCTGTTAAACCAAGACCCAGAGCAGGACTGCTTGGGTATTCACACCGTATAGAACCTACCGACCGCACTTCAGAAGCCTACAAGTCTCAAAAGGTAATAAACCGTTATACACATGAGAAAAAGAATAATATCTTCAGCTATCTATCAAGAAAGTACCATATTTAGCCACGGGGTGAGAGAAAAATATCAACCAGTGAAACCAGGCACAAGATTATATGATTTAGCGTCAGCAGATATCCAGAGCAGACCAAAACAATCCACTGTGAGAAAGCAGAAAACTAGGACTTTACCTAAGAAAGCACTGGGACCTAATCTCAGACATTATGATAAATTCCAACAAGTGATTAAAACAACTGGAATCACCTATTCACAAGACCACCAACAGGAGTCCTCCTACGACAACTTACTCCTACCGAATAGAATAAAACTAAAAAGGAATTGGCATATTTCTAAGGAAACTGGTCATAAAATGCTCAAGCTCTCTAATGGATTGAATCTGACAAGTTACATAGTGAAAGGACATAATTTCTCTGCTTTTATGGGACATCCAATGAAATAGAAACCATCTAGGAAGTTGGGAGAGATTTCTGATATTTTGAGTTACATTCAGTATATGAATCCTTGGACTTGCTCTCTTTTACCTTGATTCTCCGTCCACTATCACGAAACAATACATCTGAATGCATGTACTCTCTTAATACAGCATGGGCTGCTAGGGTGCCTATTGAACACCAGACTATTTACTGCTGAAAAGCAATCCATCTTGCCACAATATAGCAATGGAGCAGAATGCCAATTATAGTCCTTCAAGGGCACTCAGATGGGCTCCCAGGAAGTGGCACAAGTAAACTTTCCCTGAGCAGCCATTACCAATCCCAGTCAAACCATGAAAACATTCCCAAGTGTATCTCTTAACCAAATGAGACGGCTTAACCATTTTGTTTGCTAACATAACCATCATACTGTCAATCAAAACTAAAATGGGACGGGTTCACCATTTTTTTTCTGCGGCGTATTAGATCTTACCCAAGTCCCCAATCCCGGACACAGCCCAGACATAATTTGTACATTTAGCAGTTCACTTCCTAGTTTCTAACTAAGTAATCCACCTCAAGCCATATGCTTATCTGGATAAGCCTATAGAAACTGGACTCGGCAAAATCTTTAAGAAATGCAAATGGAATTCAAAAAGCAAGTCACTCCTGGCTTTAGAGTTTGCACCAGCAAGAAATTGATACAATATATAAGACTTCTAATAAGCACCTCGGCAAGGACCAGATAGCATCTTTCAACTGAGCAATCTTTCAGAAAAAGGAAATTCTAAAAGGACGTACAATGTTGAAATCAAACACCAGTCACTCAAAAGATAGCGCAAAAACACAAATTAACAATCCATACCCATTTCCCCGGTGGCCACTACAAAAGGGAGAAAAAAAAATCTGAGAGAAAAGAACATAAAATTGCGCCGGAAATAGAGGGACTCCAACTGAAAGGCTGGAAACTCAAATATCTAACACAAGCTCACGGCTCAGCGAAGAACTGCCTCCTAAACAACAAGAAGGCAAAAACATACGAGAGGAAACGTTTCATAGCAATGTCAACCAGGGGATTCAAGTGGACCAAACAATGAAAATACCAAACCCGCAATCCATCGCATATTTCTCATTCAAGACGCGGGCTCTAACCTTTATCTTGGTGGCCTCAGCAGCGAAACCTGTAGCAGCTGAAAGCAGCCCCAAGAACCCCACAACCCCACATATTATCACACCCTTCCTGTCCATCTCTCTTCAGTATGACACCTCACTAGTGAGGAAATCTTAGAAGTGCAGAGCAGGTCAAGAACAGAGTAGCAATATCAGTATTGACTCTGGGTGATCTGTGGGAGCTGAGGCTTTCTAAAGAAAGGAGAGAGGAGAAAACAAGGGAAGACACGGGGAGAGACTGAGAGAGAGAGAGAGAGAGGAGAGGAGAAAGGAAGCGAGAGTTCCTAAGCAAGGTACTACCCTCCTTTTAACAAGTTTTAAAAGCTGCTGATTGAATAATAAATAGCTCGCAAGTGAAACAACCAGATGGATTGGTTCTCTTCTTTCGTGGACCGGAGAACTTCTAAGCAAAAGATCCAGTTACTCCGAAGGCGTATGATTTAAGGGAGTGTCATCGGGGTGCGAGGGCAGCGAAGTGAACGCGACAGTTCCTTCTCTATTTTCGAACTCGACAAGGCTCAAAATGGTGTCTTTCAAGTTTCAATTTCAACCTGCTTCGTCTATTCAGACACGAAAACGTGGATGGTCCCTCCCTTCGGATCAATCGTGGGGCTGGGCTGACCTCTTCTATTTTACCGAGGTAACGTTCGCCCAGTTGACCTAGTCCCATTTGTCTTGTCTTCTGAACCATGTTGGAACAAAATTTCATGGATTCTGCCGTGTTCTTTGGGGCTCCCCTGGCCGTCCTTTTTTATTTTTATTTTATCAAAACCCTGGCCGTTCAGTTTCCGCAATACAAACCGTAATTTCTCACGTCCGACCAAAAAAAAGAACCTTATTAATTTCTCATGACTAACGAAGCGGGACCTTGAGTCGCCTTCACGCCCGGTTTTTAGTTGTCATAGATTCCCAACCTTTTAATTTTGTTTTAACATCTTCATCTTCATCTTCATCTTCTTCCTCCTCACCTCGTCGTGACTCGCGCACTCCGAAACTAGGGATATACCATATAAAATCAGAAGGAGATGCCTTGACTTATTACGCAATAAAAGTGCCAGAACCTTCAGAAGAGACTGCCCTTGAGACTCAAATATTGTATACGAATGTATTCCGGTAAACAATGATAAACCTGTCAAAATGGGTCATAAATTCATTTATTATCCAATATTTAATGGGCCGAGTCACTATATGAGTTAGTTATGTATGGATTACGTAAATGGGTTTAGAATTGCAAAGTCCAAAAAATTATGAGTATTAAATGGGTTCACAGTTTATTCAAACCCAATCCATCTTCGTGATTCTTTCTTCAGCCTTTATAAAAAAAATAATTGACTCCTCGGATTGTTCCAAGTTCAGAGAAGTCTTGGTTGACCCGCAAAATGGGCCTGACTTGACCTTTATTAAAAATATCAAGATTGCTTTTTCTTTTTCTCCATCATTTTTTTATTTGTATTAATCTTGTAAGTTTCGTCTAATAAGTATTAGAGTATATCTTTCCTTAGTTGCATTTGACATTGTTATTTTTATGTAATATTCTAATAATAGTTCTCGTCATTGATAATCCATGGTCAATATAAAATCATCTTCTTCGATATCTTACAATCTATTTTTTTAAAACAATTCCTCCGCATTGTTCATTGCTGTAGTTTCATAAATTCACTACCAAATATTAACTTTCTCTTATTCTTCATTGTGAATTAATACAAATTTTGAAAATTCTATACAATGTTGAAAGCCAATTCTTTAACATCTTATAGTCAAAATAGTGATTTTACCCAAATAACATATACGCATGAGAGTTTAAAGTGGATTAATGAGGTGGATACGGATTTTATTTTAGTAAATGATCGGGTCGCGTATCGGTCATTATATATATATATATATATATATATATATATATATATATATATTGCATAGAAAAACGGGTCGATTTGGATCGGATCATTTTTTACTCGATTCACCCATTTGACGGCCCCTAGTCAATGATGCCAAGTGCCAACTATAGTTAAGGATATCAATGCACTTTGAAGACCTATTGGTTCGTAATGTCGATCTAGTAAAAGGTTTGACAAATTGAACAAAGGAAACACTTGTCCTGCCTTCAGCAGCTGGATTTGACCCGAACTTCCTGGTACACATGAAACTGCTTCAAAAGAAAACTGCTTTCGAATGGAGATTGGTTTACAGTAGCCCTTTTTATACCCCTCTCGGATAAGCTCTTGGAGGGGGGAACAAAATCTCTAAATATTTGACACAAATTGGGATGTACTTTCAATTTGGTAACCAATGAGAATGGCCATTTATTGAAGACCGTAAGCAAGCAAAGCTCCAACTGCACCAACACCAGCTACCAGACCTATGATAACCCCAATCGGGGGCAACCCACCACCAATTGCTTTCCCAGTGTCCACGTCGTATCTAGCAAATCTTTTCTTCGGTGCTTGACACTGAGGGCATACGTATGAATCCGGCTGCAGATCAAGCAAGTGCATAATTACATTACACTCCACTAACATTGACCCATGAAAAAAAAGAGTGTCACCAAAATTCACATGCATATCAACTTTTTCAGGGTGAAGTAGCCTCTGAACAGCTAAGATAGAGAAAATAATTCGTGGCAGAACAATCATCTTGCCTGCTCATCAAACGGTTTCTGCAAGGTGTATATGTATCCACAATCTAGGCAGATGTGAGTGGCTCTAGCCTGCACGCCAAGTTTTGCAGAGAATGTAAGACCGCCTATCCTTTGTTGAACTTGATAAAAATTGAACCGTACTGGAATCATTTGCATGTGAAAGGAGGTAAACCTTTTGAGCCTCAGTCAACTTCCTCCCGAATCGGGGAGGAGCGGGGCGCTTCGGTAACCGCTTAACATCTACTTCTGCACCTCTGCAATGAAAACATGCATTGGTCAGTTCAGACGCAAGAGTGTTCTCTGCTGCATGAATTGAGTGCTCTTCAGGTGGAAAAGTTGGAGATTATATCATTTTCTTAACTAGGAAAAAGATCTCAAACGATGTCTCTTTCTTGCTCTAACTTAACCTTCATCTTTCCCTTTTGTGTTTCCTTTTTTTTTGTCAATGTCTTCTAAGAGAATGAAAGAGCTAGAGCACATCTAGTTGGGCGCAATTGTCTTAGCACAGCATGGTGGAGTCACTATTAGATGTGAGCTTCGTCTGCATATGTTACAAGACCATTGAGCATTTTCAGTTGCTGACATTTAAGCGAGCAAGCACACTGTACTCCTAGAAGTGGAAGATTTCAGTTTCATTCCTCCAAATCATATTACTTTAAGTTATTTAGGCTGAGCACAACGAAGCTCATTCTGCCGGAGAAGTAGATCTTCTGGCAACCATGCCACAGCAACTTCATAATTTCTCAGAACACACCTTGGCCTCTGAAACCCCCAAGTCAAATGGGACTTGGAGGTTGAAGTTTAGAACAAATATGCTTCCAACTCTACCGATTCTGGTTCCCCTTATACATTTACAAATGCAAAGAAGTGTAGCACCACTTTGATGAGAAAGATCCCTAATGGACATTGAAACGACGTCTTATAGGACATAAATCACATGCCAGTCAATTTCTTAATTTCGGATCCTTCAGTAGGCTACGCAAGTAGGTAGCAGTATTATGTTCGACTATCTTCGTTCAACAAATCAAGGGGGCACTCTCTTGGGCAAAAAAACAGAAGCCTGAACGCCACAACCTTACCTTCGTATGAGTTTATGTCCCTATAATTGATTTTTTATTGATTAGCGACATATATTACACAGGAAAACAGAAATTCAGTTCAAAACAAAAATTTATAGGCAGACGGCATCGAGCTCAAACGTACTGAAGGAGGGAAATCGACAGTCAAGTTTTTTTCTTATTTATTCTTATGCACTAAGCCTCCATTCGCCTTTCTTTTCAAAATTACGACAAATGCAATAACAAACAGAGAAGGAAAATTCGGAAAAAAAAAAAAATCCTAGAGAAGAAAAGGAGTTACCTGCTAACAACAAAGTAAACGTTATCAGGCTTTGCTTGGACAGCGGTTTTCGTGAATCCAAGCTTATCGGCAGGCCAAAGTTCATCACCAAAGAAGCTGCTCGTGTACAGCACCTGGTCTCCTGCTTTAAGCCCTGCTTTTGCCGCGTTCCCTCCCTTATCTACTGCCTGTTTGAATCCAATTCAAATCAGCCATTTTTTCCTAAGTCGACATTGATATAAAGGAGGACCCACCACAACACGATGTATATCCAGCAAGCATCATGAGCAAAATAATCAGGAAATCTGGGAATCATAGCTCGAGGCTGAGAGCTAGACCAAGCAATCAGGCATATATCTAGACCATCCACTGGCTTGATATATTCTACGCTGAAATGAGCATGGAACTTGCTTAGATAAGACAATTGAAGTCTCGAACTTACAGTGATGACAACACCACCACCAGTCTTTTGACCAAGAGTGAGGCCGAGAGGCTTGTCCACATCAACCTCGATGGTCTTGGACGCTCCTGCGGTTTTCGCGCTGATCTCAAGCCCTTTCCTGCTCACTGCATTAGCGGTGGAGCTGCGACTATCATCGACGGCGAAGAGAGCTGATGCACCGCCCTTCTTTGCTTCATGCAGACTGAGGCCTTGAAAAGCAGTCTTCTGCGCCAAACAAAAGAAAACCAAGGACTTCAAGCGATAAGCGAATGGAGGGTCGTCGGTGGGATCGAAAATGAAGGAGGCGCAAACGCAAGTGAACCTGGTAATGATGAGAAGTGAGGAAGGGCTTCGGAGAGGAGTGGGGAGTGATCTTGCGCGCGACGGCGGCACCGCAGGAAGAAGAAGCACCTGCTGCGACCACACCCGACGACATCTTTCTCCCGCTTTTGCTGTGACCGCGATTGCAGAAAGGAGGGAGAGAGTTTCTCTGTCGAGAAATGCACAGAGGAGGAAGAAGAAGAAGAAGAAGAAGAAGAAGAGGAAGAAGAGAGCCGGGGTTAAGTGTCGCTGTTGACGGATAAGTTATTAGTGGCAGTGGAGATTGGAAGTGAGTCGAGCCACACGCCTCTGCACTTGTGGACGCTCGCAGGCCGCAGATTTCCTTTGAATAAATGATCAATCTGACCATAAAAAAGAACTGTTCTTATTTCACTTTTGAGCGATAAAAAAATAATAATAAATAATAATAATCTATTGTAGAGTTCATTTTTTTCAAAAATTAATGGCTCATGATATACTACCATTCTTCAAATAACTCAAAAATTGTTATGCTAATAAAACCTCTTTCTATTCAACTCGTTTTGTAGGGGATGCAACTGGATTTTCTTTCTGGCCTAGACACGCCTCCGTTTGGCTGTGGTTCATCCTTCTCCAGTCGCGCTTGATTCTCCAGTAGCTGGCCGAGCCTCCCCGAACTCCTCCATTTTTGCTCTCGAGATCTCCATAGCTAAGTGTCTTCGATCTTTGTTCTAATCTTCCTCAATCATTGAGCACCATCTGGATCGAAAGGATCCTGAAGCAGAATGGTCTCACGAGTTTAATGTCATAGTAGCAAGCAAGCTCACCCTTCGGCCAAAGCTTTGAGCTCGAGCAACCAAGGTGGTCGCAAGCTTCGAAGCTAAATTCAACCTTGAAGCTTGCTACGGCGAACGCTCTTGGATGTCCAGACAGCAGTGGGCAGCGGCAAATGTGCACCAGAGGAGTTTGGTCGAGCAATCATGAGGTTGAAGACGATAAATAGCAACTTCGATGAAGATGAACAACTTTTTAAATTTTTATCCAAATTTTGTTTCGAACAAAATTGCCTTATTCCGATCGCTAAAAGAATCAAGTGCTCACCAGCCGGCCAATTGATAAAATTTTCACTTGCCGGCGAGCTGAAGCCCTTATTTAAAACTAACTCGATCACTTTGTACCTTTATTTAAAATAACATCTATTTTGAGCTTTTTTTGAGAAAATAATCTTATTTAGGTCCTTTTTTGGAAATTTTTCATTTTATTACGTCGCAGATCACATCATATTTGGATTGAAGAGCGTAGCAAGATGACTGTTTCCGATAAAAACTCAAGTCAACGATATACCCTAGAGTAGGTAGAGAGACAAGAGAGGGACAAGAGCCCTGCCGCTTCCACGTATGCAGTGGCGTACCGCGGTGGCAAACGTCCGTACGAGGGCAGGTGTGATGGGCACCGCGACCGACGACCGAGCGAAGCTCGGTGAACTGAACTGAAGGAAGTGGCGGTGGGACACTGCTGGACTTGACCTTCTCTCTCTCCCTCCCTCCTCTCCCTCTCTCACCCCCACCATATCAACTTCCATTCGTCAACTGGGGTTTCGAATGGCCGCCGTTTCCAGGAGCATTGGCAACCGAGTCTCCCCTCAGACTCAGATCTGGAGTTGGAAATCCACTACCTCCGCTTCTGTCACTCTTTTCAAGTATTCTTCTTCATGTTTGTTTGCCGTTTAGTCCGTGTTACACTTGGAAGCCTATGTCTAATGCTTTCCCCAATGGTGAGTTTTGGCCTTTTTTCACCTTATCATCCACTTTTCGACATGTCTCACTTATACTTTCGACTGTCTGAGCTTCGCTTGATCAATGACTCGGTACTAACTCCGCAACACATGCAGGAGAAATGGGCACTCCTCAGCGCCCGAGATGAATCCTGAGGTGTACGAGAAGAATCCCCATGACCCGGTCCCGCAAAGTGCGGTTCCCGATGAAGTGATCCGGATTCAATCAGAAGAATACTGGGTTCCCCACCCGCAGACCGGTGTCTTCGTTCCTCCTTCTGATTGTGACCCGAGCGAGGACGTGCCCGAGCCCGAGGAGTCGGTGCTGGAGCAGGAGGCCTGGTATCGCCCAACTGATATCCAAGATCTGGAGAAGCCCATCAGCCTCCAAGTCGAAGTATCTGAAACTAGCGAGACGGCAACTGGAGAATTCGCGGAATAGTGCAAGGCCGAGCAGCTATTGCAAATTGTACATAGGGATGGTTAAGGTTATGTTTTATGCTATATCCACTAGACTCGTCGACTGTTGGTTTAGTCACTCTTGTAACATATGAAACCAGTGAGTCAGATGCAACTTCCTCGTCTTTCGTCTCGATTCAATAACCCCTGCTGATGGGGAACTTACTTATGCCACTGACTCGTTCGATTCGATGCTATCTTCGCTTCCTCAAATTTTATGTGGGATGACATGGGCCAAATCATCAATTTCGCCCGTTTATTCTTATTCCCTTTTGTGATCAAAGTATGGCCTGGTGTGTGCTTGACATGCTTCATCCAGCACACTTCTCAATGGGTCTAGGTCAATTCATGTTCAAAGTTGGAGATGGTAGAAAATCACGCTCCGATGACAGGTGATAGCAGGAGCTGTATGATCAAATCTTACGTTCTACTAGATTTTGCATCACAACTGGGGTCATCGGCTCATCGCGTGGTCTTGATTTGCTATGCTATCAGCCCAAAGACCAGCAAAAGTTGGTTATTGTTGTCAGACTAAAGAAACCAGCAATCTTGAAGGAAAGAAAGAAAAGTAGAAAGACCCTAGCGAAATTGCAAACAAGAGACTTTGCGGGATTTTCAGCGCGCTGAACCATTGTTGACCACTGCAACTGTACATATTCTAGCTGGTTCTTTCTATCAACAAAATGATCAATACTAAAAGTACTTACAAAGAGAGATTAACAATTCAGGAAGCCATAGTAGAAAGAGGCGCTGCTCTGGTGGTCTTAGGATGAACTCCATGTGAACAAGACAGAGGCCCTCCAATACTTCTTTGCTTGATTCTCGATTTAAGACAATATTCATATCTACAATTTACCTGTCAAATGTATTGCTTCCTTCTTTCCCCCCTCCCTCCTGATGTAGCTGTCTTGACTTCATAGAAGTGGCGACTAATTAACCACTTCTTGTGAGGAAGTCGACTCGAACGAAGCTTCTTACAATGCCAATATCATATGAATCCAAATAGGCAGAAGACAACAAAGCAGCACCCAATTACCACAATAGCTATGGAAAAAGCGCACCCCTCTGGCAATATCGCACGCATCCCCCACGTGAATGCTATCATCAGACTGATTATGGAGATATAGGTAAGCACGGCCGCAAATTTCGTGAAACGGAGAAGGAGGTGGAAGTTGTGCTCCACCGATGTCAAGAAGTGAAGGAACACCGAAAGAGTGGAGCAGTAGAAGGCGAGGGCGTTCGCAATCAGGAAAATCCTGAAGGCAGCTTTAGATACTAATTCTGCCGTGCCCTCGTCTCTTCCTTGATCTTTATAGCCTCCCGGAACTGTTAAACCAGCCGTAAAAGTGACGGTTGCTATGAGTGCCGCCACTAGCAGATGAGTCCCTGATATACCCTTTAGACGGATTGATCTGAAGGAGTTGTCGCTCGATGAAGTCATGCCGGATGTGGACCTTTCGAGTGATGATCTGTCACTGTAGGGGTGAAGCGAAATGTCTCGTTCGCTGTAGTTGTTACTTCCGTACAAGTCTCCAGCTTTCACATCGTTATTCTCACTGTAAGGCTCATACCTTCTTGTGTCTGCCTCTTCCCGGATCACTAATCTCAGGCTTTTTCGGCTCCCCGCTTGTTCCATCTTCTTCATGATCCTTGTCTGCAACAGGTCCCACAAACCAAACATCGACTAGATAACATTCATCAGTTTTCCCATACAATATACTCACAGATAGATATTACTTATTTCTTCAGAGATGGAGTAAATGATACATCACTCATTTTCCTTAACATTCTCTTCTCTAGTCATGCATGGAAAACTGCCATTAAACTGGCTTGATAATTGACACGGGCTTTATGACTTAAGTCGCTAGATTATGGTAGCAATGCAAACAACACAAAGCACATTCTACTACCGTTGGTCTTATCTATTAACGTCACTGGATCCAAGGTAGACCATGTTCGAGTCACATATAAGATGGTCTCATTAATTAACTTCGCTTGATACGAGGTAGACCATGTTTGAGTGACATGAAGTTCGTGCGCTCATGTTGGTATACTAATAGGGCGATCATGGTGATTTTCTTCATGAAATCATGTGCCTGTGAAGCTCATCGCAAGCTGTGTCCAGCTACGTGTAAATGGAATTCACAAAGATTTTTTTTTCTTGGGATAATATGTGAGAGTCAGATGGTAATTACAAAACCAAGAACTTGCAGTACCCACCTTGACAAGCTCTCCAAGAAAAGTATTGGAGTGAAGGATGTCAATGGCCTTCCAGTGTTGCTTGTTCACGGCCTTCTTGTCAACTCTTCTGTCACAAGTAAGGGTCATCAAAATCTCATCCTTCCCACAATCAGCAGCCAAATGCAAAGGCGTGTTCCCTTCTTCGTCAGGAAAATTGATGAGCCCTTGAAATTTGTTATTCCTGAGTATATATTTCACGACCCTCGTTCTTCCGCTCACCACGGCCACGTGAAGAGCCGTCCTACCTTTTTCGTCGAGCAGCTCATGAACGTCTGGGCAGTAATTAATGAGCTCGTCCATGATTTTAACATGCCCTTGTTTGGCCGCCACGTGAAGGGCACACATGCCTTCTTTGTTAGGTGAATAAGCAACTGAAGGGTCCTTTTGAAGAAGGTGCTTGGTTGCTTCAAGATGACCCAAATGCGCAGCGTAATGAAGAGGGGTTCGTCCGAGTTCGTCCGCTTCCGTCACTATGTGTGGCCACTTGGTCACAAGCTCCTTTATGATATCTAGAAACATTTGGGTTTGGTGAGAGATCATTAAAATACAAACATAAGCACGTTAGGCGAAACTTGAGACAAAACAAGAAAGGAACTTGTCTAAATTAGAATGAAGAAAAAGTTGTTAGAAATGGTAAATTTCCCCGCTACCTTCTGGGAAGTTGTCGAGATGTTAGAGGAACGAATTTTCTCAAAATTAAAAAAGAACGACTTGTTTCGTGGAGTCAATTCTGAGTAATTAATAGGCTCCTCTTGAGGATGGACAGACTTAAAACCTAGAAGTTGAAACAGGAGAATTGATATCATTTCCCTCTCTTTTGCCTCCCTCTTTCTCCTCTTCTTCATTTTTTTTCGTTTTTTCATGGGTAAGGATCACTTGACAGTGCATTTTAAATGAATTATAATCTACAACTGCGTGATAACCCATGAATAGCTAGTTGATGAAATATGCGGTGATTGTCTATCAGAACAGGACTAATCTTACCAATTTGGCACGATCGAAATCTCCCGACGAGTTCGTCTAAACTAAGCAACCAGTCCCGCATGATGCGCCTTATGTTTTCCAATGACAAATCAGGGACATGGCTTTCAAGAGCTCGACCTGCAACAAGGCACATACTTGTTAACGATAAGTCAAACAGATGATATTAAGATTTCATCATGAACAATTCTATCATGCACAAGGCTCATATTAAAAGAAGTCATAAGCCTTTTTGGCAGATGAAAAAGATCATTAACCGACCATGATGGGTGCTTATTAAGGCGGCATGAAGAGCAGTTAGCCCATTTGTGCCTTTATAGTGGGGCGATGATGGTGATGACGACATCTGCAAGATCATGCAATGAGCAACATCGAAGAACCCGGCATCAACGGCCACGAAAACTGGAGTCTCGCCCACCTTATTATCGATATACATGAGTTGAGAATCGGCTTTCACTAGCAAATCCACCACACCAATGTGGCCGCTCCTCACAGCCAAATGCAAAGCCGTATCCCCGGACCCGTTCACCTTCCTCAAGAGACTCAAGTCGCCGGGGCTCGGAGCATCATAGTTACACGTCTCGCGTGCTTGGTGTGCGGGCACTCCGTCGTCTACGAGGAGTCGAACGATCTCCAAGCAACCGATCTTGGCTGCAACATGGAGAGGAGTGTCACCATGCGAGTTCTGATGGGGCAAAAGGCAGGGGCATAGCTGAATCAAGGTCCGGACGAGCTCAATTTGTTGGAAGATAATGGCGATGTGAAGGAGGCTGTTGCTTTGTGGGGTGAACTGGGCTTGGCAATTCCCAGTTTCGTCTGTGATCAATCGTTTGATGTAGCCTGAGTCCCCCGTGGACGCTGCCAAGTATAGATCGCGATCCATGGACTTATTGGGTGAACCTGAATCAAACTCGGTCGCCTTCTGAACACGCGTCTTGCTAATTTGTTTGATTCACATCAACCCAAAACAAGAAAAGCATACAGAAAGCTGGAAAGAAGATGCATATTTTCAGAGCAGAACGTGCTTAAAATAGGGAGGAGGATGGTCGAGAAGGGGACTCTTTCATCCTCCATACTAGCCTCATTAGCTCGTTCTTGAGAGAGAGGGAGAGAGGGAGAGAGAGAGAGAGACTCCATTGACGTCCACTTTAGAAACTAATATTACCATGACCATTCTGGGCTGGTGGTGGTCTTCTTGGATGGGACAGGAATAAAGAACCCTTTGTTTTTTCCACGTCGTTTCCAAGTCCCACGCGTCAACCCGTGGCACGTCAATGTCGATGGTGGTGCCTACGTCAATAATAAAGATTTCTCACTCCTATTTTGAAGGTTCAGTTGTATACTATCACGAGGCCAAAAGACAAAAACAAGAAAAGAAAAGTGGAGAGAAAAGTAGAAGGGTAAAGAAAATATTTAGAGTTATTATTGATAATCGTGTCAAGTCTTTTTAGCCATATTTGGGTCGGACATTATTGCCTCGTTTTGGTTGATTACGTTTGTTACTGCATGTTAGAACATTTCTTTGCCTCTAAAAGAAAAGTGTTTCTTGTTTTTCTTTTTCTACTTTCTTTTTTGGGGGGTTAGAACAAGTAAGAGCCATCGTTTGTTGTTAAAAAAAAAATGGACATTTTCCCGTCTGTTTCCATGATGACTTTCACTTCCTCTTCCTCATTCAATAATGTTGACGAAAGAAAGAAGAAAGAAAGGAGAAAGTCAGGGGTATTCCTAGGAAGCCGCGTAGTTTTAACGAAAGACCCATGATGTATCAACTAATCGTAGTTTTCTGCAACTTTCGTAAGGACTAGGAAGGAAGGAATATCCCATTGTGAATCTACTCTTTCATACATACCTCAGCGCAACTGTCCAACGACACGAGACGTGTTTTAGGGGCACCACAGCCTGTTTTGACTTGAAACTCCCTCCATTGGTGAGCTGATCTGAGTCTTATTATATAACACGCTACTTTGCTTCTTATATGACTGACCCACACTGCTTGACCATGACAGATTTGTTGGCTCAAAACTGTTTCTAAATCATCTTTAACTACCCTAAAAGACGTTATAGAATCTTCGCCTAGAAAATTCAGCCAAATAGTTGGGTGACTGAGGACTTCATTTCAGTCTCCAAACTTATTGTTGACCAAAGAAGGCCCGCACGCACGTAGTATATGATCATGGGAAAATTAGCCAATTGATATATATTAAAATTACGCACAAAAGTTTATGACTAAATTGGTAACACCGAAAAGTTTAGGACTGAATTGGTATCCGCGCAATAGGTTTATGATTGATTGGACAATTTCCCCCGTGATCATCGACAGAACAGTTTTTGGGCAACCCTTTCTCTTCTTTTTGTCTGTAATTCACATGACCGAGGCTTTTTGCTCGGCAACGCTTATGATCATGCTCGTAAGCCAAATGATTCGCTAGGACGAACAACCGGCCATGCATTTGACCATCGCTTCTTTCTTTTCCGCCGCGAATGGTATTTCTCTTTGACAATTTCATTGTATATTAGGATGACCGGCCGTCATTTTGATTGACCAAAAGGAGTGGAGAATGCAGATTGTGATGAAAAAACTGAAAAATTCTCGTCATTTCCTCATAAATCTTCATATTGCTATGTGTTGGCCAAATTCTGCCATCGCATGGGATGGAAAACTGAAAATAGAATCTCAATTTTTGCAGGTAGTTTTCCAATCGTGATGGTAAAAAAATACGGACCCTAACTTGTTTGTTAGGTAAATCGATAGTAAAATACCAACGCTATCGAAAATGTATTGACATTCTACTAAAGTAGTAAATTAAAATGAAATAGTAAAATACCAACACAGGTGAGGGCGTTCTGGCCCTTGCTTTGGCCGGCAAGGGCATCGCGGCCCTCACCCTGGCCCTCGTCGGCCACAGTGAGGGCGTCGCGTCCTCCGCCCAGTCCAAAAAAAAGAAAAGAAAAGAAAAGAAAAGAAAAAAAAAGACTTTTTCACGCCCCTGGTACTGTTCATTCGGAACTGTTCAGGGTTCTCTCCCGAAGAGCAAGCGTCTGGGTACTGTTCATCGCCTGATTCTTCACCGTTTTTGGTCATTCTGACCGGCGGTTTTGGCTGGATCTTGGTGCTGGGCTTCGCCAGTCGCTGATTAGTCACCCTTCTGAAGGATTTCTCTTGCGGTGGTCTCTAGTAATCCGGAAATCAGATCTGGAATTCTGCGTTTCTATGCCTCGTGGCCGAAGGAATTTCCATGGGGAAGCCCCTGTCTGGACCAGGTATTCTGGATGATTAGGGGTGCTGGGCTTGGCCAGTAGCTACATTGCCCCTAGTCCGGTAGCTTCCTCTCGGTGTGGCCCTGATTGGCTTGGGATTTTTTTGGGTTTTTGCTGTTCTTTAGTCCCTGTTCACCCGCCTGGTTCTCCTTCGATTCTGATCGTTCTGTCAAGCGATTCTGGTTGATTGTGGGAGCTGAGCTTCGCCAGTTGCTGTGTTGCCTCTTGTCCAACAATTTTCTCTTGTAGTGGCACCTGATAAGCAGAATTGAGTTCCCCCTGGATTTTTCTCGCTGGTCTTCAGCTCCTGTGCATTTTCTGGGGATTATTTGTGCCTGTTGATTGAGCTTCGGTTGGTTCCCGCTCCCCCATTTTTCTCCTTCCCGTGCCATGGTAGTCCTAGTATGATGGCTTCCACAGCTGGAAATCCCATACAAAGGGGCTCTCTCTCCACGGCAATGGCACAGGAGGAATTGGTGGTAGCTGCGGGATCTTCGAAAGGGGTTGATCCCATGGGAAAAAGGCCACAAAGGCGTGGCCGGAGCAGGGGACGTTCTAAGTCCAACACTCCCCGCTTTGCCCCCTTCGCTGCTGTTGGTAAGGCCACGGCTGATGTTGGGACTTCCACTCTCATTCAAGGTGTGAAACCACCCATCTCTGGACAAGGCAATGGGCCTACCCAAACAAAACAGCAACCCACTCAGCGATCTTGGGCTGCGGTTGCCAAGACGGCGGAAAAGGGGTACGGCCTCTCTTATGTTCCTCCTACCATGGTTGAAGGTAAACCAGTTGTCCAAATTTCTGAGGCTATCTTGGAAGAGGCAAACCCGAAATGGCAGGAATGCCTGGTTGGGTACTTTGTGGGGAAAAAACTGCCCTTCAAGCTAACTGAGACTGCTGTCAAGAATGTCTGGGGACACAATGTCATTGATGTTCTGGCAAACGTGGATGGATTCTTCTTCTTCCACATTCCGGATGGAGCTTTTCGCCAGAAAGTCCTAGACGGGGGTCCAATCACCATTCTAAGAGTGCCGATGATCCCGCAACAATGGAACCCCGCCCTCAAGCTTGTTAAGGACCAACACAAGTTCCTTCCGGTTTGGGTAAAACTCACGGACGTTCCTTTTGCCTTATGGTCAGCCCCCGGCATCAGCGCTATTGCTAGTGCGATAGGAAAACCACTCCATGTGGACCTACAAACCGAAAGCATGAGGATGATCTCATATGCCAGAGTTTGCATTGAAATAAAGGCTTCTCAGAATTTACTCGACACAATTGATGTTATGCTCAATGGTGAAATCTGGCAGATCAGAGTTGAATATGAGTGGCGTCCTATTTCTTGTCTGTCCTGTGGCTCTTTTAGGCATAGGTGTGCGGTGAACAGCAAGGAGCCCTCAGCCCCTATTAAGAGTCTGCCTACTCCTTCTGTCCAGGTTGCTGCTCCCCCTCTCGTGGAAGAGCCTTGGCAAACTGTTAACAAGAAAAATGGGGCTGGGCGTTCCAGAAATGTTAACGACGCCCACCCTACTCCAGTTCCTCCCTCACCGAATCCCTCCCAGGTGAATATGGACATCAACCCCGTCATGGCCTTCACTCAGTCATCTCGGCTAGCCTCTCCAGTCTCCTCAGATTCAGACAATTCTAAAGAAGAATTGGCCAGTAATGTGTCCAGTGACTCAGACTCTTCCCCTCCTAGGTCGTCATCTGGCCGGGTGATTGCTCCATTGCATAAAAATGTGGGGCCGGCTTCTGGTAGCCAAACTCCTCATTTGGTCGCGCCTATCCTGGATTCCTCCATGGTGGAAACTCTCCCTACCTGTCCTGAGAAGGGAGAATGTTTAGCGGCCTTGCCGGCTCCGGCTTTGAATGTTCCCAATATGGAAAGCAGGCCCCCCGCGTCTAATCCGGCTAACCGGAAACCCAGGAAGCGGGATGGCACTAAAAAGCGATAAGTGCCCCTCCTTTCAACCTATGTTTTTTGGCGTTTGGAATATTAGGGGACTTGTTAACCCCCTCAAACAGGCTGAGATCCGACACCTCGTTAGATCTCACAATATCTCTTGTCTTGGCATCCTTGAGACAAAGGTATTACCGACACTTTTTGGAGAAATTTCTTCTGGTTTACTGCCATGATGGGTTTGGACGAATAACTATGTCCACTCTCCCCTTGGGAGAATTTGGGTTGGGTGGAACCCCCAAGACGTGGAACTTGTGGTTCTAGCTAAATCCGTGCAGGTCATTCACGGTCATGTTCGTATTTTGGCTCTGAATAAAACCTGTTTTTTCTCGGTTGTCTATGGTGAGCACACCTTCGTTGCACGGCGATCTCTATGGGCCGATCTTATTAGCTCCAGTACTCAATATGAAGCTGAAGCCTGGTTAGTGGCTGGTGATTTTAATGCCATTCGAGACAATTCGGACAGAATGGGCAGCTCTAATTCTTGGATCCCTGCTTTTGATGAGCTTGACTCTTGCTTAAACCAGGCTGGCATTGAGGATCTTCACTATGTTGGGCACAGGTTTTCTTGGTCGACTTCCTCTGGTGCAAATCGCAAACAAAGGAAGATAGACCGTGTTTTAATTAATGATCAATGGATCACCTCTTTCTCCTTCTCGGAAGCTACCTTCCTAGCCCCTGGTGTTTTTGATCATACCCCAATGATCATAAGAATCGCTCCTGTAGCTGGATCTAGGAAGCCATTCAAATTCTTCAACTGTTGGATGTCTCACCCTTCCTTTCCAGCCATTGTCTCACAGGTTTGGGACTCTCAATGTGATGCCACACCTATGTATACTCTCTGCCGCAAACTGAAGCTCCTTAAAGGTCGCCTCAAGCAACTCA